GCTAGTATCACAGCAAGAACAACATAACATTAAAATAGATGCACTACACTCCGCTCTGGAGGGTATTCGCTCACAAATTTGTTTGATCAGTGCTCAGAACGCGGAAATTCAATCGCAAAATAATGATATTCGAAACTCGGTACAAAATGATGAAATCCTTAGAACTCAAGGTAGACTTTCTAGAAAGGAACTTGAAATCAGCGTCTATTGAAATATCTAACATGCCAACTTCAAAGTCTGAAACACGTCAAACCCTTACAAGCGCAGTTAAAAAAATCGGTGACTTTGTCGACCAAAGGTTGGAAGAAAGTAATGTTAAAACAATTTTTCGCTCAAAGGCTAAAAAAGATAGCGTTGGCATTGTCCATGTAGAATTCTCATCTGCAACTATCAGAGACTTATTCTTAGTGGCAATAAAGAATTACAACCGGCTCAACAAACCAAATCGCTTAAGCACGACTATCTTGACAAGTAAGGGCCCCGAGAAACCTATCTACGTCTCCGAAGCACTAACCACCATGACAAAACGGCTTCACTACCTTGGCAGAGAGTTTATCAAAACCAGCACATACGAGCAATGTTGGATCGCAAATGGAAAGGTGTACGTACGAGAGAAGGACGGAAAGCCTAGTCTGCTTATCAAAACCGAAGACGACATTTTGAAACTACGTAAAGAAAAGTGACTAGGCTATAAATTGTTGAACTTTTCATGCATGCGTTTTGCTTTTGTTATTTATTTATTACCTTATTATAAATCTTTACTAAGTGCCTATTCAAACAACATAAATACCCCAATGACACTCCACTTTTGTAACATTATTAAAGTACTCCATTTACCAACAACAACAACAACACATACATTTATCAAACATAAACAACATATTCAATATTTCAAAACTACAATATACAGATTGTACTCGTTTCACATACTGCAAGCAGACTTAATAAACTCTTCCTGTATACATCCTGTTATTATTGTACAAAACAGGATAAAATGTGACTGTGAAAAGGTAAAACTGAAATTCAAACCGCCCAAAATTCGATAACACACAACAAAATACACTAAATATTGATAAGATCTCTGTGGCTGACTCGTCGACGTGTGAGCTTGAGAATTGCATTCCACCTAACTTTGTGCCCGGTCACTCATTTAAAATTCTAAATCAGAACATTAGAAGCATAACTAAAAACATTACGGGCTTACACACCATTCTAAACAGAACTAAAGTGTCGTGGGACATTATTACACTGACGGAATGTTGGCTCCCCAGCGCGCACTATATTCCTAACCTGGCAGGTTACAGGTACTTCAAAACTGAAAGAAATCTAACTCAAAACGAAGGTGTACTGGTTTATGTACTTGAAGACTTTAAGGTATCTGTGGATGAACTTGATATAGAGATATAGAGATATTAACAACTTTCTTTTGTCCCTGGACACCGTCCTTAGCAACATATCCAGTTACAGACATATTATTGTTACAGGTGACCTAAATATAAATATCCATCAACATTGTAACGATACAAACAAAAACAACTACCTTAACCTACTTGCATCCCACGGCATCCTTCCTGCCCACACACTGCCTACACGACTGCGAGCCTGTCTGGACCATGTCGGATTAAAAACTGATCTCCCTGCCTGTACGCTAGTTGCCTCTTCTTCAGTTACGGACCATGACACAGTCCTCTTATATCTCGCTAAAAAGATACCCAAACCACGAAAGAAAACTATCATTCGTATCAATCACAAACAATTAGATGCAGATATAGAAAGTATTGATTTTGAGCCAATATATCAAACCCAAAACCCTAACCTAGCTACAGACTTAATGATTAGTGCAATTACACAGGCCATTGTGTTAAATTCAAAAGTAACCAAAGTTCCAAACCGTAAAAAAATGGTGAAAGACTGGATGACCCCGGGCTTTTTACGTTGTATACGGCATCGAGATCGTTTAAATCTAAAATCAAAAAATGAACCAAATAATTTAATCCTCAAAACAACTTACACAAGGTACAGGAATTACTGTAACAAATTAATTAAACAAGCCAAGATTATCTATGATAAAGCTTGCATTACTAATGCAGGCAATGACACCAAGCAATTGTGGACAGCCATCAACACCATCACAAATAGACTCAAATCAAGAGACTCCAGAGAAGAACTGCTCACTATATCTCCTACACCAGCACAATCTGTTAACCAAATAAATGATTTCTTTGCCGACATTGGAAAAAATCTTGCTGAAAATATCGGTAACTTAACAACTAGGCAACCTTCGGCTATCACTGTCAATGCCTCACACTCTATGTGTCTTCTTCCGACGGATGAGGTGGAGGTTGCAGAAATAATCATTGCCCTTCGTAGTGAATGTGCTGCAGGATGGGATAGAATACCTAGCACCCTATTAAAAAAACACATTGCCTTGCTTGTTCCGCCACTAACTTATATCTGCAATCTTTCGCTACATACTGGACAATTCCCCAAGGCTTTGAAAAAATCTATCATCCACCCTATCTTTAAGAATGGGGACAGAAGCAGTGTCAGCAACTATAGACCTATAGCGGTATTGCCAACCCTATCTAAGGTACTAGAACGGATTATGAGCCGCAGACTCGTCGACTACCTGACCAAGAACAATATCATCTCACCGTCTCAATATGGCTTCAGATCTGGCAGGTCAACGTCCGATGCGGTTCATGACCTCTCAAATTATATTATAACCAACCTAGATAGAGGCCAAAAGGTCATAGGAATCTTCCTAGATCTCGCCAAAGCCTCTGACACGGTTTCTGTCCCCATACTCATAGAGAAAATGGAACGCCTTGGAATAAGAGGTACTCCACTTAGGCTGTTCGAGGACTACCTTAGTGAGCGAACCCAGTGCGTTAGGGTGGATGAGTTCATCAGTGAGGAGCGGATAGTCACATACGGAGTGGCTCAAGGTAGCGTGATTGGCCCGACCCTCTTCCTAATCTACATAAACGACCTGGGTCTGCTCACTTTACCAAATGGTAAAGTAATTACTTTCGCAGATGACACTGCCCTCCTATTCAATGCTGACACATGGAGTGACGCCTATAAACAAGCGCAATCTGGGTTTAATGTCGTAAGCGATTGGTTGCGAAATAATATACTTACCCTAAATGCGACTAAAACACAATGTGTCACTTTTTCAATAACACATAAGACCGCACCGAACTTACCAATGCCACACTCGATCATAGCCCACTCGTGTCCTAGTCCTCACAATGTTACGTGCTCTTGCGTACACCTTCAGAAAGCCGATGCGGTGAAATATCTTGGAGTAATAATGGACAGTCGCCTTCGTTTCCATGAGCATATATCTACCCTCTGTGGCAGGATGCGCAAACTAATCTACGTCTTCAAGAACCTAAGGCAAGTGGCTGATGATAAGTTGAGGCGATCCGTTTATTTTGCCCTTGTTCAATCGCTTCTGACGTACTGCATCACAACCTGGGGTGGTGCTCCAAGGAGCACTCTTCTAGAGCTAGAAAGAGCCCAAAGGGCAGTACTAAAAGTTTCTTTGACCCTACCGTTCAGATATCCTACTTCTCTCTTATACAAGAAAGCTAAAGTTCTAACGGTAAGACAGTTGTTTATTAAGCAGATAATCCTAATGCAGCACAGTAAACTGAAATATGATTCTTCTCTTTCCCGTGGCAAAAGGCGATACAATCCTGTACATATAAGTAAAGTCCGGCTTAACACCGTGTATTCAAAATGCTACTTTTGTTACTTGGGACCATACCTATACAACAAAATTAATAAAATCTTGTCAATTTACGAAATGCAAAAAATAAAATGTAAGATGAAATTAACTACTTGGCTCTCAGATCTAACTTACGACGACACTGAAAAGATGCTTGCTGTCTTAGTATAAACATAGGTACATCACGATCCTACACCCACTATTATGAACACACACACACACACACACACACACACACACACACACACATACACACACACACACACACACACACACACACACACACACACACACACACACACACACCTACACACACACAATAATAATAGTTCGACCACAACTAATTGTCAAAGCGCTGATACTAACAGATATGTATACAATTAAGGAGGGGACCCTGGTGTCCTGAAATACAGGCTCTGAGCCTAGCTTAGGCACCAGTCTCCCACAGTATAATATTTTGTAATAATTCTTATACAGGCTAAAATTATGTATAAATGTATTGTGGCGAGAAAAAAAAACAATTTATTATTATTATTATTAATTTACTCGCTCGATTAGTGAAAGGACACGCTTTGAGCACGTACAACGCACAAATAATATTTATACTACTAAATACATATTGATCGACAATATCTATGTAAAAACCCTTATCAGATTGCAGAGAGTCACTGGAACTTTTTCGCCTCCGTTACCCTGTTAGACCTGAAAGACGCGTCATATACCTATTACGGGTTTTTCTAATGTTAAATATTTTACTATTAATATTCTAATGTATAGTATTACTGTAGAAAGAATGTTAAGAAATAGTTTCTTGTTGTAGCAATCTGGCAGCACTTTTTGAATAAAGAAAATACATATAATATTAATTTTTGTCATTGCGCTAGAGCTATTTTTACTACACTCCTCTAATATTAAGACTATTTCAGCCCTTAGTTTAGAATTAATGTATAATAATATGAATACTCAAAATCATTTTTAGGAATTCTATATCTGGAAATTTTATTGTATTTTACAACGTGTATCTAAGAAACGAGTATGAGTACCTACTACTCCACTTAAATATCACTTTTCCTTCACCCGGCTACCCCACCCCTAATGAAGTACCTACTGACAATTACTGGCAAATGTGACAATTGACAACCGAGTGACAACGATAACCGAAATCAAAATAGTAAATCGCGGCTTAATATGATTTTGTTCAAACTATTCGCATAGCTAATAATACATAATCAAATTGTTTTTAACTCCCAAATATTGACATAAAATGCCTCGAGTGAAAATCGATTACATCGTTAGTTTTAGTAGCGAAGATCCTGTAAGTTCTGTTTTGTAACCTTTACATGTAAATAAAAAAAAAACACGAATGTTTATTATCTACAAACATTTGGTACTACAATAATAATACAATGCCAGAGCATTAGTCTCAAAACACGTCTTATGTGCACCTCAGCCACAGTTAGCTCATAATGAAATATTTAAAAAATTATCATTTTCGCGGTATCAGTGATAGCTATCATTATGAAGTTCAGTGATGTCATCATCATAGATACTTGCTATTGCTATTGTTTGTTATGTGTTACGGCAGGAGCATCCAGCCAGCAATCTGTTAGCATGGGAGGTGAGCAAGAAGAAGTGGTTGTGTAAGAAGGGGGAGTCTTCCTGTTCTGTGGTGCTTCAGTTGACGAAGGCAGTCAAGGTAACAGTGAATGACACAAACATTACGTTTTGTGCAATAAAATACCTTTTCCTCATTAAAAAAAATACTGTTTTGGCTGACATACCTACTCTGTTTCAAAAAATTTAATTTGACTATTAAAAGGTCAAGTCATTTAATGACATTAAAAATTGAAGGCAAATTATAGCATCATATGTATATCAAACATGAAAGTGTGATTAATTAGTTTATGTGGTAATGGATTAAGAATACGGAGTGTCGCTACCCCTATTTATCACATGGGTGTCGTAAGAGCTGTGCACTGCAAATGCTGCATGGTAAAGAAGGACAAAACATCCTTTCTAATCAGAGGCCTATGTCCAGCAGTGGACTGTTATAGGCTTTTGATGTCATGTGTTGTGAAATCAAACATACAAACTTTTGTAATACTTGATAGTAAGGTATTAAAAAATAATAATTTAAATTCTGCAAAACAGCAGACCATTCATGCTGCTTTTCTTCAGTCATTAATATGTATGTATGAATTTTGAAAATAGAATTCAAATATAACAAAAACTATGCAAGTAAATTGTATGTTAGTGTAGCTAAGGAAATATGTTAACATTTCAGATATCTTCTGTGCACATAGGTGCCTACCATTCAGCTTTAGTGGAGGTGCTGGTCGCCCGCTCAGAGAAAGCTAGCGATCAGTATCAGGTATAAATCATTTATTTCGTTTCACAAACAATACAATATTATAATCTTATTAATAAATAAGAACTTTATAAATATGAATAAAATTATGGTGCATATGCATTATGTTGATCTGTGAAAAAGTCTAAACAATAACAGTTCCAGTTCCAACAGAACAAGGCATTGATATTGGTTGGATATATTGGTTGTGGGCTCTGATTTTCGAAGTTAGACTCTAGAGTGGTCCTTTAAACACAAAAACGTCCTTATCACAATACATTTAATACACTTGAAATTTAATTGCTTGCTAAACCTCTAGTCATTTTAAATGAAACAAGGTCCTTATGTTCCCTCTGGTGTCTCATCATCTTTCTACTGCGTTGAGTGTTGTAGGTTCGATCCCCACATGGAACAACACTTGGTGTGATCCACAAATTGTTGTTCTGTTTCTGGGTGTTCTTTGTGTCCGTTTCATGTATGTCTGTAAAGTGCGACACAGGATATATTCCTAGTGCGGGAGTTGTCTATTAAAAAAACAAACATGTTAAGAGATCATAAGGAAACTACTGTTGTTTGGTATTGTAGCTGATTCAGAACGTTTAAGTGAGTTTAATCTTATAATTAACTTTCAAGGTGATAATTAGTCAAAATAGCACAGTCATATGTAAAGCTAATAGCCAATATAAGTGTGATGTGCTCGCAAGGAACGTGTGTTGCAGGTGCTGGTGCCGAGCTGCGTGTTCGTGAGCCCGGCGGAGTCCCGGCGCGACGAGCCGGCGGAGCGCGTGCGCTCGTTCGGCGCGGAGCAGCTCGCGAGCGACGCGCGCGCCCAGCGCTGGGACCGCGTGCGCGTGGTGTGCTCGCAACCCTACAATAAACACTGCAAGGTATACTGTCATCTGTACATCCCACAGATAATGGTAACACTTAAAGTTTCGGCTCGATTTCGGCTTGAAACAAATATACGAGTACTAGTATTTGTTTCAAGCCGAAATCGAGCCGAAACTTTTACTGACTTTGCCCTATAATAAAATGTATTAGGGATAAATTTTTGTACAAATGGATATGTGACCCCAGCTTCATCGAGCTAATTCAGTCGTAGTCCCGTTTCCCCTCTGAAACTTGCAGTATCCCTTACCCTCCCTCCCTCTATCCAATTTCGTACCCAAATTTGTAACATTAAAGCTTTTATTATTAAGCCTTTATTGAAAAAAAAAATTATACATATTCATTATTAAATAGTTAAGTATTTATCAATTAAATATATTAACATTGTAATATTATTATCTTTTTTTTAACCGACTTCAAAAAAAGGAGGAGGTTCTCAATTCGACTGTATTTTTTTTTTTTTTTTTTTTGTATATTTGTTACGCGATTACTCCGGCAATTATAAACCGATTTGAATAATTCTTTTTTTATTTGGTAGGTCATACGTCAGAGGTGGTCCCATTGTCACCAGGTCAGGATCTGATGATGGGATCCTGGGGAAATCGAGGGAAACCCTCAAATTTTGTAGGCATATACACTATTTATCAGAAATTATCTTAATCTATGTAGATTTTTGCATCTAATGGTCACCATCTGATGTTGCTGAGCTGATGATGAAGCTGATGATGAATGGTTTAGGAGTATGGGATCTCTGTAACAAAATTATGTAATACCATCGAATTTGAATGTGTTTGAGTCTAATTAATAAGGACTCCGATCCTATGTGATATTCAGGGTCTGATGATGGAGACGGTAAATAGCCATGGGAACTCTGTAATAAAATAAAGCAATTCCGCCGTGTTTGTGCTCATTTGATTCGTCTCGACTAGGAGCTTCATGCTAGTCGATTTTTAACCAACATCAAAAAAGGAGGGTTTTTGATTTGACAGTATGTTTTCTTTTTAACCGACTTCTAAAACACAAAAGAGGAGGTTCTCAATTCGTCTGTATTTTTTTTTTAATGTATGTTTGTTACGCGATTTCTCCGTCAATTGTGGACTGATTTTCAAAATTCTTTTTGTAATCGAAAGGGTATGTTCCCGAATTGGTCCCATTACCACCAATTCAGGATCTGATGATGGGATCCTAGAGAAATCGAGGGAAACCCTCACAATTATTGGGAATTTGACAGCCCCGATAACGTGTTTTAGCTACGAGTATTTCTTTAAAACCATGGCAACCGTCAGAGACTGCGCGATGTGATGCGCAGAGAACTTACAGTATTTATGTCACCACAGTAATTTTCGTTGTATTAATAAGAAGAAAAGGTTGAAATTTTGTATTTTATCTTGTTAAAATAATTCGGATAGACGTTTTGTTGCTATGGATGGCATCGCATTTCGTTTGTAAGTAATTTTATACTTAATTTATTAAAATAGTTCTGGAAAAAACTCTTAAATTTTGTGTGAGTCAACTAGGTTAATTTCTAACATACCAGTATTAACCCTTCTAGTTGGAACTCCTTCTATAAAATATTGAGCATATTTGTTGAGTAGTCTCACTAAAGCTTCCCTATCTTCACCTTCGAGGTCAGTGTCAATTGAATCGGAAGTTATTTTGTTCGGTTGCAACTCACAAGAATTTGACTGTTTCTTAGAAAAGAATTTAAGCTGATCTTGATCAGTTTGGACGCCAATGTAGGAGAGGCCTATGTCCAGCAGTAATTTAATATAATATTTAATATAATCTAACAAACTACAGTTTGTTACTATACATTACGGTACGTAGTGTTTTAAATATCGTACTTATCTACTCATTACAAACATATCCTACACTAAAAATGGTAAAATAAACCCTTTTAAAAAAAAAAGTTGAACCGACTTCAAAAAACACAGACAAAGAGCACTAAAAATTAAAAAATAATTACAAATCTAAGTAAAAAACTATAATAAGTACCCTCAATGTAACAGGTAACATTACAATACCAATAGTCCCTTCTAGTCTGTTTGAAGTCGGTGCCAAGCTCGATGCACAATAAGTAATACTGGTCTATGTCAGCTTTATATTAGCACAATGAAAAATTAAGAATTCAAAATAATTCTAATGAAACATCGAAGATTTTGTTAATTAATAAAGACCAACCAGATCAATTACGTGCGCAAACGTATCAACTCCTTACTAAAGCATTCAAAATAATAATATAATTGGAGATGTGCGTCCACTTTAGCTCGTTCAACATGTTTTGCGCAGCATGAAGACTGTTGCAGCTGCCGCGCTACATTCTATCAAGCACCTATTTGGCTTGGCACCGACTTCAAACCGACTAGAAGGGACTATTGGTATTGTAATGTTACCTGTTACATTGAGGGTACTTATTATAGTTTTTTACTTAGATTTGTAATTATTTTTTAATTTTTAGTGCTCTTTGTCTGTGTTTTTTGAAGTCGGTTCAACTTTTTTTTTAAAAGGGTTTATTATTATTATGCCACAGTTATTGGGCGTCGGCGTCTCCTTGTGACACAAAGGCCTCCTCCAGCTCTTTCCATTCTGCTCTTGTTTGAGTTATTCTGTGCCATACTGGACCTGCGTTCTTTTTTATGTCATCAGACCAACGTTGTCTTTATTTTCCTTGTTTCCTTTTTGTTTGAAATCTAGGGGCCCATTCTGGTATATCTTTCGTCTATCTATTCCTACTCTCTCTCATCGTGTGGTCTAGCCATCTCCACTTAAGTTTTTTGGTTTTGACTACGACATCTTCGATTTCGATTTTCGGAATATGCTTCTAATGTATAGCTCTATTTTTGTCTCTTTTTCTGTAACCCAACAAACTCCTCACCATTGCTCTTTGGCATGTGGTCAGTAGTTTTTGTGTTTTAGCCCAGGTATGGCATCCATACATGAGAATAGGGAATATGCATGTATTTTTTTTTTTTTTTTTAAACGATTCTACTAGTTATTACATTACCAAAACTAAATATAACACATCCGAAATATAAACCGTTAAGCAAAAAAAAATTTATTATAATCACTATCATTTTGAGGCAATTTGAACACGTCCATTTTGGCGCGCTTTTTTTGTGACGTCAGATTACACTTTCAGACGAATTCACAAGTTTGTGAAAGTTAAAAAAGTGAGTGATAAAAATTAACTTATTACCATGAAAAAGCCAATAAAACTTATTATAAATATTGTGCCGTTCCTTTGTGCCCAAATAATATCAAAACTGCACCTGACAAAGTATATTCAGTCATTGTGTTGAGTCTTTCTACACGGGAATTTAATAATTTAACACTGAAAACGTATTAGTTATGAACTTAAAATGAAACAAATAATCACCAGAAACCAAATATTACAAATACACACAACTTGTTGACACTCTTGACAGTGTAGGTTGACGTCACGTTTTATTCAACCAATAGCGTTGCGTTTTAGAAATTTGCGAGGGAATCTTAAAAAGCCAATTTTTGATGATTAAATTTCACTATTAAATTATAATAAATTTCAAAAATAATTGTATGGGTATCTTTTTTTAGCAATAAAAATTACAAATAAAAATATTTTGTCCATTTTGGTGTCACGTGCATATTCCCTATTGGTAATACGCACGTGTTGTACACTTTCCTTTTCATTGCATTAGTATATTGTTTACTATTTAGCACTTCTTTGAGAGACCAAAAGCTTTCCCATGCATTGGCTACCCGCCTTTCTATTTCTGAATCAATATGATTGTTGAAGGCAATAAGTTGACTTAGATATATATATAGCAATTTTTCATATTCTATTTCTTCCTGATCTACTGAAATGCTTATTTGGGATCTATTTGTTATTATTCTAGTCTTTGTTTTGTTTGTTGTTATGAAAGCACATACATATTATATAGAAAATACCCAAACTCCAAAACAAATATTTACAGATCATACAAGCATATGATTCGACCCGGGAATCGAGCCCGAGACCTCGGCACTGCACCACCTAGACAGTCAAAAAGATTCTTAACAGCTTTATATTTACTGTACAACTTTACTTCATCTTTACATATAAAACATCCCAAATTATTGTCATTGAAGAACAAAGATAAAAAAGGCAATGAATGACTTTACCTACGTGGCGACATTTCAAATTGTAATATTCGAATTTATGTTCAGTACGGGCTATCATTCATACACATTGACGAGCCTGGGGACGACCCCGCAGTTCCCCAACCCCAGGCCCAGCCAGCCGCGACACCAATACCAAAACGCGTGCTCGCGCTCGACACCTTCTCATCGGACGAGGATGACTTTCGACCTGGAGAACTCTTTGCTAAGCACCTGCAAAAGAATAGTGATTCGCAAAGCAGCTCCTCTGATACTGGTGAGTAATAAATCCTCATGAAATCATATTGGGTCAAAATGTTATTGATAATATCTGTTTTAATAATACAGTGCATGTATTTGTTTTCTGCACTGTTAACACACAGAAACGCGAGAGTTTATCTATGTATTTTAGTTTACCACTTTGACTTCTTTATGCTTCTTATTTGAAATCTTCTTGCTCCCAGTCTTATTAATCAAACAATGCAGAAAGTATCACCGGTAACACACACAAATAGGCAATCATAAAAAATCCTCTACAGCTTAAATATAAATCACGTTAATTTACGTTTAAATCTATTTCAGGAGCACAAATAAGGCAAGCTACATCACAAGCTCTCAAAAACATATCAGAATCCTCAACCAAGCTGATGAAGACCCCTATAAATAAGCCTAGCAGTAGACGAGACACTGTTTCGACGAGCGCAGGTGGCAGCGGCAGGTCGGACAGGTCGCGGGACACGCTGTTGTACACCAACGATGACGAGAGACCGCACGCTAAGATAGACCAGGTAGTTCAACGACATAAAGAACAGAAACAAAAAGAAGATAAAACTCAAATGAAGGTTGACAAAAAAGAAAGGTCAAATGGAAGTAGTCATAGACCTAGGGAAGAAAACCATCCCCCTAAACGAAGAAAGAGTTCTTCACCCACTGCGAGTGAGACGCCTCCAAGCAAAAGAGCCAACAAGAATTCTGACAGTTCAAGTGATCGTAAGAAGAGAGAGGAAAAGAGAAATAAACCACATGCGGGCAGTGAGGAAAGTGAACAAGGTAGATATTATTTCAAAGCATTTTAGCATTTATTGCAAAATAAAATTAATATGGATGAAACATACTTTTTTAAAATTGTTTATTAATTTAGCACAGATACACTGTAACTTTATATTTCAAAAAACAGCTGATAGACATTATTTTTAAAGGTATAAAGTAGTTATACATTAAGTTTAAACTAGTTTAAAAAACGACGATGATGGAAGCGATTTTCTGCAAAAATTAAATGAATTTCAATTTTATTTTGGACAATATCACCTTGTGGTGTGCTTCCCGTGCGTAGCTGGGGCAAAATTCCAGTTTGTTAAATAATATTTAAATATAACTAGTGTCGGGTAAACGATGGCAAATTGTTATATTGCAGAAGGCGAGGAGTGTTCTGAGCCCCACACGATCCTCAGCGGGGTGGTGCTGGTGCTCAGCGGCTACGAGAACCCGGAGCGTGCCAACGTGCGAAACACCGCTCTGGCGCTGGGCGCGCTCGTGCAGCGTGACTGGGGGCCTTCCTGCACCCATCTCGTGTAAGACCCACTACTGACTCTGATACCCGTGTACTAACAGCGCGACTGGGGGCCTACTTGCACCCATCTCGTGTGAGACCCACTAACTTTAAAACGATTTTCTGTAATCACTCGGCGAGTGGGAACTCATAATAGATAAGGTTTTGTCGATACCGGCGGTGTCATTCAGCAAACGGTCGTAGCGCCTAAGCGTGGTATGACACAGTAGCGCACGTTACAGTTGCGCGTTCCCGAACACGCCGAAGCTGCGCGCGGTGCGTGCGGCCCCGGGCGGCGCGGCGGTGCCGGTGGTGCGCGCCGCCCGGGTACTGGAGTGTGAGCGCCTAAGCGTGGTATGACACAGTAGCGCACGTTACAGTTGCGCGTTCCCGAACACGCCGAAGCTGCGCGCGGTGCGTGCGGCCCCGGGCGGCGCGGCGGTGCCGGTGGTGCGCGCCGCCCGGGTACTGGAGTGTGAGCGCCTAAGCGTGGTATGACACAGTAGCGCACGTTACAGTTGCGCGTTCCCGAACACGCCGAAGCTGCGCGCGGTGCGTGCGGCCCCGGGCGGCGCGGCGGTGCCGGTGGTGCGCGCCGCCCGGGTACTGGAGTGTGAGCGCCTAAGCGTGGTATGACACAGTAGCGCACGTTACAGTTGCGCGTTCCCGAACACGCCGAAGCTGCGCGCGGTGCGTGCGGCCCCGGGCGGCGCGGCGGTGCCGGTGGTGCGCGCCGCCCGGGTACTGGAGTGTGAGCGCCTAAGCGTGGTATGACACAGTAGCGCACGTTACAGTTGCGCGTTCCCGAACACGCCGAAGCTGCGCGCGGTGCGTGCGGCCCCGGGCGGCGCGGCGGTGCCGGTGGTGCGCGCCGCCCGGGTACTGGAGTGTGAGCGCCTAAGCGTGGTATGACACAGTAGCGCACGTTACAGTTGCGCGTTCCCGAACACGCCGAAGCTGCGCGCGGTGCGTGCGGCCCCGGGCGGCGCGGCGGTGCCGGTGGTGCGCGCCGCCCGGGTACTGGAGTGTGAGCGCCTAAGCGTGGTATGACACAGTAGCGCACGTTACAGTTGCGCGTTCCCGAACACGCCGAAGCTGCGCGCGGTGCGTGCGGCCCCGGGCGGCGCGGCGGTGCCGGTGGTGCGCGCCGCCCGGGTACTGGAGTGTGAGCGCCTAAGCGTGGTATGACACAGTAGCGCACGTTACAGTTGCGCGTTCCCGAACACGCCGAAGCTGCGCGCGGTGCGTGCGGCCCCGGGCGGCGCGGCGGTGCCGGTGGTGCGCGCCGCCCGGGTACTGGAGTGTGAGCGCCTAAGCGTGGTATGACACAGTAGCGCACGTTACAGTTGCGCGTTCCCGAACACGCCGAAGCTGCGCGCGGTGCGTGCGGCCCCGGGCGGCGCGGCGGTGCCGGTGGTGCGCGCCGCCCGGGTACTGGAGTGTGAGCGCCTAAGCGTGGTATGACACAGTAGCGCACGTTACAGTTGCGCGTTCCCGAACACGCCGAAGCTGCGCGCGGTGCGTGCGGCCCCGGGCGGCGCGGCGGTGCCGGTGGTGCGCGCCGCCCGGGTACTGGAGTGTGAGCGCCTAAGCGTGGTATGACACAGTAGCGCACGTTACAGTTGCGCGTTCCCGAACACGCCGAAGCTGCGCGCGGTGCGTGCGGCCCCGGGCGGCGCGGCGGTGCCGGTGGTGCGCGCCGCCCGGGTACTGGAGTGTGAGCGCCTAAGCGTGGTATGACACAGTAGCGCACGTTACAGTTGCGCGTTCCCGAACACGCCGAAGCTGCGCGCGGTGCGTGCGGCCCCGGGCGGCGCGGCGGTGCCGGTGGTGCGCGCCGCCCGGGTACTGGAGTGTGAGCGCCTAAGCGTGGTATGACACAGTAGCGCACGTTACAGTTGCGCGTTCCCGAACACGCCGAAGCTGCGCGCGGTGCGTGCGGCCCCGGGCGGCGCGGCGGTGCCGGTGGTGCGCGCCGCCCGGGTACTGGAGTGTGAGCGCCTAAGCGTGGTATGACACAGTAGCGCACGTTACAGTTGCGCGTTCCCGAACACGCCGAAGCTGCGCGCGGTGCGTGCGGCCCCGGGCGGCGCGGCGGTGCCGGTGGTGCGCGCCGCCCGGGTACTGGAGTGTGAGCGCCTAAGCGTGGTATGACACAGTAGCGCACGTTACAGTTGCGCGTTCCCGAACACGCCGAAGCTGCGCGCGGTGCGTGCGGCCCCGGGCGGCGCGGCGGTGCCGGTGGTGCGCGCCGCCCGGGTACTGGAGTGTGAGCGCCTAAGCGTGGTATGACACAGTAGCGCACGTTACAGTTGCGCGTTCCCGAACACGCCGAAGCTGCGCGCGGTGCGTGCGGCCCCGGGCGGCGCGGCGGTGCCGGTGGTGCGCGCCGCCCGGGTACTGGAGTGTGAGCGCCTAAGCGTGGTATGACACAGTAGCGCACGTTACAGTTGCGCGTTCCCGAACACGCCGAAGCTGCGCGCGGTGCGTGCGGCCCCGGGCGGCGCGGCGGTGCCGGTGGTGCGCGCCGCCCGGGTACTGGAGTGTGAGCGCCTAAGCGTGGTATGACACAGTAGCGCACGTTACAGTTGCGCGTTCCCGAACACGCCGAAGCTGCGCGCGGTGCGTGCGGCCCCGGGCGGCGCGGCGGTGCCGGTGGTGCGCGCCGCCCGGGTACTGGAGTGTGAGCGCCTAAGCGTGGTATGACACAGTAGCGCACGTTACAGTTGCGCGTTCCCGAACACGCCGAAGCTGCGCGCGGTGCGTGCGGCCCCGGGCGGCGCGGCGGTGCCGGTGGTGCGCGCCGCCCGGGTACTGGAGTGTGAGCGCCTAAGCGTGGTATGACACAGTAGCGCACGTTACAGTTGCGCGTTCCCGAACACGCCGAAGCTGCGCGCGGTGCGTGCGGCCCCGGGCGGCGCGGCGGTGCCGGTGGTGCGCGCCGCCCGGGTACTGGAGTGTGAGCGCCTAAGCGTGGTATGACACAGTAGCGCACGTTACAGTTGCGCGTTCCCGAACACGCCGAAGCTGCGCGCGGTGCGTGCGGCCCCGGGCGGCGCGGCGGTGCCGGTGGTGCGCGCCGCCCGGGTACTGGAGTGTGAGCGCCTAAGCGTGGTATGACACAGTAGCGCACGTTACAGTTGCGCGTTCCCGAACACGCCGAAGCTGCGCGCGGTGCGTGCGGCCCCGGGCGGCGCGGCGGTGCCGGTGGTGCGCGCCGCCCGGGTACTGGAGTGTGAGCGCCTAAGCGTGGTATGACACAGTAGCGCACGTTACAGTTGCGCGTTCCCGAACACGCCGAAGCTGCGCGCGGTGCGTGCGGCCCCGGGCGGCGCGGCGGTGCCGGTGGTGCGCGCCGCCCGGGTACTGGAGTGTGAGCGCCTAAGCGTGGTATGACACAGTAGCGCACGTTACAGTTGCGCGTTCCCGAACACGCCGAAGCTGCGCGCGGTGCGTGCGGCCCCGGGCGGCGCGGCGGTGCCGGTGGTGCGCGCCGCCCGGGTACTGGAGTGTGAGCGCCTAAGCGTGGTATGACACAGTAGCGCACGTTACAGTTGCGCGTTCCCGAACACGCCGAAGCTGCGCGCGGTGCGTGCGGCCCCGGGCGGCGCGGCGGTGCCGGTGGTGCGCGCCGCCCGGGTACTGGAGTGTGAGCGCCTAAGCGTGGTATGACACAGTAGCGCACGTTACAGTTGCGCGTTCCCGAACACGCCGAAGCTGCGCGCGGTGCGTGCGGCCCCGGGCGGCGCGGCGGTGCCGGTGGTGCGCGCCGCCCGGGTACTGGAGTGTGAGCGCCTAAGCGTGGTATGACACAGTAGCGCACGTTACAGTTGCGCGTTCCCGAACACGCCGAAGCTGCGCGCGGTGCGTGCGGCCCCGGGCGGCGCGGCGGTGCCGGTGGTGCGCGCCGCCCGGGTACTGGAGTGTGAGCGCCTAAGCGTGGTATGACACAGTAGCGCACGTTACAGTTGCGCGTTCCCGAACACGCCGAAGCTGCGCGCGGTGCGTGCGGCCCCGGGCGGCGCGGCGGTGCCGGTGGTGCGCGCCGCCCGGGTACTGGAGTGTGAGCGCCTAAGCGTGGTATGACACAGTAGCGCACGTTACAGTTGCGCGTTCCCGAACACGCCGAAGCTGCGCGCGGTGCGTGCGGCCCCGGGCGGCGCGGCGGTGCCGGTGGTGCGCGCCGCCCGGGTACTGGAGTGTGAGCGCCTAAGCGTGGTATGACACAGTAGCGCACGTTACAGTTGCGCGTTCCCGAACACGCCGAAGCTGCGCGCGGTGCGTGCGGCCCCGGGCGGCGCGGCGGTGCCGGTGGTGCGCGCCGCCTGGCTGCTGGAGAGCGCCGCGCGGCGTCGGCGCCTGCCCTGGCGCTGGTTCGCCACCGAGCCGCACCAGCGGCGCGCGCGACCCGACCCCGCGCCCGCCCCGGCCCCCGCCCCGGCCCCCGCCTCCGGCCCCGAGACAGGTACCTCCACCGTTGCTCTCTGCGCAACATCTCTACACCCTTCATAACGTCATTAATATTTTGTTTATATGAAACTTTATGTAATCGTAGTACATGTAACTTCGCACAAAAAAATATAGTTATAATAACATTCTACGAGAGAAGGAAAACTTGATACAAACCCTATACCGACCCGTCTGGCCTGCGTGGTATAATAGACCAAAACCTCCTTTCTAAGGAGAGGCTAATGTCCAGCAGTGGACTGTTAAAAGCTGTTGATGAATATTCTACCACGTTCACACGACACCGTCTAGTCCTAAACTAAACAAAACTTGTACTATGAATACTAGACACCTAATATAAATACATAAATCCTTTTTTTTGTAAATACATACATATTTTTATTTCACCGCTTACTACTACGCTAAATGTTATGGGTTGGATCCCCACATGGGACGACACTGTGTGATCCACAAATTGTCGTTCTGAGTCTGGGTGTTCTTTATGTTCATTTCATGTCTGTTTGTAAAGTCCCCGCAACACAAAATTTATTCATACTACGAAAGTTGTCGTTAAAAAAAAAACACACCCAAACCGAATCAAACATTAAATGTTCATACACAAACAAATGTTTAACTTAAACAGCAATCCAACCCGTGACTTTTGGAATAGCAATCCGTTACACAAACCACTATGTGTCCTTCCTCTCGATTTCCTGCAATCTGTGAGAACACCAATATACACGAACAGTGTAGTAATAGCAAATGCGACTACTGTGCTGAGCTCTCAGATTCTATTCCCGTATGATCAGCAATTTTTTTCGGAGTTTGAGCGTTTTCTATGTATAAAATGTATGTATTTACAAATAAGTATTCTATCAGCTTATCCAGCTTTCATAGTACAAACTCTGCTTAGTTTGAAACTAGATGGCGTTGTGTGTGTCAGATGTGTGACACCTACCATCTGACTGGCACTCGGCCATTGATCACCGAACGGTTTCGTGTTACACACTTTCGTCCCCCTTTCACGAAGTCATTCCCACAAAAGTCCGTTCATTTAAATTTTAGTGCAGTAGTTCATTTCAATTTGTAGTGCTGATTACGTCCGTAATCAATATCCACAGACTTAATTAACACCAAACAATTTTCAGAATGCGACACCGACGACGAAATAGAGAAAGTTCTTCAGAAACAAAAAACAAAACGGCACTTGCAGGGGGCAAGTGACGACAAACTCGTGAAATCCCCCCAACGCTCGCCACCCTCGTCCATGGACGTCGACGAAGGCCCCTCCACTGACGAAGATACCGCTGAAGAGCCGGCGGTGCCAAAGTTTGGCGGAGCACTGCCCAACTTCTTCGACGGGTATACGTTTGCTATAGATGATGAACACTCGGATGCTGAGCAGCTGAGCCGATATATAAAGGCTTACGGGGGACTCACGTTGCAGGTCAGTTCCACCTTTTATACATATTTATATTAAACATAGAGATGAGAGAATAAAAGTGTTGAGCGCAATGATATTGTAAGTGATTTGATTTTAACTAATAGTATCATCTGTTGAGCGTGCGCCTAGTTTGTATTACATACTAATTAATTTGTATCTCTATATTTAATTGTCTTGTATACGTTACTTTACTTTCAACTACAATATTAAGTTTTCGTTGTTATTGCTCAGTTAATCTGTGTATTTCAGCTATTGTTTCGGTGACCTAAAAATTTAACAAAACTGTTATTTTGTATTCTCATACAAGTGGCTTTTGTATTGTATTTTTGAGAATAATGATTTAAACCTATATATATATATATATATATATATATATATATATATATATATATATATATATGCAAATGTTATGTTGGTTTGTGTATGGTTTAAAAATTCAAAAAAATCAGCATCAATTGAGCTCAAATTTTGACACGATAAACAACATGCTTCAAAGATGGTTTTTAACTTTTTTTTTTTCAACCACAATGTGCCACAGAGAAGGATGGCCAGGGTACAGATAGATTTTTAAAAAAACTTGCACAATAATCGATACTAAAATCATTTTTTCATTTTGTCTGTCTGTCTATACTTGGCAGCGTATTACGACTAACTACTAAATGGATTGAAATGAGACATCATGATTTGAGTTCATACTATGAGGACACTGGATACTCTTCATCCTGAATTCTTGTGCATTTTCACAGGACAAACAGGGTTAAACAAGGTAATAAATTCAAGAAGGAATGCTACACAAGGGTATCAAACCCATAATAGATAGTGTTGTGCTATAGGATTAACTGGTAATCGAGAAACGTATGAAATATTGAGGAAAGCACCATCTAGTATCAAATAATGCACAACGAACAGTACGCGTTGGGATTGTTTAATAATTCCGATACATGCAGCGTTAGTGTTGGATAACGGAAGATTATAGGTACTGGAAGTTCCTCGTTATCTGGAATCTATTATCTATCAATTCCCCATAAAAGCGGAGCCTGTTGGCCGTACGACCGACTATTGTTTTATGAAACAACAGATTAACATCTAAGTGATTTTTTAGCTCGACTAAGGAGTTATTTATTAGTTCAGTTATTGTGTGTAAAAGTGTGTGTTAATAAATACACTGCTAATTTTTTAATTAACATTGTATATTTTTGTCAAACTCCCGGCTCGTAAAAATAGCAAAGATAAAAATTAGTCATGTAAATTATGCTTTTTCTTATTTATATGTAGATACGTGGTGTATCTACATCATTATTTTTTACAGTTACCCATAAGGCCTGATAAAAAGTTGTACAGAAAATAATAATTATAGTCAACAGTATTAGGCGCTGGATATTACTTGCGCTCATAGTTATCGTTGTATTGTTCCAGTTGTCAGAAGTAGAGGAAGACAGCGAAGTGGACTACGTGGTTGGGGGGGCGGGGGCGGGGGCGGTGGGGGGCGCTCGGCGCGTGTCCGCTGGCTGGGTGGCGCGCTGTCACCGCGCGCGCGCGCTTCTGCCGCCCGACTGAGCCACACACATACACTCGATAATTTCTTGTAATAAATGTACATTCAAACCCGGTGCTTATGTACATTCCTTGATTACTTGCCGTTCCCTACACTTTCACCTGATGTTATAAGCACTGCTTCGCTGCTATCGCCGCACTTAAGAACTTCACACTGGTGATGAACATACTTATACATATAATAGGGGTTAAGATATGAAATTTCCGTTGTATAGTAATCGACACTTTGAATTGACATAAACCTTAATGGTGTAAGATTTTCGTTTAAAACTTTTTTCACATGATACCAATGAGTTTAAAAATATGCAACATTCGATTTTCAATTGATTTTTTTATTCAGCTTAGACGTAAAAGATGGATACTTCGAAATTCCGAGTCATTTTTGAATATGAATTCTGACGCAGAACCAACGCGGCAGAAACGGCTCGCAATATCAACGCTGCGTTTGGAGAGGAGACTGCTAATTAACACATCGTGCGCTTTTGGTTTAAACGATTTTTAAGAGCTGTTTGTTAATTTCTTATGATTACTTTGTAAGTTTTGGTACAAAAATATATAAAAAAGGAGCATCTAGGTAATGGCTTGACAATTTTCACTTACGCACTGGTCATACAGAAATATTCTCTCTCAAACAGTAAACACTTAGCAATAAGTTTACCCGGCACTTTTTAAAAATTAATACAAATCGAACTCATCGGCGAAATCACGTCACTCAATGTTTTTATATTAACTTATTACTAGTTATATCCTTAAACTATTTACACAATTATTTGCTTACTTACACTTAATAATAGGCCCACCAAACAAACAAAACTTGGCCAATGTTGAAATTTTTCGACAGACTAAGATGTGCCATCAAAAAAACTTCAATGTGCCATCAAAAACAAAACTTGTAAAAAAACAAGATATGATAAGGTGAGATAAGATAACGGAAGATTTTTGATTTGCAGTTAAATACTAATTTAACTGCAAATGAAAAATATTCCGTTTTTATATAAAAAAAAAGCCCAATATTTTATCTTATCTCCCCTTATCATATCTTGCTTTTTTTTTACAAGTTTTGTTTATGCTGTAGTTAATTGTTTTTGGGTAGTCCCAAAAACAATTTTCTTCAGCATCTTGTAAATAGATTATTAGTCTAAAAATGATACATACATTCAAGACAACAATGATGCACAGATCTATACAAATCTCAAATGTCGAGTTTAAATCATATGTGGCAAACCTAATGCCAAAGACATTTTTTTCCAGTTTGCTATCAGTAAAAGTTGATTACTATAATACGCTTTACACAAATGATTAAGACATGTGTAACTACATGTAACTCTTTTCGTATATTATTTTAGTTTATGGCAAAACTTGATGCTGCCATTGCAGTCTGAGTGTCTGTCTGGCGACCTCGAACATCGAAACCATCAACGAATAATGCGTTATAATGAAACTCGGGGTTGATATTAAACAAATATATATGTATTAACATACAATGTGTGTAAGACGCCGCATGTTGTTGACGACACCAATGTTCGTAACGCTCGATGTGAAGCAGCTCTCACTGTGATGTCAACAGCGTCAGCTTCTCGTTGAGCTGCAGTTGTGTCTTGATCAGTTGAGCCAAGGTCACCACCTGCACAAGATACTTTATATTAACCAAATAATATTTAAGACTTAAAGACGGCTTTAGGCAAAAATCTAATTAATTGATTTTTAGGATTGGTAATACCAACATTAGTAATAGCAATACTTAATAACAACTTCTAACTAAGTTCATTCAAATTTTGCTTTATATTTACGTCAAGTAAAAAAGGTTTTTATTTGCTTCTTGGCTGTTAATATTACTTGTTGGTTTAAAAATAAAATTACCATAAGCAAGTCCTTAACACTGGATGCAAATGCATCTGCAAAAGTGTCAGCAGATAAGTTAGGCACAGAATTGACAAGCTCGAGCAGCTGCCTTCCAGCTGCATTGTTCGGCTCTGTCTTCTCGGCTAAAACATCCTCAACGTAAGCTAGCACTTGATCCAACAAAGATGATAACTTGGATGCAGCTTCAGCCACTTGTGCCAGGTCTAACATGGGCTGCACTTGCCGCGATCGTCCCCCACCACCCATTGTCTTCTGGCAGAGATTCAAACCTACAATCTGAAAAGATGTTATTTATATTTTAGTCGTAGAAATACTAGGATAGATTAACCTGAAGATTTAAGACAACCAAGTAGCAGACAGCAACTTAGCCAATTCAGTCTTATTCTAAAAAGTGTTCAGAACGTAAGAATTTCCTTTTTCAGGTTAGGATATAAGCCAAGAAGTATAGTAATCCTGTATGGATTAATATGCTTCATGAGAAAGATTATCCAGGGACACAAATGAACTAAGTTATGATGTTAATTTATCAATTTCTTCTTATTTTTAACAAACTCTTCAATTCAACTGTTCTTTTTCCATGTTTAGTTCCTCGATTTTCCTAAAAATAAACAAATGATATTCTACCACATTCACAGAACATCATCTAGATTAGAGTTTATTCAGATTCCAAATGATTAGGACTGAACAATTTGACACAATACATACCTCAGGCTCATAACAGGTGAGTGAGACATCAATAGGTGTGAACATGCAGCCAAGCTTTCCACGTGGCACACCTAGGGCCACACACACATAGGCACGCAGGCCCATGCGGGCGCCCTGCAGGGACGTATCCAGGGTCACATGTACTGGCTCTCGGCACTCGCGTGAGTAATACTCATGGATCACAGAGGAGTGGTTGGTTACCTCATTGCCAGTTGCCCACCAACCTGTAACATTTAAGGTACTTTGCTATCAAATAAATAATAATAGTATGCATATTCAATATTTAAAAAACACTTATGTTTACAGGAATTAACTTGCACACTAACATCTCGACAATGTTACACTGGCAGAGGTCATAGGCTGACTGAGTCAAGTGTTTTTCAAATCTTCACAAATTTGGAAACATAGGATATGGCTCCTACTACTCTCAAAAGTTGGTGGTAGAAATCTTTATAAAATATGTTATACTCTCTTACAAGTATTAGACAGATAAGTGTACTAAATGTTTTTTCTGTTAGGTACCAAAAAATTATAACTGCAACAGATTTGTTATTAGACATTTAACATTAAATAAATCTTCTTATTGGAGCGAAGTTCCTTATCGCGCGTTGTGAAGGGGGCCAGACGGGAAAAAATCTCATGAAAAGTTGTGACGACACTTTTTATGTCAGTCATTCAGCGCCATCTATCGAATAGATAGGAAATCATTTCTCAAGGAGATTTTACCAATGTATAAATTGTTTTAATTAGAAAGCAACTGAAAAATATGTAGGTAATAGCCGCCTACATAGATGGCGTTGTAATTAAAATCGTGTCGAATCAGTTTTACTCGATCGTCACAACTTCGTTCCTATCGGGTGTCCCACGACACCACACGGCTTTTTTTATGTATGGCATTGTTATGAAAATGAAAGGACATTTGTTATTTACTAGTTAGAAAATAGTAATTTTATATCTATATTTATAACTTGTGCATGATTATTAGAATGATAAGTTATATGATGATGACAACTGTAATACTGATACCATTTACAGCTGAATATTTTACAGAATATGTAATAATAGACTTACCGACGATGTTTTCTGACGCATTAACGCGTCTATTTAGCTCGTAAACATCCATAGCGTAGTTGAGTTCAGCCTCCACCTGGTCGGCATGTTCCTTGTGCGGCACACAGAAGCAATTGGTTACCTCCACAACCCCCTTGTCGCAAGTGCCTATGCATCATAACATAACCTCAATTAGGACCTTTCACTTTATATTTATTTTTTAACACGCTTAATAGTGATTACACGTAATGGTTATCAGACCTAAATATCATCCTGTACGCTACATAATTCACAACTAATAATTAATTATTGAGCTAAATCAAGAACACATGACAGCAGTTTTTACCTGGCAGATTTTGCTTTATGTGATTTATTATTAAAACCGGTTCTGGTGCAAATATTACTTACCCAACAAGGTGCCAATAACTCTGTGGGAATCTGCATTTCGTCGCTCGTAAGCATCTACAATTTGAAATAATACTACGGGATGAACCTTGACACTTAAGTTAAGCGCCATGTTGGAAACAAGAGCTGACAAGATGACAGTGTTGCCGAATCCTAAACTTAGGTACTGTTACAGAGTAAATATACTCTCTGCCTACAACCCCACTGCCATTATTGAATATTACTATCGTTATAAAATATCCAAACCTAAAAATAGGGATAGGCGAATAAAGAATTACTTATTATAAGTTTTTTGTTAGAACGACAGTTAGAAATAATATCTCGCTTTAGTTATCTCATAGAAATATTGTTAAACCCCCTGGCTAAACAGCGTTAAACTCGCTGTCGACGCGCGGTTATTATTTTTGTAACTATGTAGTGATAGAAGAATTAAAATGTACATCCACAAATACGACTGTAGTTTGTTAGTCTAGAATCCTAGATCTAAACGGATACGGATCCAGAGCTACAATAACATTTATCCTCGGGTAATGGTAATACGGGGACCTTGAAGATACAGTTACCTTAGAGCATTAACGCAATATGTCTCAACTTGCACTGCAATCTTTAGAGGTTTGATGTCTGTTATAGATGGGCAGAGAATTTTAACCATTGTGTTAAAATGTGTTTAGGCAGGCAGGAACGTGTTTAAACCTAAATAAAAAACCAAATAGTGGGATTTTAGTTATTATCACTAAAAACGAAAACTACTACTTAATAAAAAGTTTTTTTGCTTTTTTCAAGCCCTCTATCACTTCAGGACATCAAATATAACAATTATTGCCTTTTGAATAGATTAGTTTCAATGTTTGTTTTTTTTTGTTTGTTGGAAGGATTTCACCTGTTTTAAATTTTCAGTGTTATATACATACATTATGTGTGTGAGCTTGAACTCTAAATGTGCGTTCTGTGACTGCAAATATACATGGTGCCATCAGAATTCACAATGCCACTTTAACTTAATTTTGTAGAACTGCAAATACCTTTCCAAAAAACACAACTTTAAATTTCTCCCAGGCAACGCCACATAAGTGTTTGCTCTAAAAGCATTCTTTTGCTTTATAGTCCATCCGCCATAGCCAGTTTCAGTTAAAAAGAATTTAACAAATGGATATGAGTAGAAAAAAGAACATTGCAGTTTATTTATGTTGATATTTCCATTTACGGGTATGAAAAACCATGGGAGGGAATTCATGGATTTAGACTGAAACTGAAAAATTTAGACCCAGTCTTTTGCCCATCTCTAACTTATTATAAAGACAGTTAAATATCACATTGCGTTACAAATATAAGTAACTCACTAATTATTGAAAAACGTAACCTACTTCATTTTGTTAAATAAATTTTTTGACTGCACGTATGGCGTACCTAGTAGTTTTAAACGGTCGCCTTGTCGTTCTTACCTCCTTCGTGAGTGTTGTGGGTTTGATCGCCACATATGACAACACTGTGTGATCCCCAAATTGTTTTACTGAGCCCAGAATGATCCCTACACAGGATATAATATTCCTAGTGTAAGAATTGACTTTTAAAAACAAAAAATAATTTAGATTTCATGAAATTATTTATTACTTTCATGATATCTAAATTCGATAACACGATATAATATTAAAGATAAACAAGCAGAACTCAAAAGTAAAAGATAATATTCGTCTTTTTTCTGCAGGATATCTGCAAATATATATCCCACACGTCCACATACCAGGTGATATAACCTTCAACCATAGGTTTCATTGGCTTGCTTAAGGTAAGCAGGCTAAGCTTATTCTAAATTGTACCTAAATCCCATAGCTTTAAAGTTGTATTTTAATGTTCATTCCTTTATGTTTTGTGAGAGCAGCGTTGAATAAAGTATTAGTGCTGACCTCTTTTTTCGAAACTTTTTAACCATTGATATAATACTTACATAGATGAGTAATTACCGCCTAAAATCGTTGCTACTGCACATCTGTCCACAGCCATATGCGTAGCAAACGTCAATTCAGTGTTCAATGTGGCGTCAACCGAGTTGAACATAGCGACACATGACAGTAACAATCGCCAAAATGGGTAAATGCGTAGTGAAAGAATGCGATTCAAGGTCACAAAACCATAATAAATCATGCGGAATGACTTATCACGTGTAAGTTTATGGTTTTTGTATTGATAATATCGTAAATAAGGCTATAATTGAAATAAAACATTGATAATTGTAATTTAGAATCAGTGTTACCATTAAAAAATCATTTTGGTTTTCCCACATTAGTGGGAGAATTTATAATTTATGAAATAATATGCTTTATACTGTTTTTAAACATTTTGCCAATAATAATAAAATATAAGAAGAACGGTAGTTGTTAGGGCTGGACCGATCACTTTTTTTAGGGACCTGTTGAACGTTCACCTTCTGCCAAGCTCGCAGTGCTGGAGAGTTTTGTACAAAAGAATTAATTAATTCATTCATTCATTTTTCTTAATTAATTATCAATTATAAATAATAATTGTACAAAAAAAAATATATAAAATAAAAAGTAAATAAATATATATATAAAGAAACAAAAAAAATAATAATTTTTTTTATTTGCATTTTAAAATATTAAAAGAATTTGCAATATACCCTGGGGATTATTTATTATCAGTACAAGTTGATCATTCACTTTTATTATTAAATGCCATTATTTATACGTAGGTAAAAATAAGATTGTATCATGAAAGTAAAATATCCACACAAACTTATAAAAAAGAGTCTAAAAGACAATTGTATACAAAACTGATGCTTCATAGCGGACTTTGATTTTACACTGAAGATAAACCCTTTTAACCAAATATTTCTAGTTAATTTATTATTTATACCTATTCCATTCAATTCGAAATATATTATTTGAAATATTTAAATTAATTTATTTTATTACAAAATTGTTTTAAAAAAAAATTGTTTTTTGGTTGTTATGGGTAAAATTTCATACGGCAGTCAACACTGGCCCACCATCGTAAAGTTATGTCTTTGTCTAATCCGAGCGATGGTATTGTTCTTGTCTCGCGTGTAAATGAGACATAAATATGTTTAATTTCAAATGTTTCGTGGTATCAAAGCTACGTCGTCAAAGTTCAAAAGTGTTTACACTTTTTTCGACGTGTGATCATGAGGTTTGCTTCTCTAGTGTTTTGTTTTAACTCAATGTTTTTAACTAAGAAAACCTGTATACAAAATGAATAAAATTACATCCCCAATATGTTATCAACAAATATAATTAAGGTCTTATAATTTATATAACAATAACTTAAAAACAAAACATGTCTATTGTCTAGTTTTACTGTAACAAAGTATTGCAGTTTAGATTTCAACAACAACTACCAAGGCTAGGTTGAGTTAACCTTTACACAATAACAGACAAAAATAATATTCAGTTATCTTGTTCAAAACATTGTCCTAAATTCTAACTATATACAGCACTGCATTTAATATATACTATTAATTCTCTTGTGAAGGCGCAGTATGGATGCGGATGCCATGCATTTCTGCTATCTCAGTTTTCAAAGATTCTGTTACTAGCCGATGTTGTTTCACACGGGTCAGGCCAGTGAATTCCTTAGCTTCTACACTAATCTGAAAACAAATTGAAAAAACAACACTGATATTAGCAACTATTATTGCTGTGTATAGTTCCAAACTAGGCAGAACCTGTACTACGGTAACCAATCTACTAATAAACATATTTATATATTTCTAAATACATACATATTACCTACAGGTAAATTACACCCAGGAAATAAAAAGGTAAATATAATAATAATAATAATGAAAGGTGAATTTCGAACATTCATTCAATTTTCTATAATTTATGGCGGGACACTATAATTTATGAATGCAGTAAATAGGTACCTCATACATAGCGCCACAACCACCTGAGATGTCTTGCACACTTAGGTAAGTAATACCAGGCAGTGAGCGCTTCAATACGTCGGAGAGCTGTTGTTCCTTCGTCACACTGTTGCGTTCAAATGCTGTGCCATTGCTAGCACTGCCGGTGTTATTGCTCCCAGCCGAAGCACGAAAAAACTGAAATATATAACGGTTCCGATTCTTATAATCTAGGAAAGAACTTGTTACTGTATACAACTTCAGTGGGATCCAATATATCTCACCAGGTGATTTCGCACTGGTTCTAAAATCTTTGAGAGGTTACGAAACATTTTTGAAGTAGTTCTATTTACGAAATTGCTACCAGGTAAACTTTATAAAGTATTTAAAATTGCATTCTTTATTCCATTTAAACGAAATTGTCCAAAATTTATCCCTTACAAAAAAAGATGGACCTGACCTGAATGGTCGTAAACATTTATTGAAATATTCTTAATTCAAAATAACCTTAAATAAATTAATTGCGTTCCACTGACGTTTGTGACCTTGAGTACTAGGAGTACTTAAACGAAAAGCATGAAACAAAACGTTAAAAACAGAACTTCATTTGTTGTGAAACGACCCGGCAGGTCCGGGCTGGTCTCGTTCTTTTATGACTATAACTATGACCTATACTTATACTTTCAGTATTATATAAGAAGAAAGTACTCTAACCCTACCAGCGGCTTATGCCAATATATTAAACTTACTACTATTGGTGTCGGTATGGAGTAGGTAATTATTTATACTATTATTTTGACAGGACTAAACTACAGGACATCTTTATATGCAATATTTATAGGTCCGCTCCAATCCTGCAGGCCGCTGCGGTCGGACGTACGGCTTGACGGTAGCTGGACCACGCGATTTTAAACCTCTAATATCTTCTAAAATATTCATTTTAATGATATGCTGTAAATCTACATTAAATGCACAACGTATCTAACGTATTTAATTGGATAAGGAATAATATAATGTATTGCTTAAAATAGCTTCGTAAATTACCAATTATTTTTTGTAATATTTAGGAGATAGACATATGTCATATACCTTCGCTGACTCTTTTGTAGATCTATATTGTAAGATATAAAATTTCGTAGTGCATTATTTTGGTCTATCTCGTAAGGTTTACCCCCCGTTTGCAATGCAGAAAAACATGTTGTTTACGAAAAATCTTTAAAATTCTCGTTTTTTCTCTCCCATGATATGCATGCATTATACATTTGTACCTTTCTCTTAAATCACTCTATCTGTTGGTGAAAACCTCATTAAAATCCGTTGTGTAGTTTAAAAAAACTAAGAGGACAACACAAAAAAGTTATTTTATACTTTGTAAAGATTGTTCAAAAAGCGTTCGTATGCAAAAAGATATCGAGATTCGAGATTTGAAAGACCTTAAGGCTTCACGTCAGGTCGTAACAGTCCGGAAATACCGCAGGTTAGAGTTTTTGTTACAATTTGTTGTATTGGTTGGGTGAGGCAAATAGTATCGTTATTAGCGCACAGTGGTGGAGTGCTATGTATTGAGCAAGTGATGGAGATGAAGATGTTGTCGCGTTGAAGGATAGCGGAAAGTTATTCCTCGAAGCAGTCTCATGATGCAAGTCAATACAATATTAAACGCTCTGTCTCATTAATTTCTAGATTAGTATCTCTTTTATCTGTATTATTTGCTTGATTTGCTGCTGTTGCTGCTATGGACACAGCATATCGGGCCCCTTACCATACACAATAACAAAACGTAGAAGTTGACACTACTGACAGAGAGTACACAATGTGACAATAAAGTTTGTCTCTGTCAGTCTCTGTTGTGAAGTCAAAAACACGTGTACTTTTAAATAATTACGAGAAGATAATGTATTATATTTAATTCAAAATGCCTCCCTTTAGAATTGGATTGCTGAAACGAAAGTCGGATACTAAAGAAACTAAACCGAAGGTGTCTGACAGTGTAAGTATTTAATTTTTACATTTATTGAACCGGTAAAACAATATTTCAATTGTTAACTCGCTATAGCATGCCTTTTAGACTAGTTAGACGATACTTAAATATAAATTTCAATATCGTAGATAAGAAGTGTAATTCTGTAAATTATATAAATTATTGAGTGAATTTTATATGATCTACTTTCAGTCACAGGAAGAATCCGATGATGAGAAGTTAATAAGTGGACAGCTGGATGCTGATGGAGATGACACAGATTCTGAGCATGAGGAGGAGGAAGCTTCTGACCATGAACAAGATGTAATATTTTTTCTTTTATTTTTTGCTTAGTATTTAAAGGTTGCACATGTAGTGTGTGTAATTGTATGTAGCCTTTTTGCACATTAGAGTGAAGTGCTTTTACAAAATTAAAGCAATTAACAAGTAATTTAAATAAGTGAATTAAATTACTTTCAAAATTTCAGTTACACTGATTAGATTATAGTGGTGCAATAGGTTGTTTTCAATAATTAAGCTGTAGCTTGTAAAAGCAAAATAAATATGTTTTAGTAAATGAGTTGTGGGAAGTCCAATACAATAGACCTGCCAGTATCCCAATGTTGCTGTGGTGTGTCAAATGTTAAAGAGGTTATGTCTATATGTCGGCGTGGTGTCAGGAATAGGGTTCTCGGCGTCCATAGTGTCGAACAAATAATTACTTCACACTTTACAATGAACTGTGTATTTTAAGAAATATATTAACAATGTTTACACTTCGGGTAGTTTCAATAAACTGTCTCGACCGCCAACAATATTCACCATTTTATACACTAAACCATTTCCGTCTTAAAATAATATATAAACTCAATTCAAAACTGAAATTAACCGTTACTACATAATATTTAATCTGGTTTATAATTAATTCCTATTTAATATTAACATTATTAAAGGAACGTTTTATAACAGTCAATATTGCTTAGCGATATTACTACATAATCACGTTTCAATATGCAAATCTTAAAATTAATACAGTATAATTTTAAATTAGATAAAGATATAATTACAAATAAATACTACTTACTTTTTAAGATTATCATAACAATACTCCTTTATTTAATTTATATTAGTGCTGATATGATGTCAAATCTATTTTTGATTAATGTAAGTCAATACATACTATAATTTTACATGATTTAATTATAATAAATTTTAATGAATTATGAGTTAAACAAAGTGGATATTAAAATTAAATATTAATGTTAAAATAGATCTGAAACACGATACTTCTTAAATTTAATTTATTTAGCACTCATTATGACGTCATATCAACATTCTGTTACTATAAAATCAGTACAGCGCCCATATATACTTACTACACAATATGTAAAAGATGAATGACTTAGTGAAATAAACAACAAAATGCCTAAGCATGTCATGAAAAAACATCAGCATCATCAACAGCCTTTAACAGTCCACTGCTGGCCTCTCCTTAGAAAGTGGGTTTTGGCCTACTATACCACGCTGGCCAGACGGGTTGATATAGGGTTTGTTTCAAGTTTAGCTTCTCTTTGCAGTGCTTTGCCTGCATAGTTTGCTCCCTTAGTCGGCTCTTATGACACCCATGGGATGATAGGGATGGTGACACCCTGTATTCTTAATCCATCACCACACGGGCTAACTACATCATTACCTAACATTTTGAAGATGCAAACATCATCATTACATACTTAGCCATATATAGATAAAGTTGTGACTTATACGAGTACTGTTGGTATGTCTGCCATGGCAGAGGTCAGATTATTATGGTTAAGCTGTATATGAATGCTAAAATGGACAGCCAATACTTAGCAATTTAAGTCTTTTGATCATCAGGAACCTAGGACGTTTGTTTCGTATTAATCAGTTTACAATATACTTACATTTAATTACAGGAGGTGCTATTTGATGACAGTGCAGACTCCACATTAGGAGAAGATGAACATGTGGCTGATGCTTCGGAAGAATCATCAGTATGTATACCTTGCTTATTGAGCTTCTAAGTATTATATCAATCAGAAGACAACATAATACTTACAGTGTTGAAATAGACACAATGCCAACACAGCACCCAATAGCAGCACCTATTTCTAAGAAAAAATGTTTAGCGAAGACTTACAAGTAGGCCACTACTTCTGGCTCATAAGTTATGTTGCTAAAACCCTATTTTCCTTCTGTGAGTGTGCCCCTATTTATGGGGGAAGACAGACAGATGTAAATCTGTAAAGTAACACTTTTAAACTTTGCCAAAGAGTTTACTTTTGTTATGCCTGTGAGAGCCGATGCTGCTGTTTGCTCTTGGTTGGTTGACAGATTTTTATACCTAATTAATCCATATAATATTTACACCCATGCAAAAAAATCTCTGAAGAGATGCTGCTAAATTGTCTGTTTTATGTAGGTTTTCTCTTAGTACCGTCTCATGAAACGTAAATTATGTCAGTCATTTTAATTTTATTTATAATATGTGTGTCTTACTGTATTGCACTGTGTATCATTAGGTATAACAACAAAAATATTTTTTGTGTTCACAATAACTAAGAAACCATTGATGTAATAATAAAAATCTTCCATATATAGGACTTAGAAGATTCAGAAGAAGATGATGACGATGATGAGGGGACATCAAAAGAAGAAGAATCAGGTGATGAGTCAGAAAAAAGTAGTGTAGATAGTGGAGCTGAATCGGGTCCAGTGCATACACAATCTGGGGCTAGTGACTCAGAAACTGACAAGAAAAGCAAAAAAGATAAAAGACAGAAGGTAAAAGTAAAAAAGGACAGAGGCCAGAAAACAGAGAGCAGTATAGACCGATTGGCAGATACTATCAAGAAAACTTCCGTGACCCAGCTAAAGCCAGTGGGACAGAAGGGTGAGGCTTTAGTTTTTATTCCTTGTTTAATTGTTGTTTTGAATATTATACAGGTGTATCCCTTTTGTGAAGGTACCAGTTAATTCATGCCAAAACAGTTTAGTTTATCAACTCAATTAATTAACTGATTTCCATAATTCAAAGAGATACAATCTATGTTTACACATTATTTTGTAAATTATTTGTTGAAAGTTATTAGCTTATATAAAAAAAATGTTTGAATTGAATGAAACTTGCCCGGTGCTTAGTATGGATGCCAACATGTGATAAAAAAGTTTTAGAATATTATTTTCTAACTTACGTTTTCAAATAAAGTACATTTCATCTAACTCATGAACCTCGGACAACTGCATTCATCGGTAGAAAGAAGCACCACTGATTATTTATGAACATATGAAAAACCAAATCTTTTAGACATCAAACAAGCGTGATTTATATTTTCTACTTCTTTCTTATCTTTCTAATTTAAAAATAAAGAAAAAGTGTGTGAGTTTACTCCTTAAGAACGATTCGACTGCACACAAGTATACCAGTTATACACACACATGTGTAAGGTGCGCACTATAGGTTGCGCACAAAAAACGTAACGAGATCATTCGATCACAAAATTTTAATCTTCATAAATTTCTCATCCCCGGCGCCTTATATGAAAATCGATTCTTAAGGAGTAAACTCCAAAATTATTGGATTCAAAAGCTGTGTAGATTGTAGTGTATGGTGTTGTTGGCAGATGAGTACGAGTCCGGCGACACGTCTGACGAGGAGGACCGTCGCAACACGGTGGGCGACGTGCCCATGTGGTGGTACAACGAGTACCCGCACGTAGGCTACGACCTTGACGGGCGGCGCATCATCAAGCCGCCCCAGAGGGACCAGATCGACGAGTTCCTCAAGTTAGTGGCCTCTATTATTTAGATTATGTATTTAAAAAACTCTAGGCCCTAGGGTATTCAACCGACTGTTTCTTCTTCAAAATTCATTGTTAGTGATCAAGTGGTTAGAAAACCTGATATTATTATCATACCACATTGGGTATATGACACCGTCATATACCCAATAGGTATATGACGGTGACATCAATTTTACAAGGAAGTCAATGTAACTTGTTTTCCAAAAGATGATTTTCGTTTAAAGGAAGTGTGAAGATCCCGAGTTCTGGCGAACAGTCCGTGATCCCAGCACGGGCCAGGATGTAATTCTCAGCAAAAAAGACTTAAAATTGATACACAGGCTGAGAGAAGGACATGTCCCTGACCCTACACACGATGAGTACCAGGTACTGGTTTTATAAGTTACAAATTGAAGGTAAAGGATACTAATGCGTTGCCTACTTGGCTTTAGATTTTCAATCCTTTGCTAATATTTGAGTAATTTCATTATAAGAAAATAATGTAGATTACAGTTGGATGTAGTTAAATTCAGAGCATGCAAATTTTAAATAAATGGTTTACGTACCTTTTTTTTTAGTTGTTTAGATATTTAGTTATTGAACAATGCTGGTAAACGTATGAGATAAGAGGCAGTCAGCTAAGGCGTCTCAGAGTGCCGGTCGGTATCTATCTAATTCTTTCTGTGGTGTCCAGCCGTGGGTGGAGTGGTTCACTCGCGAGGTGCTGCAGACGCCGCTCCGCGCGTTCCCGGAGCACAAGCGCTCGTTCCTACCGTCACGCTCCGAGCAGAAGCAGGTGGCGCGCATCGTGCACGCGCTCAAGATGGGCTGGACCAAGACCAGGAAGCAGCTCGCCGACGAAAGGAGGAAGAAGAGGGTACGTCATGTCTGCTATTTATTTACCGGTATTCAATGGAATACTCGCTCACTAGCCAGTATCCGACCGGACAGTACCGATAGGAGCCATATGTATCAAAGTATCGTATGTTTATATGTCACCAGTGATTTTACTCATTGAATATATGGCTTTTGACGGATGTTTTGTGGCACCTAACGCCGAAGTGTAAGGACAACTCACATCTATGCTCGTCGAGTCTTAATCTACTCAGCAATTTTATACGAAACCTTAAATAAATATCAACGGATACCACCTCGAAAGTTTTTATCTAAGGGTTTTCATGCCAACTTGTAACATGGGTTGCGAAACGAATATTACAGGAAAAGAACTTCTACAACTTGTGGGGCTCCACCACGGAGGAGGAGGAGCAGCGCCTGCGCGGCATCCACAAGCACATCCCTGCTCCACGACGTGCCCTCCCCTCGCACGCCGAGAGCTACAACCCACCCCCGGAGTACCTGCTCGATTCTAAGGAGGTATGTGCTCCCAATCTCTGCAATGAGCGCCCGCCACTTCCGTCAAACACTAACTTACACTGTACTTTTATTTAGAATCTGTACGTAGTATGTTAAGCATTTTAGACAAAGAAAGTGATGCTCAGTCGCTAAACTTGATTCATCATTATGGACAACAGGTGACTGATATTTGTTTTTGTCTCGTCGGTTACGTATATTTTATATAGTTGTTATAATATGTTTGTCGTGTGGAGATGTAACCTCGCCATGTGTATCAGCTGAAAGAGTGGAACAAGTTGTCGGAGACCCCTTGGAAGCGCAAGTACACGTTCCTGCCCACGCAGTACGCGAGCCTGCGCCAGGTGCCGGCCTACGAGCGCTTCACGCGCGAGCGCTTCCTGCGCTGCCTCGACCTCTACCTCGCGCCGCGCGCCATCAAGATGAGGGTCAGTACCCATCTCTCCATCTCTCCACCTCTCCACCTCTCCGCCTCTCCGCCTCTCCGCCTCTCCACCTCTCCGCCTCACACACGCACCCACATTTTAACATTTAACATTATCTATTTATAATGAATGATTGTATTGTCTTATTTTACATTTATAGACAAAAAAATTCAATGCAATTTTTCGATTTAATTTAAGACCCATGATTTGAATTCATTATTTTGTTATTCCGTAAACCGATTTTCACAACCTGTATTTATCAAAAACGATAATAAATACAAATATATGATTAGGGATCAACACATGCACTATAAAAAGGTTGCCATTAAATATAGCTGTGAAGTTCTCGAGTAGTGATCGCGTACCGAAAGATGCAGGTAGATCCTCCACGAGGTGGTCCGACGACTCGGTGAAGGTTGTGGGACGTCGTCGGTAACCGGTAGCACGGGACCGGTTTTTGGTTGTGAACCTTGTGGGAGGCCTTGGACGTTTTTCGGCTAACACGTCGATGATGCTATTAAATTAAGTATATTTTATTCCAGTTGACTATCAGTCCGGAGGACTTGGTGCCGAAATTGCCGTCGCCCCGCGACCTGCAGCCCTTCCCCACGAGCGAGTCGCTGGTGATGCGCGGTCACGTAGGGCTGGTGCGGAGCGTGGACTTCGATCCCGCCGGCCAGTACGTCGTGTCCGGCGGGGACGACTGTACGCTGAGAGGTAGGGTCTCTCGCCATACGACGCATTTCAGTTTCGGGTATCGAGGAAGACAATACCGGTACATCTCCGTCGAGCGGAAGTTCAGTAACAGTGAAAACGTCCAAGTTTTTTATGGTGTCACAACGCCTATAGGCATCGGTGACCGCTTTTTTGTTTAGAAATTTCCCGGAATACACACCGTCCCTTTTAAACGAATTCATTCCCGCGAAGCAGGAAATCGAAAGTAAGTAAAAGTAGACGCGTATGAGATAACGTCGGTCCGTTCGTGCAGTGTGGGAGAGCAGCACGGGGCGGTGCCTGCGCACGGTGCGGCTGGCGGAGAGCGTGAGCCGCGTGGCGTGGATCCCCACGGCGGGGCTGAGCCTGGTGGCGGCGGCGGCCGGCGCGCGCCTGCTGCTGCTCAACCCCGGCGCCGACGTGGGCGCGCACCGCGTGGCGCAGCGCACTGACGACCTGCTCGAGGAGCCGCCGCCCAAGCACGACGTGCAAGGTACGCCGCACTGCTACTCCACAGGGAGCGATACTATTTTATTGCAGTTCTCTAACGACACCGATACACTTAGTACGATAAAGTAAAATCTGGCTTTCCTCTGATTTCCTAAAAAAAGTCAGAGTATGTAGTATCTATAGAAGCGATATTACCGGAATATCAAAAATTTGGAAAAATAATTAATACTAAGAAATACCTCGATCTCATACCGTCAAGTTAGTACAAATTTCAATAAGGAAAGTGTAACCTCACATCATCACATCGACAGCCTTTAATAGTCCACTGTTGGACATAGGCCTCTCCTTGGAAAGGAGTTTTGGCCTACTATACCACGCTGGCCAGACGGGTTTGTTATAGGGTTTGTGTCAAATTTTCCTTCTTTTTACAGTGCTGATGTCCTGTCCGTGTAGTGACGGATTAAGAATACGGGATGCCACTACCCCAATTCATCCCGTGGGTGTCGTAAAAGCCGACTAAGGGCGAAAACAAGTGTAACCTATCGAAAGGAAATAAATGATTTTAGATTTAGTCAAGACGTTCGATACGATATCTAAATCGAAATACGAAGTCTGGCAAAATCGTCCAAAGAGCAGTAGGTACTTTGTACAATAAAATTTGCTACAATTAACTCACATACTACCCCATCGGTGCTACGCTAATTATGTCGTGTAACGTCTACGTGTGGTTCGGCAGTGGACGAGCGCACGTCGTCCGCGGTGGAGTGGCAGCGCGTGACGCCGGAGGAGTGGGCGCGCGGCGTGCGGCTGGCCATCTCCCACTTCAAGCCCGTCACGCACGTGGCGTGGCACGCGCGCGGCGACTACCTGTGCGCGACGCTGCGCGAGGGAGCGTCGCGCGCCGTGGTCGTGCACCAGGTCTCGCGCCGCCGCAGCCAGCTGCCCTTCAGCCGCGCCAAGGGGCTCGTGCAGTGCGCGCTCTTCCACCCCACCAGGCCGCTGCTCTTCGTCGCCGTGAGTCCTTTATCTTATCGCCGTTCTTATAAATCGATTATGGTTACGACCGTATGGGTGCTATGGCACGAAACGAATATGCGTATGATTCGAGACGGGTGTCTCGATTTTCTTAAAATAAAGGTATAAATTTGTAAAAAAAAACAGAGAATCGAATGTGACGTCACCGTTACGGCTTTACTGTGATACTGAAAAAATTGAAAACCGCCGAACGTAATAATACGGTCGGGTGTACCCGTTTTCAAAAATCGAATCGTCCACAGAGTGATGATCCGCCATTTACTGATGTAGTATGTGTGAACGTAGACCCAGCGTGTGGTGCGCGTGTACGACCTCGTGAAGCAGGAGTTGGTCCGCAAGCTACTGACGGGCGCGCAGTGGATCAGCCACATGGCCGTGCACCCCGCCGGCGACAACTTACTCGTCGCATCCTACGACAGGAAGTGCATATGGTACGTATTCATTCGAGCGTAGTTTTAAGCCCCTCTTATCCTGTGCGAAAGTCCGCTCGGATACCACCCGCCGACTAAGAACCGCACGCCGTCTCGGGCACCAGTAGCCGGGGAACCAGGTGTATCCTAACAAGGAAATCCCTAGAACTCCGACGGCCTGTAGATGACACCCTCGAGTGTGGGAACCACGGTGTACCGACATAGCGCGTCGCGCCGCTAACCTGGCCTGCTTCTGCTAGGGTTACAGACGGCCTCACCTGTCACCCCCAAACCTGCACTAATGGGGGACGGGGTTGTTCTACGACCTCTGGCGCCTGAGTTACCTGTACCTGGCCCTTTCCCGCGTCTGGCAGACCGGGAGAGTTCTAAATCTCTCCCGGTCCCGCGTCCGGTGGAGCGTCGTGTGCACCGTTCGGCCATCGTAGTGGTGACACTCAGGTTTGGCTCCTTGTGGATCAGACACAGGTGATTTCCGAAGCATTCTTTTTTGGTAATCACCTGCGTCAGCCGGTATGAGAGAGTCCCGTGATGCCTCTCGAGGCAACCCTCCAAAACGGGTCTTACCACCGTAACAACAGCGTGCTCGGCGCTTGGTTTCCCAATTCGTTCCATCCACTCGTCCACGAGGACCTTGCGGAGTTGAGATTTCTGATCCTCGATTTTTCGAGTCTCAGGATTCCGGTCTAACTCCCGCGCCTCCTTGCGCCACTGATACAGAGACACAGGAGCTCTCGCCTCCAGGTCCCACGGTGGAGTTCCGGCCAGGAGACTCGCTACCTCAAAGGAGATCGTGCGGTACCTCCTTATGACCCTAATAGCCAGCACTCGCTGCGGTCTTCGCAGTAGAGCGACGTTGCTAGCCTTTAGGGCCTCCGTCAATACTCAGGCCCCATAAAAGACCATGGACCGCACAACCCCCCAGTAGAACCACTTACATGCCCTGTAAGAAAAACTATATTTACACATTTAGAGCGGACATTAATAGTACTTTAAACAGCAGACAAAAGTGGCTTTAAACTTTTGGATCGTAAGGTGAGGGGCGTAGGTATATATACGAGCGGTGTGTGCAGGTTCGACCTGGAGCTGTCGTCGAAGCCGTACCAGACGCTGCGGCTGCACGGTGGCGCCGTGCGCGCCGTGGCCTTCCACCGGCGCTACCCGCTCTTCGCGTCCGCCGGCGACGACGACAACATCATCGTGTCGCACGGGATGGTCTACAAGTGAGTACCTACCCTCCGTCTACTCTCATCTACGCCTCGACTTTACTCGACTTTGATGTACCGTCCGTGTCCGACAGCGACCTCCTACAAAACCCCCTGCTGGTCCCGCTGAAGCAGCTGCGCGCGGGAGGCCGCGCCGAGGAGCTGTGCGTGCTGGACGTGCGCTGGCACCCCACGCAGCCCTGGCTGCTGGCCGCCGGCGCAGACTCTACGCTGCGCCTCTACACTTGAACCTTTATACATAACACTAATGACTATACGAACTATTGTTGTGTTTTCTTTGACACTCGCTATCCCTACTGTTGTGTCTTACATACTCATTTACGTCACTTATTAATCTTAAAAACGTATGCTGAACATACGTAACGCCACTAATCAAAATTTTAAGTTCATATTTATGAGAATTTAAATTAAACGTTTATTCAAGATGCAAACTATTTCGTGCACGACTGAATAACCCGCCAAAAGCGCAGGTATCTTATGTTTATTATGTACTCGACACATAATCTGACATAAATTTGTCATAAAAAATATATATTTACTTAATGAAATTAGGATGTCAAATAAAAATAAATGCAAGTGCCCTACTCCTTTAAAATCGGTATCAAGTAAATAATATTCATGTATTGTATAATATAGCTTATTAATTAACATATTTATCAAGTCCCAGCGGTTTTGACACATTTTAGTAGTTTGTTTGACGGGTCTCAAGTGTACCATAAAAAGAAATCCCTGTCAACCACGGACACTTTATCATAATTTGCGGAAGATCTCCCAGAGTGTGATATATTATTGAGATAGCTTACGCAAAAAGAGGTAAGAACATGTTAATTTTAGTTCATAAAATAAAACAAAAAATAAATTCAAGTTTACAGTTTTTTAACCTGTGTTTTAACACCATACCGCGTTATAATGTCACACGGGTGAGTAAACAAAAAAATAGCAGTGTCAACTGTCAACTAATCGCATTTGCTTACATGGCACTTGGAGCTGAATGCCAGAAGCCAAAAATCGATCTAAGTGGCGTGTAATGGGCCTATGTCCAGCAGTGGACTGCGATAGGCTGATGACAATGGCACTTTAGAATCCAATTAAGGTACTTAAAAAATAGGTGCAAGACCATAATGGGGTATTTGGCTCTTTATGAAAAAAAAAGTATACTTATTATTGAGGCAGCTTAGCGTAATTTCGATAAATTCGAGTAGTCGGTTGGGGAAATCAGGTTTAAAAAGTGATATAAGGATAGATATTAATATAGATAGGACTTTATTTATTACTATAACAATCATTCAATAATGATTGTTTTAGTAATAAATACATACGTAGTACATAAAACTATTGGTAATACCAATATATTACCAATAGTTTTATGTCTCACTGGTTTTTAAACTGAAATAATTTTGTATATGTCGAATACATTCCTGTGAGTTAGTTTTTTTATTTATTTTTTCTAAGCAACTCCAACATAAGGAGGATAATTTGTGGATCACACAAAGTGTCGTCCCATTTGGGGCTTGAACCCACAACACTCGGCGTAGTAGTAAGCGGCGTGGCGACCACTTAAACCACTACGCCATCCGAGCAAACCAAACGCTAAACAACAGAATTTGACTTCCTTCTATTGTTTGCCAACACTTAAAAGTCAGAGGTCTTGAAATGATCTGAGCAAATGACACGGTTTCTTGTAGGTATCCAGGTAAGGTATAAGCTTTTATAAAAGTTATTCGAAATAGCCATTTAACTCGGATCTTTCGGAAACCTGCAATACATAAATCAAAACAATGTGGTCGTAGTTTACACTTATTTATTTTAATATAATGTATTAACACTCATAAGTATTTTATCATAATCGATTGGTCGCAATTTTAATAATAAAGTAAGTATATTAAAATAAAGCTCACAATCTACATAATTATATTAGTTATATCAGAAAACATAAATTTCAAAAATCATAATATGGACGAGAGATGGATGTAATTGTTTTATCGACATCTATTTCCAAACCGGTAAGAACACTATCGCTCGGTGATAGCGATTAGCAATACGACACTTGGATCGGTCGCTCGACCGAAATTTTATGTTTAAAAATGAGGAAATAGTAATAATTTGATTAAAAATTACTTACATATAAAAGGTAACGCCGTCTTTTTGTAAACTTGACGTTGCAGCATGAAACTGAACGATTCGAGAGGGCGGCTATTGTCGTCTTCTCGGCAGCGTAACTAGATTTAGTCTAGTGAGCTGTCGCGCCGTAACTAGATTTATTGTACGCATATGACCGTGTGCACTTATACTTTTTGCAGAGGGAAACGCCTGCGTATAGCTACTGTACCGTAAAATGTAAGTTTTAGTTCATAAAATGACAAAAGAAATTTTAAAATTGAATTCAATATTCAATTTTTTAATCTGCTTTGTAACACTATGAAAAATAAACCGCAATGCTATTTATTACGACAATGGTGGAGTAAACTAAAATGTGTCAGTAGAATCATGCTCACTATTGCTTTAACTATGGCAACACACAAAAAAACACCAACAAAAACGACGAAGTCGAACAAAACGAAACGAAAGCGACAGAGCCATACATAGAATAACATACAATAACAGTACATTACCTATTTGATTTTTGTAATCTGTGGTCCACAGAGTACAGTAATATTACTAGACTGTGGTCAGAACTTCAAAAACAGTGCTAGAGAGTAAACGCACGCAATGCAAACGCCAAACTCGCACATTGAGCGACTTGTGTAAACGGCTGCGAAAGTCAGATTTTTAAAAATAACTACACGAAATATATAAATGAGTGACTTTATTTTTCTGTGATCTGTATATTCATATAAACATTTTGGGTGTTTAATTCAACTAATTGGCGTGTATTACGTTAGAATGTAAATAAGTGATCCAGTTGAACGGAGTCGTTACTCCCGTCAGTTGAACGTTATTTTTGTTTCTATAAATCGTTGATGCCGGACGTAATCACATGCAGCTTTTGGAGTGCTTTTTTGACTTGGATTTTAATTTTTAGCACATGCTAATCGACATTATTTGACGAGAGTAAAATTTAATTTATATAGCGAACGTGCTAACAGATTTGATTGTTATGTTGTCGCGGGACAGTGCGTGACTCGCGAAGTGTCGGGAGCACCTACCCTCGGCGAGATGTCAGGCGCTGCCACCCCGACGGCGGTGGAAGCACCGCCGCTAGACGACCGAGATGTGGAGCCGCGTACTCCGATGAAACGTCTTGGCTCTACCAGGAAACTGGCTGCTTTTAACAGTGAGTATAGTAGTCAACCATAAAACTAAAAGGACCACCCCTCTTGTACTACTTGAATTACACTACACACTAGTATACATATTAATCATGAGATTACTATTATATCTTTGTTGATACTCTAAAAGCAATAAACAAAGGAAGCACTTTAAAAGAAGAAATACCAGATAAAGATTAGATTTATGACCCTGGTCATTGGGCCATTAGTAATATACACTGTTTATCTTTAGTTTATGATGGGGTCACTCATAAGGACTTTTTCAGTATTGGCATTTAAATAATTAGTAGCATTTAAGTCTTGCCTATTTGTCTAAAAAGCACACCAGATTTAATTTGCATTTAAGAACATACTTTAATTCATATTAAAGTATTGCAGAAAATGCTCACACACTCAAGAAAGCAAAAAAAAAAACAACAAATATATTTAATTCAGTCATCTTTCTTTATCTCTATTTCTTCAATAATTTTAACTGCTCTGTTATAACACATTACTAACAAATATTACACTAACTTCAACATTAGTAAAACAACCCATACTCATGGAGATGTATACAAATAAATAAGCAGAACTTTCCCTTATGAAGGTCAAGTGAAAGGGTGTTTGGGCTGTGTGTGTACACTGTACAACAGTCAGAACAACAAAAGGCAAATAACTGCATAGCTGTATCAACTTTTAAAATGTTTAGAGCAGTGTTCAAACTTTCCCCAACTGTTACAAGATGAATTAATAAATATCATGAATGAGTAAATTGTGCCAAGTGTATTAGATATGTATCTTTAAACTGGACTGCATGTAGACCGCTGGCAGACATTTCTATATCTACCAAGAAGCTACGTCACATACCCATCAATCCATTTTCCTTACACAGGTCTTATAATAAACTATTTACTATTTTCCTTCTGTTATTAAACAATATGTAAACATTTAATATTTTAGAATTAGAACAAGCTACATGATATCACATAACTGATGCTGTGTAAATGAGGGAATTTGCATTTTTCTGTTTATTATTCTTGTTGTGTTATGCAAACAAACAATCAGTAAATGTGAGACCATTCATCAACAAAACAAGGAGGCAAATGCCTTCATGATCAAGAACATGATTCATTAAAATAACTGTAAATGATAAATAACTTGGTCATGTTTGTTTGTTTGTGTCCCCAGCCACTCTGACACTTTTGTGAGAGTAGCCACTCTTGTCCTTTGCCTTAGACACTGACCTAATATCACATAAAATTCTCAGTATTCATAGAAGATACTCGTGCCATAATTTTTTTTTGTTTCTATTATTGTGTTTATTGACTAATGTTAATGACTAGGTATTTCTTGGAACACTTCTATAATCTATTAATAATTAAGCAAAGACAAAACAATTCAGTAACTTTATGACCTTCGTTTGTTAATTGATTTTTTTCTTGAGCTTATTGATGGGCTTTAGTGTTCAATAAATTGAATTACAGTTAAATTCTTATCACTGGGCAACCACTAGTTTCAATAAATACATAAACATTATTTAGGTTATTCATAATAGTTTTATTTTTAGAATTTAATGTCAAACAGCATTTGACAAAAACCTCGTAGTTTATTCATTATTCTATAAAAAAAATCACTATGTAGGTAAAATTACATAATACATTTAATAGTGAACAAAAAGTTATTTTCGTCAATAAATCATGCAGTTAAATAGCGGGAAAAGCCGAGCGACGATTATTTTCGATACGAATTTTTCAAACCCAAAAAATCGCAAGAGTTACCGACTAGTTATTATTTTTAAGACCGGCTTTTGTGTGCACAGTCCTTTTTTTCATACCAGTAGTGTTACCAAAAGTAAAAGTAGACAATATAATGTAAAACTTCAAGATATTCATTTGAGTAGTAAAGCATGAAAGCGTAACACAAACAACACAATAAACTCACTTTGGCATTTACAACATTTAGTTGGGAAGTGAGGATTTACTTCGTTGAGATAACTGATAATAAATAAACCTGATATAGATTCACTAGTTGGTTAACATTGACAAGTGCGTGCAAGGTGTACGCACTACTTTCATGTAGGTACTTCTTTCTTATGTACGAAAACCTCATCTGTCGTCCGTCCGTCCGTCCGTCCGTCCGTCCGTTCAGATCTTCAAGCCTTTTAGATATTATAGTAATTCTACTTAAACAGAAGAACATATTATTGTTGCTCACCATCAGGTGACCCGTCTGCTCGTTTGCTTTTAGTAGACAGTTTTTTCTTCTCGTAAAAGTGTACGTAACTCTCTATCTCAGCATATCTACACCAATGTTTCTTAGAGAAGTAACTATCGTGAGTATCGTCTTAGAGCTACAATGACAAACGTGATACGAGACCTTACCACCTTTTAAGAAACGCCTCTAGACTGGATAGATATCTATTTTACTATGATAGCCTTTTGTGCTCTAAATATTGTTTAAAAATCTAAACACTACATACATAGAAGTAGAATGTTTTATTCGTGACGCGCGGACTGGCGATCGAGCCGGAAACCGCATGTTTTGCAAGAACGAGGATGAAAGCGGTTGCTCAACGCGACGCTTCTCAAAATCCGTTGGTTATTTTTATTCCAAAACTTTCCTGTTTTAAAGGAGTCTCTGATCAGGAAGGAATTTTTAAATGCGGAACTCTAAAGGCAGGTGCGACTGATCCGGTTTATATCTTATGAAGGTGTCAGTGGTCTTGCTATTTTTTCACTTCTCAGTATATTTGTGTGTAACAATATATATTTGCAAGCGCTGCTTCAAGCCACAAAGTGGCACCCTTTATACGATAGGTACTTAGGTGCATTGCACCAATTTGAAAGTTGTTACGATGATTGCAAACCATATAACTGTAGATAACAAGATGCGCGTCTGGGTACGATTGATGAGACTGCGAGCGCGGCGACACCGCTCACTGAAGTAGGGTCAGGGACACTACACCACATGGGGGACGAACTGAGCTCATACTTTTCAACTATAGCTGTGTTCGTTTGATTCACAATCGCGCCCAAGTTGAATTCTTCTTAGATACCTAATATATGAATATTGTACAAAAAATTTATAGTTCCAATTTACAAACGAAAACAGTGAAGAACACGTTCGAATGATATCCCGCAGCTGAATCCGTTTGCTATAAACACAAACTGAGTGTTTAGACGATCGTTTGTTTACTACGTCACAGCTTACTCCGTTTTTTCGCTTCCTCAGCCACCCACACACAACACGCCAGTTTTATACTTAAACTTGATAATGAATCTATCCAAATACATTTCTGTAGAGCTTTTAAGGTGTAATCATATTAGCTAGTAGTTTATTTATTTCCGCTGTGTCCGCGGCGCGTGAGGGACGGTGTTATTGTCTCGGGAAGCTACTTCATATTTCCGTCGTGAGGAGCGTTTCCCTCGCAGTCGACGGTGGCGGTTAGTGTACTTATAAATGATGTAATGTGACACATTAGCAGTGTTTTACCGCGAGGCCAGCTTCGCTCATTGACGACTTCCTTCGACACCCACGCTCTCGCACTTAGCTCCCTACACAGTACAGTCGAACGCAGGGGTAGGTCTCCTCGTCTAGAGCACGCGCATAGTTCCTTTGTGTCGTGTTATCTCCAGCTCCGGTCGGCGGCGGCATTGTGTTCTGTATATGATTATGTAACCCCACAAGTGTATCGTCATCGATAAATCTCGGCTGGCTCCAGACACCAATTCGTTTGTGTGGTGTCAAAGGTCTTTGTCTCTGAGTTGCATACATATAAAGAGCTCACTTCCGGCTGGTTACTCGTATCTAAGGTCGTTAAACTTTTTAACTGTCGTATTGTTCTACGGCGTTACACACTAACTATAATAATAAAATAATTGTTACAAGTTATTGTATGGACTAGTGATGCATATGCAATAAGTCGATACGTGCCGCCGTCGTGTCGCACGACTTCCAGCCGCTACCTGCATGTGCAGATAATTATACGGGTGACGCATTAAATGTACAAAATGTTACAGCACACCTATAATTGTGCTAGCTATAATATAGTCCTTATACCTACATGGGAAAAAATAATTATTCATTAGCCAGGTGCGGTTCTGCGTCGCGGTGGGACCACCGACCCGCCGACTACACCGCTCCCTCTTTCTTTTCTATGTACATATAAAATATACACTGCTTTTGTAATAGCTTTTGTCTGTACGTTTAATCTTGTGTAGTAGTTTATTGTAAGCTAATATTTGTATAGACAGTACAGGATAAAATCAATGGAATGTACATTACCGTCGGTATATTTTAAATCTGAACGCTATTGTACTGTTTGTGATTGGCGGTGAACATACCTTGTTCACCGCTGACCTATTTAGCTGTTTGTTAATTAGTTTCCCTTATAAATAGCTGTTTACCAATGCATACAATACACACACTAAACAAGGTATGTAGTAGCCAGTAATCCATGATGTTATCGGGGCTTGTGCGGGGCGTAATCTCGGTAGGGCCGGCGCCTCATTAACTGCTCCGTTTGTTGTAACACGATTCTTCGTTTTCTGATTACTGGTTGAGCTTGGCAAAAGTGAACAAAGCAGCTGTCTGTAAGCCCAATTATCTTGATTGCACAAATATATTGGCAATAAGCCATTCTCTGTACTACAAATGTTTGTTTGGTAGGGTAACAATAACAATACGATATTACGATCAGCACTCGCTAGCGCAAGCTAAGGAAACATGACACAGACTTGTAAAGAGAATGCGAAAGTGCACGTCGATTATTCTTAAATGTTCGTTCTTCATAAAATCGTATTTAGTAAGTGCATTTACTACAGAGGAGGTTTTCATATTTCTTTTCCGTAATTAATGAAATATTTAATTGTATTTAGTTTTAAATTATTGTGATACAACAGACAGACCTTTCACGTGACGCGGCAATCTGTAACAATACCTAAATATTTTTTTCTCAACACTTCTAAACAAAATATACTTTCAAATTTGGTTAATTAATTATAATTTAATAATTAAGTTGGTAACAGTTACCATTATTTTTTGTAGGTGTTGTTGTAGGTGCGGTGTTACTATAAAAACACATATTATTTAAAATGTTGAAGCTTTAGTCAATATAAATCATATTGCAAACGTTTAGTTTAATGAAGGGTTAACTACCAACTACACTGTGCACCAGTAATGTACTATTAGGTGTAACAGTTAACAGCCACACTAGATTTTAAAGTTTACTTTCGATGAATATTATACTCCACTAGCTGACCAGCGCAACTTCGTCTGCGTCTCTCAATAGGAATAAATTTTCTCCGTTTTTGAAACATTCTTCATTGGTGCTCCGCTCCTATTGGTCTTATCGTGATGATATATAGCCTATAGCCTTCCTCAATAAATGGGCTATCTAACACTGAAAGAATTTTTCAAATCGGACCAGTAGTTCCTGAGATTAGCGCGTTCAAACAAACAAACAAACAAATAAACAAACAAACTCTTCAGCTTTATAATATTAGTATAGATTATTAAAAAAGAAACTTCAAATGCCTCGCGTTTCAATCAGGTTGCACTGGCCGGTTTCACAAGTTGAATCAGGACTAGTATCTATGTATTTTCTGTTAGGTAGTCTTCAGTCAATCAATTACCGTATATGATGTACATGTGTATATGTGTATAGCAATGCACTTGTGATTTCTGAGTTGCAGGTATCCCCTTACCATCAGATGACATAAACACGGTTACTATGAAGTACATAGTAATACAATAATTGTATAAGATAATGGACTGTCACATAATGGTTGCAGGTGAGCCCATATTTGGCGGCCAGTGGCAGTCTTACATGGCAATATGGCGTATTCTTAGAGAGGTTGATATACCCCTCGATGGTGGCTCGCCTTAGATAGCGATGTGACATTTGTGGCACGTGTTCACGTCGATGTGACACGTTGTTTGTTGTTGTTGTTCTCGTTTGAATAAATCTACAGAGTACTTCACTTGTCCATACTCGTATTTGTAAATAAAATAGGAAGACATTTGTAGTATCTCCTTATTCACTGTCAGCAATTCTAGCTATTTTTACTATTTAAACGAGTCCCGAGGGTATTCTTTTGTTTCCATTGAATGGTTCAATTTGATTCCGATATACCTACCATTTTACCGCTAGCCCCGTTGAGATGAGGACCGGTGAGGGTTGCCACGTGATCAAAAAAGGGTATTCCTACTACTTGTAATGATGTAGGCCTAAACTATCTCACCGATCAGCATCTGATAATTTCATAAAAATAACATAATAAAGTATTTTATGATTAATGTGGGATTTATCCACATGAACTCATAATACATACTCGTACTATGTGCTGTCTTGTTAAATAAATGTTTTTCTTTCTTCTGTTTTTCTTTATACACTTATTAATTATTTTCTTAATAATATTAATTGCATATAAATGGCCATACGTTCTCAAAAGTTAGGACATGTACTGACCTTTACTAAATATATAAAAGCGTCGTTTTAAAATCAATTTTAAAACGACGCTTTTATTTTATTACATTTTACATTACATTATATTTTATTACGTACAAGTGTGATCATTTCAATATTTTAATATACTTTTGTCAGTACCTAATAATGGTATTTCTTTGTATACAGATATTAGCCAACCTTGCGAGAATATTAGTTAGAATTCGACTTCTCCTTGTGCCACAGTGTGCGCCATAACTCTTTATATGTGTTAACCAGTCACACATTAGTATGTTAATGGGCCTCTGTTTTTTGAATTGATAATAAGTAGCGCCATAACGGCCAGACAGCCGACACAATGGACGGTAATGGGCGCGCCTCACCTCACCACATCTAAATAATCACTGCCCATTTTGTTCTAAAGGCACTCGAACTACCGACTGTCACGCTAATCTAGTCTGCTGCCATTAATATTTCTGACTTCCTTGGGCATGTCATAGACGCGCTGTTGGATTGTTCCGTCTTCATCCCTCAATCTCATTCCACTACGTCATTTTCTTAACGCATCCCAGATTTTTATCCCACATTCATCCTAGGACATTTTTTTCTATTCATTCATTAATTTAACATCATAACAGAAGACTTGTTTATAAAGATCCACAAAACATACATCCGTCCGCTCTTGGAGTACACATTTCAAATATGGAATCCATACTTCAAGAAAGATATAGAAATGCTCGAAAAAGTACAACGGAGGGCTACAAAAATGGTTATATCGTTAAAAAACATGTCGTATGAAGAACGCCTTATCGAACTAAACTTAACTACACTGGAACTACGCAGGGAACGGGGAGATCTGATTGATACATTTAAAATATTAACTTGACACAACAATTTACCGGAAAGTGTAATAAGTACAGGATCAGTGAACATTTAAAAACAACAAAACGAACACAAGTGCAGTGATATGCACGCATCGTGTCAATGATCTGCTAGTGCATTACCTATAAAATAATAACAATAAAAATAATAAGAGGCTCACTTTAGACGGCTGCTTCAAGGGTCTGATGCAGAAGCCAGTTTTCCTTGACACGGCTCGTATAGTGAGGAGGTTCCTGTCTTTGGAGACCTAACCACCGGTGTCTTGGTCTCTGTACCCAATATCGGTGGTCTACTATTTTTTATAATTTTAAATGTATTTTAATTTCTTTTGTAATATATTTAAAAATTTAATGTAATAAAGAAAATAATAATAATATTCCTAACTCGTCCCATTTTGTTTAATCTGCCATTCTTAACTCACCCCTTACCTCAATTTTCTTATACAAAACATGTTTTGTACGTAGAGTTTGCCAACGAAATTTAAACGACTGTTAAAAAAGGAGGTTATTAACACCTTCTTGCATTGAGTGAGTAACTAAAGCGCAGCTTAATTGAACGTTATCGTATTTAATATATCAGTTTGATTTACCATCCCCATCACACAATTATTTGTCCTGGTGGAAATTGAACCCAAGACTTCTGGTTTAGCAGAGGTTAGGCAGAGGAGGAGGTTTAACTAACCAACCGACAGGTCGATCAATCACAGATAGAAAGTAATCCGCGCCGCAGCTTCATTGGCATTATTCTCAATAGAACCCTGTTGCTGGACCATTCCGGTACATGAGCTACTAGCGTCGATATCTCGATGATTTACATATAATTAACAGATTAGTAAACAGTAAAGATAAGATTAGACAATGTTCAACGAGTGATCCATCACCGGGGCTCACAGCAGTACCAATAGTACTCAATATCGCGTTCTATTTATACGTGCGTCTCTCGCTACACACGGACATGAACACGATTAAAGATGTTTGTCGGTGTCTAGCACCTACGGTTAGCGCCAAAGCTCAGACCACGTTACAGCCACATACGGCACTTTCATGATGAGATAACCTTCGATAGAGCTTTGAATTGCGACGTAGTGCTAAACGACTACATGATGCACTGACACCAAATAATTGGAATGACGGATGAAATATGTTAAATTCAATTATAAAAGCTTTTATATTCGGGAATTAGTTTCATATATTTCGGGATTTTTGCAAGCGCCATGATCGCCAAGATGAATATGCCAAATATCCCATTTATAATAACTTATCAAGGGAAACTGATCGTGGTACTTTAAATCAATACAAGTACTTTATATTTTACTAGCTGACCCGCGCAACTTCGTCTGCGTCTCTCAATAGTAATAAATTTTCTCCGTTTTTGAAACATTCATCATTGGTGCTCCGCTCCTATTGGTCTTAGCGTGATGATAAATAGCCTATAGCCTTCCTCGATAAATGGGCTATCTAACACTGAAAGAATTTTTCAAATCGGACCAGTAGTTCCAGAGATTAGCGCGTTCAAACAAACAAACAAACTCTTCAGCTTTATAATATTAGTATAGATGAAATCAGGTTAAGATGCATGTTTTATAAAAATGCTGCAATTAAATATCCAAGTGTTGAATGAAATACATAATCCTTTATAACCGACTGTTAATTTAATGCCGGTGTAGTGTCAAGGCGAGTCATAAAACATTATTTTGTTGGTAGTTAACCCAGAAAGTGCAGGGACTGGTACGGATAACAGTGGTCGCTCGTAGTCGCCGCTGTCTTGTTATGTGTGAATCAGTGGGTGCGGGCGGCGCCGGCGCTATATTTAGAGCCGCGCGCCGCCACACTGGAGCCGAGCTGCAGCGCTCCTGCCGCCCTCTGCCGGCGCGCGGTAGACCCCGCACATAACCCTGCACGCACAGAGGGCGTGACCAGACCGATTCATTGCTCCCCAGTTCGGAATATTTGTGTGGGTGAAGTGAACGAGTCATCGAGTACGATATGCGGCGCACCGGGACCCGGGACTCCGGCCTACGCTCCCTCGCCCCGCAATTAATTACTTAAGACTCGCCCAATAACGCTAACAATAGCTCGCAAAATCGATCCCTAAAACATGAGAAATCACTTAGTCCATTACAACATTCACAATATTCGGTTGAGGCGCGGTATTGTGAGCAGTCTCTTAACGTGTCTTTAAACATTTTATGCGAGAAATGCTCCCTGTGAGTGTTGTATACATGCGCGTAGGAAAGGAAGGAAAAAGATAATTGACTCCTCTGGTAATGACGCTTTGTTCTGTCTCATCTCGTATGGGAAGAGCGATGATACACATAAAAAGCTTATTATCTGAGCAGTCAATGTGCGGAAAATGCAGGTGCAGAGAGGAAGTGAACTTATTTCTTTGAACACTTATTTATTACTTTGAGGAATATGTAAAAAAGGCGTAGATATCGCTCGTTTGGTTTTCGGGTTAAATGTTAACATTGCTTTGTAGGTATATCTATCGCAGTAAGATGGTTACAGCCCTGGTATACTTCATATCCGCAGGGATGTAATTATCAGGGACGCGATTATGCCCAATAGGTGCTAAAGAAAGGTTTTGCTCATAAGTTTTGTCAAAACCTTTTAACTTTCGAAAACTGGCCAGACATACTTGCCGAAAAACAAAAGAAATTCATTTTCAAATATGGAGTGGTCGAGAAGGAAGATAGAGTCGCGGTTATCGCGTTGCACCGCTGTCTTGCAATTTTTTACCGAGTGTTTGAATATACTAGAAAGATTCTGCGCTTCGTCACCCGCGGCGGTACGCTGGGAAAAATAAAAGAAAGTTATAACAAACAAAATGATAAGGTGTATGCCCAAAGCAGTGAAGAAACGAGAAGGTTTTCCTTCGTCATTCATAGTTTGGCTCGGAGTCTCATTTTCAGGCTTAACTGAGGTGGTTTTCTGAGAAAAAGGTGGGAAAATCAGTACCGCGGTGTACCAAAAAACCTTCCTAATGAACTTCTTTCTCAAAACAATGTTCCAAAACTGACATTGGATATTCCAACAGGAACCAAGCGTGGAATTGATTTCATCGGGCATGGAGACTAGCCCTCTTCTAAATCAGTGGGTTTAAAAGAGGGCTACGAGATATGGCAACATTTTGAGGATTAAGTCTGCGGCGGTAGCCTAGTGGTTAAGGCGTTGGACTTGCGGTCAAGAGGTTCAAATCCTGACCAGTACACTACCGACGTGAACCCACTTCTAACACAAGCGATTTAGCTTAGCGGGAAGAGGTAACGGGAATACTAGTAATTTCGGTTGCTAGTAGTAATAATGTAAATAAAATTGTATTATACATTTTTTTATACATCTCACACATGGCAGTCTGGTTCCAAACTAAGCAGAGCCTATGCTATGGTAACCAGACTACTGATAAACATACTTATATATTTCTAAATACATACATGTCATAGATAAATTACACCCAGGCACATAACAAATCATCGTGCTCATCACATAACGATTTGTCGTGGTTGGGCATCGAACCCACTAGCAGTCGCAGTCAGGGTCACTAACCACTAGACCAACAGGCCCGTCATTTCGTTGTATAATTTTTTAATAATTATCAAAAATTGTATCACTAATTACATGCAAGTTTTTGACAGAATTTATGACCTGATTAAGTTTAATAGCGGTTGTCGTTGAGTTCTTATAATATATTATAGCAATTGAAATGACCAATAAATGTGTAGGTACTAAGAAACCGCACAAATACTCGTATATCGCCCTCATATTGTTTGTGACAATAAGTAAAGTAATTAACCATCATTAATCATCGTTTACAACATTACTTCAATGCGAGTAACGCGAGAATTTAGGAATGTCACGGCGCTGTTCCTTCGATGTGTTACTCGTAAGCGAGCTATCTAAGTTGACTTACTGTATTCAGTGGTGATTGTATGTTAAGTAGCTATCACAATTGCATTTATCAAATTGCATTCCCTCATTAAATTGTCTTTTATAATATATAACAGATCACGTCGCTTATACGATATCTTCTGGACAATGTATCCTAAAGTAATCGAGTTATTCCATCTGTCAATAATATATTTGTTTTAGAAATAATGATACAAGTCAACTAATTGGAACCAAGATTACTAATTACATCTCAATCGTATTTCGGTCATTAGAACTAAGTTGACTAATTAGACCTGAATCGTTTTTCGGCAGAAAAACTGCTTTGCGAGACTTGCATATTTTTACTTATGTATTTTATTCTATCATATCCTTGTGTAGTTAGAAATATTAAAGAAAACATCGTCCGTCTACATCTCCTCGTCAGTTTTGCCTTATTGAATTGAGTATTCATTGAGAAAGGACTTCTTTTGAGTGGAGCAAGGACTACAAGATTCAAGGCAGTTGGCCAAAGTATTATAGGGCTTTTTAACTCTATCTACGATTCCTCGCCTAAAGACATTCTGTAGCGTGGAGGATTGTTTCTTAATCAACGTTTATCCTTTGTTATCATTTTCTATTGTACTATTAGTTTATGATTACAAACGTAAGAAGTAAACTCTTTTTGAGTGCCTCTATTAATAAGCCAATAAAATCACTTATAATTTATACGAGATGTTTTTGCAAACAGCCGATCTATCTGCAATGCAACAAATCTATAATGAAAATGTTGTCGTTAGCTAAACCTGCGAAGTGGTAAGCGCATATTCATCCACGTTACACATTCATGTCTATCCAAATAAAAACAATGAAAAAGGTAATGTGCCTAGTTATAAGTTGTCATTAGTTGTCATGTCAGTCGTTGTTATAGACAATCATTGTATGTATAACCAACAAATATAAGAATCACAATAAGCAAGCCGAATTGAACTATATTATTTGTGTATTAAGACCTGCATTAAAACTTCTTTCGAAATATCGATAAACTCGTAATACACTTACTACGAGGAAAATGTTATTGACAATTGTAACACGTCGTCCTTGTTGCACATTGAGCTGTGTTTCTTGGTAACAGTTTAAATGAATACAAAAGTGTGGTCGTGAAGCCTCTCGCTGTCCGGCAGCGGCATCGCGCTGGCGTAAACAATCAGTGCGTGCGCGCAACCAGCCCGTGCGAACTTCCGCTGCGAAGCACTACTTTGCAAGCTAATGAGCCGCCCACTACCCACTAGTGGCCACAATCCACCGATACGCTCTAACCCTCTTTTATTTTTTCCTTTAACGCACAGCGTATTACATATTTAAGGTACAATCGCTAAAGCAGTGTAGGCCTCTCATCATCATCTGACAATCTTAAGTGACGACTTTGATTTTATATTACAATTGTTTGAGATATGATGATGTATCTTTTTGTTGTACTTATATTTCATTTTCGTTTATATTTTCTTTTCAGATACTGTTTTGTGTAAATGTACTTCATTACTTTATAAAGAAATAGTCTTTGATATATTTTCCCAAAACGCAACGGAAAACACGAAATTCTTGAAGTCGGTAAATCCCCTTTATTTACTTGTAGGTAACAGCTTACAAGACAATGTTAGTGGTGGCAGAGCATTTGCAGATAATTATTAGCAGATTTTGTGCAAAAGGTGTAAACTATTAGTGGCAGCAGCAGTCCTCATAACGACCTCCACTGCATCTAATCAGAAGACATCTGCGACTCAACAAAACAAAGTTTCACGACAAAACGGTTGTGGATGTTAAACTAGAGAAACTATTAGAAAAGTTCTTTGTAGCTTTTTATGATTTTATATTCTCTGAAATAATAATCAAGCTGGCTGGTTAGTCGATGCATATTGTGTCAGTGCGTCGAGCACGTGTCAGGTGTACGTATTGGCCAAGGTCACGACTTATAATTATGTAATACAACACGGTGTGAATGAGCTCTAGCGGCGGCCGTTGAGGATACAACAATGTCTTACAAACCTTAGTGTAACTTCATGAATACTGTTACAAAGTAACTTGTGTTTAATTTCATCAAATTACAAGCGACGTGTGTTACAATTCCCTCTTCCTTGACAAATTTTTATTGTCCTGTACACATTGATATAATACTTACATAGATGAGTAATAACCGCCTAAAATCGTTGCTACTGCACATCTGTCCACAGGCATATGCGTAGCAAACGTCAATTCAGTGTTCAATGTGGCGTCAACCGAGTTGAACATAGCGACACATGACAGTAACAATCGCCAAAATGGGTAAATGCGTAGTGAAAGAATGCGATTCAAGATCACAAAACCATAATAAATCATGCGGAATTACTTATCACGTGTAAGTTTATGGTTTTTGTATTGATAATATCGTAAATAAGGCTATAATTGAAATAAAACATTGATAATTGTAATTTAGAATCAGTGTTACCATTAAAAAATCATTTTTGTTTTCCCACATTAGTGGGAGAATTTATAATTTATGAAATAATATGCTTTATATTGTTTTTAAACATTTTGTCAAAAATAATAAAATATAGGAAGAACGGTAGTTGTTAGGGCTGAATCGATCACTTTTTTTAGGGACCCGTTGAACGTTCACCTTCTGCCAAGCTTGCAGTGCTGGAGACTTTTGTATAAAAGAATTAATTTATTCATTCATTCATTTTTCTTAATTAATTATCAAATATAAATAACAATTGTACAAAAAAATATATATATATAAAATAAAAAAGTAAATTAATATAAATAAAATAAAATATATATATTTTTTTTTATTTGTATTTTAAAATATTAAAAGAATTTGCAATACACCCTGGGGATTATTTATTATCAGTACAAGTTGATCATTCACTTTTACTATTAAATGCCATTATTTATACATAGGTAAAAATAAGATTGTATCATGAAAGTAAAATATTCACTTCAAACTTATAAAAAAGAGTCTAAAAGACAATTGTATACAAAACTGATGCTTCATAGCGGAGTTTGATTTTACACTGAATATAAACCCTTTTAACCAAATATTTCTAGTTATTTTATTATTTATACCTATTCCATTCAATTCGAAATATATTATTTAAAATATTTAAATTAATTTATTTTATTACAAAATTGTTTTAAAAAAAAATGGTTTCTTGGTTGTTATGGGTCGTCAAAGTTCAAAAGTGGTTACACTTTTTTCGACGTGTGATAATGAGGCTTGCTTCTCTAGTGTTGTTTTAACTCAATGCCTGTACAAGAAACCGAAGATCTTTATGCAAAAAAGCGATAAACCTTAAACCTCCTCACCCGGTCCCTTCGCAAAAACAATTTTTAACTGACGTGTTCTACCTCTTAAAGTACATCTTCCCATTTTCTGGTTTCTAATATACAAAATTCAAACCAGACACCACAGACTGCCCTAAATCGGATTTGACAATATCCTTGTAAAGGTTGTCTGTAAGAGATCGCCGTGAGCGATAAGACCGCCTATTGTTATACCAAAATGTAGAAGTCCATCTATATCTGTACAAGTAAATACTGTACCGGTGTACAATAAAGATAAATAAATAAATAAAATTCTGTCAAACTTCTTTTAGTGAAGTAGTTTTCAAGATTTCGTGATTTAGTCAGTGGATCATCCCTATCCCTTTTTATATTTAAATATGTCAGATACTGATCACGAAGAGATAATCTTCAAAGGTGAGTCATAATTTATAGTGTGCCTACCTTACTGTTTTATTACTATGAATCTTTTACTATCGGTAGGAAACAAGCATACGGATCGCCGGATGGGTAATAAATTAATTGTAACTAATCAACACGGACCGGTGAGTGGTAACAATAACTCGGATTATACAAAAAAAACATATTTTTACATTTACAACATTACGTACGTGAATATAATATAAGCATACACCAGTTGTTAGTAAAAGGAGAAAGTGATAACTCGTCGACTAAAGAGCTCCTTAACTAGTGAACGTAGTGCCAAGCTGGCGTTGTTTGTTATGTAAAGTGCCCTAACAGTACTAATGAACAAGGTTTTATGCAACGTGTTGAACAGGTTATTGGTGTCATTATACTTTGTTGATGAATTCTTACAGTTAATTAGTAAGTCATACGTACTAACCCTCAGCATTGAGGCAACCGAAGCGAGGAGGATTACGTACTAAGTCCAGAAGAAGTTCAATAAAGCTAGTCGAGAAAGCGTTGATGATGTTTTTAACTTCACTGATAACATTGAGGAGGTTGAACACCTCCTCAATGTTATCAGTGAATTATGAAGTGAATAAGTGAATAACAGTGAATAATACATTGTTTATAAAGGAATTCCGTCGGTCGAGGACCGTTACGGATACCGGACGACCGGTGCAACGATTGTTACATAAAAATAGCGTAATGGGATTCATGTCACCATTTCGCTGTATTTGCAGTTCAGTTTTTATTTAATACTAGCTGAGACCCGCTGTGTTACCCGCGTTTGTTGTAATAATGCAACGCCGCGGGGCGAAGCTAGTCTAAAAAAAGTAGCCTAACTTACTCCTTATGTCATCAGCTATCTGCCAGTGAAAGTCCCGTCGAAATCGGTCCAGCCGTTCCAGAGATTACCCGGAACAAACAGACAGACAGACAAAAATTGAAAAAAATGTTATTTTGGCATATGTACCGGGTAAACATACATATGCATTTAGTAAAAAGCGGTTATTTTAATATTACAAACAGACACTCCAATTTTATTTATTTGTATAGATACGTTTTCATCAAAAGTATTAAATGTATCTGGAGACTGTCTTCTGGAGCATTGGAAACAAATGTCTGACTGTATCGCAATAAAAAAAAGATCAAGTATGTATTGTGCAAGTTGACAGCTGGGATACTGAACTAATATCATATTATGGTATTGGATCATCTAGATAAGGATAGCGTTGTATGTAGGGTACATATGCGAGATGAGAGCCTGCCTGCCGGCACACCGGGGACCGGGTGTTCGGCGAGTGGCGACCGGTTCGGGGTGCCCCGCCGCCCCCCGCTGCGCGGTGCATGTTGCTGCAAGCCAAGCCGGCTGCGGACACTAGACGTTCATCTGCCTTGTTGAGCGCAGCTGAACATCGATCGATGCAGCCTTCGTCCCCATGCCATACCATTTATCTATCATACACATGAGCTTTACTTACTTTACAGATTTTTGTTCATTAGTCGATGGTGTAATAAATGGTGCAATAAGTGGGAATCGAACAAGTTTAAACAAGCAAGCACTACAGGCGCCGCCGCTCGAGCTTTCTTAATGCATTGAACATGCCTCACAATTTTCTTTAACATCTTTTTCAATTACCAATATTATGTAATTGTCTACACAATCAATGATAGATACCTAGTATATCTTATTCTTCTTATATTTATTAAAGGATTTAATTATGACAATGTGGATTAAAATTATTTACGGAGGTACGATTACACTGTGGTTGTAGTATAAAACCAAAGCGATAATATTGCAGTTTTCGATATTCATTGCCTTCGGACTCAATACCAAATTAACCGTTCGAAATATTATGGCATTGTAGAAATATACATAGGTATGTATATTAATGTGTTGTTTCCTTTCTTAAATGCAATATGAGGTTGAAAATTATAGTGTTTATTATTAATTATAGATAATAATTATAGTAGTTTCGCAAATGACAATGGAATATATATATACCATATAATGGTGAAAGGGTATATGACTATGGTATCGTTTGCGTGCGGTCTATGAAGGAGGAGAGACGGTATCGTCACAGGCTATGTGCATCTGTATTTTTCTGTAGATGTAGTTGCCTTATTTTCTTAGATTTAATATCACAGTTTACACCCTTTTTTTTTTTTTTCCGTGCGGAAGTCCCCTCGGATACCACCTGTCGGTGGCATGTCGGACTCGAACCGACTAAAACCACACGCCGTCTCGGGTACTAATAGCCGGGGAACCAGGTATACCCTAGAAAGGAAGTCCCTGGTGAACACAGTTTACACCCAGTCAGCATAAATAATGTTTATGCATGTATAAATTTACAAAGGATACTTCTGTGTTTATAAGTTCCTCTTCTTGTTCTTTGTTTGGTTACTCCTTTTCTTTGTGTAGCCACTGTGCTGGGTCCTTTGTCGGAGCTCTTAAATAATGCTTCTCTGTCACACCGGTTTGTTACTCGCAATTTATCCTTGCACTTACACGATTTCCCGGATCGTTCAGTATTCCTCCGCCGCGGGTGGCACACCAATCATTCCCCCCGCCAATCCCTTTCCCGAGCACTATCGTCGGAATCCCCCTATTTGCACCCACAACACCCTCCACATTATTCATCTCAACTGGATGAACGAAGATGTCAAGAATTCAGGAGAGCAGATTCACATTGTTTAATTTGCATTTGCGATACGCCATGTACGAGATAGCTTTATCTGATGCAATGTGCAGTGTTCATCAGCAAAGGCACGTATCATTGAATTATTGTTGCTCTTAAAAGTTACGTGTAAATCGAAATTGTTTCCCATTGCGCTGTCGTACTGGTAACGGTACGTGACGTGACGACCTAGCGAGCCAACTTGACTACCAACATAATATTTTGTGTTCAGACAATCCTCATGCATACAGGAAAAGTTGAGAATTGTATCACTCGGTGATACAATTCTCAACTTTTCGTCCAATACATTTTAAATGTCAGTCATCGCGCGCTCAATCATCAATTAGTTTTTAGTGTTTACGTGTAGTAACTGTTTATTTTTAGGCCGAAATGTAGTGTTTTACAAAATATTGTTGGTAAAATCTGAAATTTAATTTATAAAAATGTATTGCGTACTTTGTGTGGACTGTTGTGAACCGTTGTGAGGTCACGGCGGTACCGTGACGTAGGAGGGTGCAAACAGGCGTCGGAAGGGAGAGGGGCGAGCGCGCGGGCGACACAGGGCGCATCCCGCGGAGGCTGCGCGCCGAGCACGGCCCGCCAGTCGACCGGCGGCGGGCGCGTCATGTTCCACTGTATCGTGCAGCCGCGCCACGAGTGGGGCCCGCCCGACCTCGCCAATGCATTCCCCGGTACGAGGCGCTCCCACGGGACACCGCCACAGCCCACTAGTGTCTCACTCGCCATCACCGTTACTATTATACGACCTGTTAATGACCGCGAGGCGTCCTTATGTTAACTGCCAAAAATAAATCTGTAAAAGTGTGCACACTTGTATTAAATAGTCAGTGTTTTGGTGTAATATCGATTGTAGCATACAAAATAATAAGCAATGTTGCGTCGGCGGTGGCCGTTGCCGGCTCCAGCGTGTTGTTATTGTCCCCGTGCATTGTGTGTTTTGTCCGCTACGTCTCACACGGACCGCTCCTTTGCTAACAAACAAAACGATATTCGCCAATACCAGCCACGTTCCGTTTATGTGTCACACACGAAACACACAAAATGACAAAAAAGGCCCACATTACTGCCCGTTCCTGTCACAAAGCACTTTTCTTTTGTGTGTGACATTCAAAGAAGTGGGGCAGGTAGCTGCTGGAGCCCATTATTTATAAATAACGTTAGATAAAACTTATGAGCTTTAATATCCAAACGATGCACAAGTAAACAGGTAGGTCTGCCTCCATTTAGTACAAAGAGTTCCATGCAGGTTGTTCCTTAGCATGTGAATCAGCGTTCATAATACGGATGCAGTCGGGGTGCATCGCGTTTTATTGGTAGTCGGTCAACAAACAGTTCGGCGAGTATTGTGCGTCCCCTCGCACCGGCTCGGCCCCTCGCCTGTCATCCATCGACATCAACAATTCTTCAGTCTCTCTCTCTCTCACACACACACACATACACAGACACAAACATTGTCACCCGTCACTAACCAGTTGGGTTCACATTCACATTGTATTTTTCAAGATATTTGTGTATTGGCTGCCTACGTAGTTTGTCGCCAACTATTCCCCGAGGTTCCAGACGCGCATCCTGTTATAGCTTTTGTTATTTTCAAACATTTTATTCAAAACTTTCAAACATCTATAGCTTTTACTGTTAAGATTTTGTCCAATAGCAATCGTTGAGCTGTTAATACAAATGGCAATAAAAAAAAAATCAGAGACATTGTCTCCGTTTCTTATTCTGAAACGAATTAATTGGTGATCAAATTAAATGTGTATAATAACTTTGCGACTGCGATAACTTTCATCAACATGCATAATAATGTATTACGTGCGGTGCGGGGAAGGTCAGTGACTCAAGTAAACCCGAATATTGGCAACAAAAAAGTATCTACTTCATTTTGGAAGCCGTTAAACGTTTTTTATTTCAAACAAAAAACAAACTCAAATACGTCCTTTTTAGAGGCACGGCTCCTGGTTCTAATTATTTTGTAACTTAACTTATCAGGAGCAATTTGACAGGTGTATTCGGCCGTCGGGCTTGCCGACATTTAAATTTATTTACAACTTATAAAATGTTATTAGAAACTTTGTATGGTTAAATAATTAATATATTATCTGGCATATATCTTTTATACGACGAACGAACGATTTGGAAGATGGAAAAGTTCTAAAAAAGCTATAAAGCAATTTCACGGCTCGCCTGCTGATGAGCGATCACCCTTGCAAATCAGTCCAGTGAACTCCTCACGCACTCACTGAAGGCTATTTCATGCATGCCAATTAGCAATAAAGTCTATGTTTTTATTAAAATATTTTTTTTCAAAGAACACCAATTTACTTTGTTTAAAGCCGTTTCAAGAAGTACCTAACTTGTAAACTTTTACAAACAACTATTACAACATTTAAAGGGTGGATTATCATCAGTCACACATAGGAAACATCTCGGCTAAACCAGCTTTTAATTATAAAAAAACTATGATATCTATCAGTTTATTCTGAAAGTATATCCGAGTGCGAAAAAGCGACAACCAAGTGACTAACAGATGTCAAACTTGAAAAAAAAACTAGTTGTTTGATATGCCGTTGTGTGTTAAAACAAGAAAACTGTAATAAAGTCTGATTCATTTTTTAAGTTTCACAATGTTTTTAGGACTTTGAGAGTGGTGTCAATTTCAGACGGTGACATTTCTATGTGGACGCAGCGTACAATTAATTTATTAAATTTCATTAGCTGGTATTAGCTTTTACAAATGCCTATCCCACATGGATACATCCATCCATATGTACATCATACATTTATCACAATCGTAATTAACAGCGTCAGCGCGACCTCCAAGACATTGCTAGCTTGCCGTCTGTTCCTCTATCGCGCAAAAATATGTTACAGGCTGAGTAACTAAACATAGTATTACAATGGCGCTGGATACTTTTCTTTAGGTGGTGACTACCGCCTTTCATAGAAACCTGCAATTCAACAGACTCAAGTGCATAGTCGCCCTTGGAGTACCCCCCGTACCAGAATTAAGAGCAAGTCCGCTGCATGTCTGGGGTAGAGTCGGCTCGCTTGTGCAAAGCATGGCTCTCCCGCATTGAACTACTTATATTATAAATATAAACTTCATTATTTGTCACATTGTCTGGCGATTATGAATATTGCTGTTACTGTTGGTCAATACGTACTTAAGGTACGATAAACGGGGCGCATGGCCGACCATGATCGTTTACAAACATGTCCTGCTACAAAGCACTGTTGTTTTCTGGTTTTTTAAAGTGCATTATAATAAGTAATTACTACTAGAAGGGTACGTAAGTTTGAATTAATATAAAAGTATGTTAGAATGGCGTCAGATCTTGAATGTAGTCGACGTTTTTACGGAGGCGGTGAATAACTGACTAATGTAGTCCATTTTCTTTCGGGTTCAAAGCAGTACACCCAAGTTTCGTCACCAGTCACGATATTATTATTATTATTAAAGTTAAGAATACGGATTATCACCACCCCCAATCATCCCGTGGGTGTCGTAAGAGCCGACTAAGGGAGCGAACTACGCAGGACAACAATACTGCAAAGAGAAGGAAAACTTAACACAAACCCTATACCAACCCGTCTGGCCAGCGTAGTATAGTAGGCCAAAACCTCCTTTCAAAGGAGAGGCCTATGTCCAGCAGTGGACTGTTAAAGGCTGTTGATGATGATGATGAACCTCTTGATGCACATGTAAAATGTTTTGCACTTGACTCATTCCAAAGCCTAACAAAGCACGAATTTGCTGTCAAGTAATTTTTTTGTCAGTTTCAAGATTTTTCGTACGGTGTCAATATTAGAGTCTGTAACCGCAGTCGCTCGCCGATCTTCTTCACGTACCTCGTCATAGATCACGTTCACGTTTAAATACTCCAAACCACGACTACAAAGGTGCGACATAGTGTTTCATTACCAAATGCCAATCGAAGTCTTTGGCAACTCTCTTGTTGACTTAAGCCACAACGAAAATTATAAAAAATCATTGAACGAAAATGTTCACGAGTTAAATTCATTTTGATAGCGACACACAAATTTCAAAAGGAAAAACAAATGACAGTCTCGCAAATTAAAAAGTAACATGTTCCCAAAGAGTTCCATTTTCGAATTTCATTGTTGTTTTTTCATTCTTTTATTGTAAGTGGCCAGATCCAGAAACTTTCAGTATGCCCCACGTATTATCTCGGTCGGAGGATCCTCCTTTTAGTTTAGCGTTAGGGGGATTTTACACCTGTTCTTTATCCTACCTTGCGAATCAGTTTGTGTAATGTCATACTTTGAAAAAATGGGATGAATACATTACGAGTAAATGTAATGTTGCAGATATCCGTATGCAGCTGTCGGAGCAGACGCGCGTGCTGGAGGCGCGCGCGGAGGCGACCGCCGGAGTGGCGGGCGAGCTGCACGACTACTGCCGCCGTCGCGCCGACCTCGAGCACGAGTACGCGCGAGCACTCGACAAGCTGGCGCGCGCCGCCACGCAGCGCCACAAGGACCAGAAGCACAAGTCAGTTGGACGGCCGCGACGACCGTAACGTTTTACGAAGGGACCAAAGAAATGAAGTGCGAGCGTGTACGTTGCAGGCGCGAGCAGTGGTCGCTGACGGGCGCGTACGCGTGCTGGCAGGCGGCGCTGGAGAACACGCGCGCGCTGTCGCGCGACCACGCGGCGCTGGCCGAGTTGTACGGCGGGCCGCTGGCGGCGCGGCTACAGAGGGCGGCGGAGGACGCGCTGCGCCTGCACCGCAAGTGCCGCGACGTGGTGGCCGAGCGCCACGAGGAGGTGGGCGCGGCGCTGGCGGAGGCGGCGGCGGCCGGCAAGGCGCACGCCGCCTCCGCCGCCGACTGGCGCGCCGCCGCGCTCAAGCTGCGTCACGCCTACGACCAGCGCCAGCGCCTCGCCGCCGCAGACCCGCCTCGCCACAAAAAGATCAAGGCACTGGACAAGGAGTTGGATAAGGTATGGTCTAACTTCTGCCTCTACTAATAAACACTAACAATATTACTTTTTGGAACGAACCTCATATTCGACTTTAAAAATATATTGCTTTACTGCTTTCACCGTCACACTAAAAGATGTTTTAATAAATTTCTTAATATTTATGCATTTATATATATATCTTTTAAAAATAACATTGTCATGTGCATATTTCTAATTAGATATTATTAAATGCTTGAAAAGTATGAAAAATATTGAAACTGCAATAGGAAAAATAAAACCCCCCCGCACAACCAATCTGTGGAACGGGTTACCGTCTGTGGTATTTCCGGACCGATACGACCTTCCAACCTTCAAGAAAAGAGCGTACTCCTTCCTAAAAGACCGGCAACGCCTTTGTGACTCCTGAGTTGCAGACGATCATGGGCGGCGATAGTCACTTTCCATCAGGTGTCCTGTCTGCTCGTCTGCCCCCTCCAACATAAAAAAAAAAACAATTATATTTGGAATAACAAGCAAGGAGATAAGGGTAGTTAATTTTACTTTAACAAAGTTACAATGTTCATAAAATGCTTTCATAAACTGAAAGTAGTTGAAAAAAATTCGCAATTAAGACTTCAACAACATTCTTTAGATTTATACATCTTTTTCAACTTGTTTACAAATAGAAGTATTTATAAAAAGTATAATAATTTAATAATAGGCTCAGTACAGTATATTTACAACGTCGCCATCATCTTCATGATGGGCTTTTAGTCAAGTGGTCAGTGATCTCGGTCGTGGGCCCGATTCCCACCCAGGACTCATGTTGTGTGATGACCATTATAATGTGTTATGTGTCTGGGTGTAAATAATTTATAATATGTATGTATTCAGGGATATATAAATGTAGATCAGCATTATGATTACCATAGTTCAGGCTCTGCCTAGTTTTTGGGATCAGACGGCCGTGTGTGTGAGATGTGTCAAGTTTCGCACACACCCGCGTACACACGTCGGTTTGTGAATTTTGCAATTATTAATCTACCGAATCGTCGCTATCAAATATTTTAAATGAACTTTATTCTAATATTAACAGTAAAATAAATAGTACGCGGTACATACGTACATAATTTATTTCGTAAAACGCACTCGTGCATCGTCCAGAGGCGGAGCCGGCACAGCGAAGCGCGAGTGCGCGCGCTGCGTGCGCGGGCCGACTACGTGCTGAGCCTGGAGGCCGCCAACGCCACGCTGCAGCGGTACTACCTCGACGACATCGCCGACATCATACTGGTGAGTGGTGCGCGAGCTCGGCCGGCGCTGCGCCGCGGACGTGTGCCGTCGTCATGAACGCGAGCTTGTCCGCAGTGCATGGAGGTGGGCTTCGAGACGGTGGTGGGGCGCGCGCTGCGCACGGCGGCCGCGGCCGAGAGCGCGCGCGCCGGAGCCGCCGACGGGGCCGCCGCCGCGCTGCGCACCGCCGCCGACGCGCTGGACGCGCTCGCCGACCGACAGCGCCTGCTCGATGCGCACGCGCAGGCCTTCGCCCTGCCGCGCCCGCTGCCCTACCAGGTACGTCCCGAGCCCAAATATAGTGGCCAAACAAAAGTAATCGTACGTGGTTGACGAAGCTTAAATAAACGTTTAAGAAATTTAAGTTATAGTTAAAAACTAGAAAACTGTAGATATCGTCGTCACCTTCGGTATTATTCGAAACGGTTGACACTATACGACCGTCGCCGGGTGAAAGGGGGATGATATTTTTGATGTTTGGCATTATTAAAAGTGATTCGAGAGAACCGTTTCGCAGGGTACGGCTCCGGACGTCCAGGACACGGAGGTGCGCGACTTGCTGGGATCCGCGGACGACTCGGACGAGCCGGCGACGCTGGTGGCGAGCGAGCTGGCGCAGCGCCTGCAGCAGCTGGAGGCCGGCGCGCGCACCTTGCGCGCCGAGTGCCGCGAGAACGCTAAGACGCTCGACGCCGCTGAGGCCGAGCTCGTCAAGCAGGTGACCGCTCGCTCTCCTGGAAGCTCTACCGTCACCTCTCGTGCCGTTCGGATGGAGACTGACGTTTACGTACGCGTACTTGCAGATGGAGGGCAGCGACGCGCAGTGGGACGTGTCGGGCGTGTTCGGACCCGCCGGGGGCGGCGTCGCCGCCGTACCGCCCGGACCCGCGCCCGCCACCGAAGACCAAGAGGACTACTACCTGGCGGTGAGACTCTTCGTGTGCCGCGCGTGCTAACGCTCGCTTCGATGCGACTCGACCTGCGTCGAACGCGTCGTTTCGTGCGATATGTATTTCGATCGATTCCCTCCATGTGCTAACGTACCGCTCGGTGTGTCGCAGAAATTCCGTTCGTACGTGTCGTGCGCGGGCCGGCTGGCGCGGCTGGAGAGCAAGGCGGCGGGCGTGAGGTCGCGGCTACTGGGGGCGGGCCCGGGGCCCAGCGCGCGGGCCCCGTCCCCGCCCACGCCGCCCCGACGCGCGGCGGCGCGGCTGCGGCGCGGGCAGTTCGCGGCGCCGCTGGACCACCGCCTGCCCGTGGTGCTGACGTCGTGCGTGCGCGTCATCGCCACCTACGGCCTTCGCCACCAGGGCATCTTCCGCGTCTCCGGTTCGCAGGTATGATCTTCTTCCTTCTCCACGCTCTCGACTAGGTTTAAAGGCCGGTCTTTATTTTTTTCTTTCGATCTACGAACGAAAGGACGAGACGGCAGAGGATTTTAATTTTTACCAAAGAACACTCAAACATATCTAGTAGGAATACAATGTAAATTTGAATGTTTTAAATCGATCCCGAGACATCGAAACGGTTAAAAAGTTTAGCCGTTTCGTCCCGGAGCGTCTCGATCCGTCGTGTGCGCCGGCGCAGGTGGAGATGCAGGCTCTGCGCGCCGCCTTCGAGCGCGGCGAGGACCCGCTGGCGGGCGTGCGCGACGCGTCCGACATGAACTCGGTGTGCGGGCTGCTGAAGCTGTACCTGCGCGAGGTGCGGCCGCCGCTGCTGCCGCCGCAGCTGCAGGAGCGCCTGCTGCGGGTGGCGGCGCTGCCGGACGACGAGCAGTTCGCGGCGCGCATGCGCACCACGCTGGCCGCGCTGCCGCAGCCCGCCGTGCTGGTGCTGCGCTACCTGTTCGCCTTCCTGGCGCACCTCACCGAGTACAGCGAACACAACATGATGGACGCCTGGAACCTGGCCATCTGCCTGGGGCCCACGCTGCTGGCCGCCTGGGGCGAGGGCGGCGCGCAGGTCACGGCGCAGAACCTCGTCAACGAGCTCGTCAAGCGCATCATCCTGCGCCACCGCGACATCTTCCCGCAGGACGTGGCGCCCTACGCGCTCTACACGCGCTTCAGGTACACGCTCCACACACAATCTTCACTACGCACTTCGTAGTCACACCGCCGTAAGCTCGGCCCTCCCGATGGTACGCTCAACCGATCAGCTAGTGTGGCGCTGTCCGCCGGCAGTGACCGACATGAAAGCATGGCTGTACGTGTCATTTGTATATTTTTTCTATATTTTCTTACAAAACCCTCCTAAGACGAATACCTCCGTAAGTCTATAACTCGAATTATTTGGCGTCTCCCTTGAAGTTCGGCTTACAGAGTTTCTACTGTTTAAAGTTCTAATTTGACTGCACGGATGGCGTAGTGGTTTAAGCGGTCGCCACGCCGCTTTCAATAGAAAGCGCCGAGTGTTGTGGGTTCAAACCCCACGTGGGACAACACTGTGTGATCCACAAATTATTCTTCTGTCTGAGTCTGGGTGTACGCTTTGAGTCCGTTTCATGTTTGTTTGTAAAGTTCCCCGCGACACAGGATTTATTCCTAGTGCTGGAATTGACTGTTAAAAAAAAAGAAAAAAAAAGAATATTTATTATTTTACTTCATCATTTAATTGTATCTGAATATAATTTACAACATAAAGATAAGATTTTGATTCCATCGTGTATAAATTAAATCTCAAACAAATAAATCTGAAGATATCGAGTTAGTACATCGTGTCGTGTATAGCCGAGCGCATCACCCGCCCCGCGCCAAGCTTAAGGCGGTTTGACTACAGTTTCGTTACGATTGAAACTTTCAAAGTAACATTTGAAAGTGGTTACATGATTGTTTTGCAACTTATATTTTCTGTTTCAATCCGCATTCGAAGCGACCAGCCCGCCGAGATAAGTATCTCAAGAAGTTGAAATTTGTTGTAAATGATAAATGATATTTTTACAAGTCGGAATAAATCCAGTAAAATAAAATATATCCAGTTAGATATCATTTACAATGAAAGTAAGCCAAAGTGCACGCACGCAATCTAATACATGCATAAATTCTTGTCATTCAGATAAAATAGGCTTTCAAAACTTTGTTGCGACGTGTTGAGTATTTGCTTAATAACAGAAAATAATTATTAGGCTCAGATTGTTTAAGTGGCGCAGCAAAATTTGTCCTTTTTCCCGGTGATAGAGGGAAGTCAACTTCATTTTTTTTTTACTAAAAATATGAGTTTTTGTAGAAAATACTATTTAAAATGTACTCGGTAGACACTGAGAATATTAATTGTCTTTAAGGCTTCTGCTTCTTGAACGTGTGACGCGGTGTCATCTCAAAAATAGTGAAGGTTCTATCAATTAAAGCCTGTGGCACGTCCCGTGCGAACCGTGGCACCTGAGAGTCCGAATGAACAGTATCATTTGAACTTTTCGTATACCACCAGCGAGATAAGCTTCATCATTTTTAGTAACGTGTTCACGGTACCATAACGTTTCCGGTCCAGCAAAATAATTTTTTGACTCCAAAATAAAATGGGGAAAAGGCAGGAAACGGCGATGATGATAGTACATATATATAGGTATGTATATAATAATAATACTGTTGTTTAATTGCATACTTACAGCGAGGCTGACGCGACCACTGACGACACGGACTCCGCCGCGCCCGCCCCCGACCCCGCGAACCCCGCGCACCCCGTGCAGCCCCCGCACGCCGAGCACCCCTCGCACCCCTCGCTCCCCTCGCTCCCCTCGCACCCCGACCACAGCGAGGAGCACGACGTTGGCGACGACCTGTCGCTGTACGACGATGACGATGACGAAGGTACCGCCGCTCGCGAGGGACTCCAATAATTTCCTTAAACTGTAAAGTGTGGCGTTGTTAATGTACAATATATATGTTCGGTCGCAGATGACGTCACGGACGAGGACGGCGAGAGCGGCGACTGGGGCGACAGAGACTCCTTGGAGTATCGCAGGTCAGTCTTACGGGTTTATTTCGGTATACGTCACGTCTCCGTGATTAAATATGGACGCGATCACATACTTATATTAGACAAGAAATTTGAAAAGTTCCCATTACCCACCCATCCCACACTACATTCTAGTTTTTTCTAATTTATTTAAGCCACTTAAATTTTGGCGTTAAATGTAATAACGTATTGTAATAGATCATCATTGAAATAGATCTAGTAAAAGTTTGTGTTTCCTGGTACGCGAGTGCGATGTGCTATCCGTGAGTAAGACGCGCCGTTGTGTTGCAGGTCCGGCAGTGCGGAGCGGCGGGCGGCCGCGCAGGTACCGCTGGAGACGCGCGTGTGACTCGCGCCCCACCTTCGCCCTCATCCCCCCTCGCCCCCTCGCACCCTCACCTCCTCACGCACCGCCGCCAGCGTTACTTTGGAAACTGACCGATTCTTATCATATTACATTAGCGATGTTGCCACATGGGGTTTAGTTAGGCCTCGTTCGAATCGCTAAGTTTGTCTAGTGACGTCAGTGTCGGTCGGGCGAACGTTGTGCGACACCGTGTGGCAGCATCTCGATGCGGGGCGGAGTGGCGAGGCGAGGGGGGGCGGGGGACACCACCCCCCCCCTGCCGCTCGTGCAGAACTGACTTCACACATTGTGCACTTTTCTGACAGCTCATCTAAAAACATCACAACAGAGTACCGGCGATTAGTGACCGAATCGAGTGATCTCTAAAATAAATGAGATACGCTAAATAGTTGGCGGATATTCCAACAAATTTCATGTGTAATATTTTGAAAACACAAAGAATATCGTGTGCCGTCTCTTCTTAAATTTTGAACGAAACAACGATTCCTTGATTTTATAGTTTAACAATCTAACAAAAAGCTACTATGTTTAGTTAGTAAAATCTACAGAGATTTATTACTCTTCCAAAAGTATCGAAATAATTATATAAGGGCAGTACTGTCAATGAAATACAAACAATCGTAATTTAATTGTTTTCAAAGATTGCCTGTACCATGATACGTCAACGTATGTCTCTGGAGGTGTTTTAAGGACCTAGTGCGAGTTTATTTCACTTCTACTCCATCGTCACGGTGATAGTGGTTGGTAAAGGCCGAAGCCGTCACCGCGATATGAAATAAGCTGGCACTAGGGCGTCTGACGTGTCCCGCACGTTCTCGAGCACGATGTGAGGAGGCGGGGCCTGCGCGAGCGGCGCCCTCTGCATGCTTGTGTTGTGTCACGTATGTCTGTCGTCTGTTTGTTCGCTTCTTAGTTAGATCATTATTGTTATGTATTTACTTCATCCGTTAGTCGCGCAGGTGTCTCAAAACGATTAAATATTTACATTTTTATTCAACGACGTCGTGTACGTTTTGTCTTAAAGGAGATGTTCTAAGCACTTGGGCGTCTGTAATTACATAAGAATACATAGATAGCTGCTATACGGTTTTGTTCAATATTGCTGCCCTACATATTTAACCCTTATTTACACGCTCGCGTGGACAGCCATGCCAAATAAATAAGTATCGGCGAGTCCTCGAGCGCTCCCAGTCAGAGGTCCACTATCCACTATCCACTCATTAAACGACAGCCTTTGCTTCGCAAATAAATACTGCTTTGCTGTGATGAACACATCACGCTCCTAACCTCAGCTTGTTTTTTTATGTAAATATAAATGTTGACCCGAGGTATCCCCAAATACCTTGTCGTCAACGTAAGACGTGACCTGCTTTCGTTAGAAGGGGAGAGGTTGCCACGAGTTTCGTGTAAATATAGACCTGTGCCTTGTAATAATAGACACAGCAACAATGTGAAAAGGCAGTTTCGGTCGACAGCGTTTCATCAATCATCAACCTTTAACAGTCCACTGCTGGACACAGACCTCTCCTTAGAAAGGAGGAGCGTTTACGTCAGCCCAATAAAGTATAAATAAACATACCACGTATAAATCATATAATTTATAAATCATTCATATAATCACACATTATAGTTACTAAGCTAGACAGAGACTGAAAAAAGTCTAAATCGAAAAAAGGGTTAATAACTTGAAAAATAGAATTTTGATTGATTTTGATGGCATTTATTTTTGTCCATGACTAAATCACAATCACAGGTGAAATCGTGGTGACTTAAACTAATTATGTCATCATATGGTTACGATTCAAAAGTAGCAATAATTTCAAAGTCTAATTTGTGCCTACGAACGAACATCTCCTTTAGGCACGCGAGGGGTGGGAGTGGAGGGGGAGTGGGGGAGGCGCAGTTTTGAGGCGGCTGTACCTTCACCGATACGTAGTTCACTGTGATCGCTTTACAAAAGACTGACCGACACTGGGTAGTGTAGCGCCGAGTGCCTTACTGTTGCCAATTATACATAGTTAGATTATTTATTAGTACATTATGTAAGTATATTTAGTTTTATCGCTATTGCGGTGGGCGGTGGCTATATACATGTTAATAAATATGTTCCAATGCATGTGTGTGTTTGATTTAGTTGTTACCGCGCCTTGCTTTGTCTCTCACTCGCCTAGTTCGCCACGTCGTTCACTGCGAGCGCGGACACCCCGAGTCGAGCTCCTCGGTGGACGACAGTTTTGAGCTCAGCTCGTAATAACACTCATTTTGACATATATTTGTTTTTGTGGTAGCTTTATATAATTTTATCATAATTGTTCGGTGGGTGGGCAATACCTCTCCTTAATCGCATTCTGCTGATCGTTAATCCCAAGTCTCGCCTGTTTTATTTAAAAATAGACAGCTTAAACTATACTCAATCATTTAAGTGCATTCCACAACGTGTACTTAGGTGGTAGGTTTAACATTTATCTGTAATTAGTTCATCATGGACCCTGTCGAGCACAGCAAAATACATGTAAAATAACTCTACAATTTAAATAAAATCAAATTGAGATAATTGCACCAAAATCAGAAGACAGTAGCGCAAGCTATAAACGTGTCGGTATATATTGGAACGTATCTGAATGTTCTCCAGTATCTTGCAATATTTTTTTGTCATTATCGTATGACGTGAACATACAGACGATTTAAAACATGTTACCTACTACCTTGGGTGTTCCTGTGTGACCTCGTTACGTTGTGCGTATCTGATATGTGGACATGATTTATTTATTAGTACTGTGATAAAAATCCGATAAATACACGATTCTAACTAGGCCAAGGACGTCCCAACTAATTAATACCTAATTCTTATTACATACACAATTTAGACGAATTTACTGAAGATACGGGGGGACGGAGTCTACGATTGGGCAATGCATTATACAATTATGAGAAATCACATTTTTATCTGATTGTGTTGTAACACACACAAAATTGTGTTCATATATAAAAGAGTTGTTCGACCAATTGTGTTGTTATTCTATAGCCAGAATTACTTGTACGTTCCATTGACTTGGTATTTTATTTGAAACCAGCAACCCGCCCCGGCTCCGCACGCGTGGTAATGTAGATACTAATGTGGAGTTATTAATCATATTATTATTATGATTAGACTATACAACAGGTTATGATATATATGTATAAAATCAAATTGCTGTTCGTTAGTCCAACCTAATAAAACTCGTTAAAGCTATATCGGTGTGGGCAATTTATGTCTTTTGATATATTTATTATGGGAAAATGCGAGGAAAAATGTAAAAACAACAATTTAATTTTTCCATACAAAATGTTTCTTCATGTCAAACATTTTATGCCATTCGTTGGTGCGATAAACTCGGATCTATTAAATTAAAGAACATTATTAAATAAGCGTTTCGAATCGACAACATTTATACGCAGTATTCAAATTATCGTTTTTAACCCCCGACGCAAAAACGACGGGGTCGTTTAACGGTTTAACGGGGTGTTATAAGTTTTACGTGTCTGTGTGTGTCTGTCTGTGGCATCGTGGCTCCTGAACGGATGAACCGGTTTTGATTTTGATCTTTTTGTTTGATCAGTCAAATTGTTGTCCCATGTGGGGATCGAACCCACAACACTCGTCGCAGTACGGAAGCGGCGACATGATCGCTTAAACCGCTACCATTACCATCCGTGCACTCAACTCATTTTATTATATAGATAAAGAGTCTGTTTGCTTGTTGGGTACATCAGGAACCTACCGGTTTGAATTGAAAAAATATTTTATGTTGGATAGTCCATTTAATGAGAAAGACTAAAGGCTTTCTAACATCATGCTACGATCAATGCGAAGTTGCAGAAGCACATGGGTCAGCTAGTATACGATATTTATAGGCACGCTCCACGCCTGAAGGCCGCCGCGCTGATACCCGGGATGGACGCATGGCCCGACGCGACGACCGCCCTGACCCCGCATTAAATCTTTGATATCTTATAAAAGATTCGTTATAATGATATGCTGTAGAGGGTAATTCTAAATAAGTAAGCTTCGTAAATAACCCATCGATTTTTTTGTAAAATATAAAAGATAAAAATGGTTATTGTGGATTATCTTTAGGAGGATAGACTTGCACCAGGGACTTCCTTGCACCAGGGACTTCCTTTCTAGGGTATACCTGGTTCCCCGGCTATTAGTACCCGAGACGGCGTGCGGTTTTAGTCGGTTCGAGTCCGACATGCCACCGACAGGTGGTATCCGAGGGGATTTACGGACGGAAAAAATAAAATAAAATAAGGATAGACTTATACAAAATGTTTTTTATTAGATTTTTAAGTTGTACAATTTCGTATTACATTATTTTGTTTTATCTCGTAAGGTTTAGCTAGCGTTTGCAATGTATGCGCACAAAAACATGTTTTTTATGACATCGCATTGCAAATCTTTGAAGTTCTCGGATTTTCTCTACGACAATATGCATGAATTATACATATAACCCTTCCTTTTGTATCACTCTATAAATTAAAACCGCATTAAACTCTGTTGCGTATTTTAAAAGATTTAAGCTTAAAAGGTGTGGGAAGCGACTTCATTATACCCGTATGCTATATAAAGAACATACTCGTACATGTCTTGTACCGCAACGATTTTACGACAACTTTTTACTTTGTTATTACTCATCATAATTTTAATCGATTTGAATAATTCAAAAAGTAATTTGATCTTGAATATGTAGTCTGTTACTAATTGTTTATTTAGAAAGAATTAATAACATAATACTGATCGAATCACTTTTTGTAAAAAACTTGCCGATGCCACGAGCTCTTCCTTTGTGTTTGTGCTTTGCTGTCTCCCTAAGCTTGTGGTGCATACATTCACATCTTTTGAAATCAAAGTCATGATGAATATCAGCAGCTTTAAACCGAAGTATTGTTTTTAGTTAGTACATCAACTTGTAGAAATATCTAAAACAAACAGGTCTAGGTGTTTGTACATCCATAAGCTGTACCTAGGTATCACTTCGCTAACCACAAACCCGTTAAGTTTACAGCGCGACACGAAACTTACGTGCCCTCGAGGAACTACGTTACGATACGGGTATAGTTGCTGCAATGTTCATCTATACTAATATTATAAAGCTGATGAAGAGTTTGTTTGTTTGGTTGAACGCGCTGGTCTCGGGCACTACTGGTTCCAATATGATTGATATTGAAAAAATATTTTGTTAGATAGCCCATTTATCGTGGAAGGCTATATAACATCACCCTACTACCAACAGGAGCCTAGCATTACTATTAGCAAAGCTAGTTGCCAATATTACACTAGTGTTCGGAATGAGAACAGAGTTATAGTTGTAGGTAACACTGGCATTAGTACCATTGTTGGGGCCGGCTGGCACGAAGGCTGGGGCGGTATGCCGTCTGTATGGACAGGCCGACTTAAACCTATGGTCCTTTCTTCAAAAGGTCTACCCAGACCCTATACTGTACTCGCACAAATTTATTAAGCTTTGTTTACGGACTAAAAAAAGACATCTGTGGTTTGTTTAGGCGTTTCTTCCCAAAGCGAGTCTTACTAAATGCCGGCTCCATCTAGCCGTAAAGTCCGACTTATAAAAATATCTGAAAAGATTAACTTACAGACATAAATATTATTACAAGCTTTTATTTAACTTGCAATGTATGTGTGTAACTATGTTTGTTCAAGTGGAATTTTGCAACTCAATTTTGAAGTAGATATCTTCAACCGATTTAGTTGAAATTTTGTGTACACGTTTAGTTTGAATGACAATGCATGGTTAACTGTATGCCGTCATTCTAAATGTAACATGGCGGAACAACCAAGATGGCGGACTAATTATTCTTAATGCACTGCTACAATAAGGGTATTCAATGAAAGGACTTGCTGAGAATACGAATGCGAGTTAAAGTCCGTTGCTTTGAATGAAATGAACAGACTGAGAAGCCTGTCAAGCGATAACTAAAAAGTAAAATATAAAAGTAAAAACCTTTTAAAAAAACTAGTTCTTATATAAATGTACCAAAAAGAATAAAATAAACTTTTCCTAGGAACTCATAACTTCATTACACAATTTATATGATATAAAAGCTCGTAAAATATAAAATATAGGTCCCTGTGCACGTAAACAAGTAGCTAAACTAAATAACTTGATCTGTTTGATTTTAATTGTTGTAAATTTTCAAACTAAGTAAATACAAGCTTTCTCATCAAATTTATAATGTGCTCTTTCGTAAAAACATAATTTATTCATTGATTTTCTTAGGTGTTAGGTATATTGAAGTGGTATCGATAAAGCGTTTTTGTGTCCAGGTGGAACCCAAACCGGAGGAGATGGCGGCCGCCGTACCCTCGGCATCCACCCCCCAATGCAGGTAACAATCTACTCGTCTTACTGCATGTATCTACTCACTGTTCATCGCTATGCGGTTCAGAGGAGGCTAGGACCGTAGAGATACAGCCCGCCGCCGAAAGGGTCATCGTGGGTTCGTAGTTCGACAGTCGTCCGCTCGGTCGACGAGAATAGAGAGGGAGGCTCGCTCGGGCCGGACTAGCGACCGGTCTAAACGGGCGTGTGATGTGTGCAGACGCCTGGCGGAGAGCACCCCCCGACCTGGTGCTGGACCTGCCGGCGCGCGCCGAGGTCCCCGCCGCCCCCGCCGACAGCGCCGACACGTTCGCGCACAACCGCGACACGCTCAAGAAGCGGCCCGCGCGGAGAGCGTCGCGCTCCGAGGGGCAGGACGCGCGGCCCGACGCGCCGCCCCCCGCGCCGCGCGCCGACGGCTCGCCCGTGCCGGCGCGCAACACGGCGCGCGTGGCCGCCAAGTTCGCCGACCTCACGCTCACGGGCGGCTCGCTCAAGCCCGCGCTGGCCGCCAAGCCGGCGCTGCTGCGGCGGCCCACGCCGCACCCGCACGCGCCCCGGCCGCCGCCCGCGCCTGTCGAGGCCACGGCCGCCGCCCCTGTCGCCCTGCCCGCACCCGCCGACGCGTCCGTCCAGCCCCGCGACGAAGAGCCGGCCCGCTAATCGTTTACGACGCGAGCGGAAATATCTAGAGATGTATTTTTCCGTGTCGATCGGAACGATCCAGTCTAATCTCTGGTGAGCTCCGGTGCTCATGTGATTTAGGCGGCGTCCCCGGGTGCGCCCGGCTGCGGCCGGTCGCTAGCCCCGGGGACGCCCGTGTACACGCACACCGGACGGGACGGAGGTCTCTCGTCTAGGTATATTCGCTTCATATTTTGTAAAACTATGTAATTATATTATTTTTTATACGTGCCGCTGAGGAACGCGGCGGTCCGACGTCCGATCGATTCTTTAACCCGACGCGCACGTTTAGCGTGCCGTAGACTTTCATAGTAGGTACATACGTATTTTTTGACGTTATTTTGTGGCGTAGAATTGGCGAACCGAGCCGAGCCTCGGCGCGCCGCCTTAGATGATATTTTGTTACAAAGAGAGCGATGTGCGCGGTGCGAGGGCCAAGGCCGGCCCGAGCAGAGGGCGCTCGTGACGGGGACCGTCCGCCGCGGCGTTCGTTCGCGGCAACTTATACATCGTATCAGTGTATGTTATCGAATGTGCTCTATCTTATGATATAATCTCGTACTCAATAAAGCAGTATTACACGTATTGATTTTGTTTTATTATTACGCCTATCCACTTATGAAGATATGTTAATTAAAGTGTTAAAATAATAAGTGGGCTCAGCGGGACGCTCATCCTACACTGGGTGCTTTAATCTTTAACCGAACATTGTTTTTTTCAGAATTATCTCGGGTAGAGTATCTAATCTTGTTAATTCCTTAAGAGCCTACAAATACCGTAGTCTGTGGCACCAAATCGCTGTCTATGGTAGCTTTTATATAACATCTTAAATAAGCCTATGTATAAAAAGGTTTACGAAAAACCACGTGGATTGTTAACGACACCACTGAAAGGCACCACGACACCACCGTAATGAAGTTTTAACCCTTCTAACACAAAAATTATGCATTTATCGATATCAACTATTTTTTATTAGTGAGATGACAACCATGACCATTTAAAAAGCCCTTGCCAGAAGTTTCTAGAAGTTGCTTTAAAGATAACAGATGAAGGGAAACAAGGATACGGTCAAAAAAATGAATAGTTATTGAATAATATCAAAGCGCCTAGTGCAAGCTTATTTCACATCAACTCCTCTCGACAGCGAGCGCGTTCTGTGTTGTGATCGGTAAAGATTCGTGTGCGCGCCAATTGAGGCGCCGAACGCGCTCACCGTGACGATCGAGTAGACGTAAAATAAACTAGGGCCTCAGATCAATTTTTAAGAAAATAACAATAATAATCACCAAATCCAACATTATCATTAAAAATTAACACAATGAATTGTTTCAACTTATACATCACTAGTAAGCAGTGGGGTCGTTACCAAAAAAATTGTGATGTGGTTCAGTGCTGTCGTTTACAATAGGTACACGAGAAACGGGCAGGACAACAAGGATTCAATAAGAAAAAAAGTTCATCGAGACAAGAAAAACTGCAGGTAAAAAGAGTTTTGAAGAGATTCAGCTTTAATGCTCACAGGCTTTTCTCAAAGTAAATAGTTGGGATACTTTTTTCTTAATACGAGTAGGTATATTAGGTTTAATATTTACTTCCCTAGTTTTGCCCAACAATAAAATACATCAGGGTCACGCCCTTGGAAAGGACCACCTCCAGGACCTGATGCAATATCGATAGGTATTTATCTGAACGTAGACCCGAAGGTTGAGTTGAGAATGGCAGTACATGGCATACAGTTTGAAGAAGTTTGTGACGTTCGTAGAACCGGCGGATAGTGTTTGTTATAGTTTAGTCAAAGAAGGTGGCTAAAAGGTGTGTAGAATAATATATGAAAGTCGGTGGGATTCATAACTTTATTAATATTTTGTACATTATCATCAAACAAGCATAAATTTACAATTTAACAAATAGATATCAGATATCTACTGCCTCTGAAGTGACACAAAAATGGAATTGTTGTGAGAAGGCGTGGATGCACCGCCATCGCACCGACTCCTCCACCACGCCCCACGTGTAGTACTGTAAAGTAACCATCCTTGTACATTTTCAAAATCGACGTACGTATATTATATACAGGGTGTAAGGGACGTCGCAACGAATACTGAAATAATGATGGTTTGAATACACTATTTCATTATTCGTTACGAGGTCCCTTACACGGGTTGAATACGTGGTAAGAGATCCGGCCGCAAGATTACTACGTTCATGTATTTTTTTATTTTATGGCCTAGGGGCGCAAACGAGGGCACACGGGTCACATGATGGTATGAGTCTACCGCCGGTGGACACCTGTCACTTACTCTGTGAAAAGCAACTAAAGAACTGCTTAAAACTGTTTATGTGAGTGACTGTATTTTATGTGAGGCCGTGGTGTCACTCCGGTAGAACCTGGCCTATTTGTGACGAAGAATAGCTCTCCCACGGTAAAATATGTAGTTTTTAATCAAATCTAATTTTTATGGACAGCACGGATGGTGTAAAAGGCGTTTGTAAATCCCCCGCGACACAGGATGCATTCCTAATGCGGCAGTTGTCTTTTTAAAAAGAATGAATGAAAATTTGACACATCTAAAATATCAATCAGAAGCCTAGTATGCGAACACGCATAATTACACAGTCCAACCAGTAGGGCTACGCCACTTATACCACTTCAACAGAATAATTTGGATAAGTAAATAGATAAAGTAATTTGTGTAAGTGTACAACAGGTAAAATTTTATGTAATCTCCTATTAAGAACTGTAATATATACATTGTTATTTACAAGTTATGATAAGTTCATTATTGTTTTACTTTTATTTACATATTTCATAAAATTTTGTTAAATTCGTCTGTGTTTAAAAAGTGACATCTCCGTCGGGTAAACCGTCTCGCCCTTTACCATTTGAAGGAAAATAATGACATTTCATTGTTTTTTTAATTTTTAATGCATATTACGAGTCTCATATTAAAAATTAGAAGGGATTACGTTAAAAACTTTTGAAGGTAGGTAATTATCTATACTAATATTATAAAGCTGAAGAGTTTGTTTGTTTGTTTGAACGCGCTAATCTCAGGAACTACTGGTCCGATTTGAAAAATTCTTTCAGTGTTTAATAGCCCATTTATCGAGGAACGCTATAGGCTATATATCATCACGCTAAGACCAATAGGAGCGGAGCACCAATGAAGAATGTTTCAAAAACGGAGAAAATTTATTACTATTGAGAGACGCAGACGAAGTTGCGCGGGTCGCTAGTCGTGAATAATCTTTTAAACTATAGACAAGTCTTCAGACAAGTAAAAAAAATGATTTTGATTAAAACTGAACGTATTAATCTTGCGACCGGATCCTCGACTCAAACAAGCTTGTAAAATATATATAAATCTATTATAATAGATGGACACTTACGAGAAGTGTAGTTGGGTATGGCGCACGTTCATACGCGGCCGAGTGGCGGTGGTCGGTGGCTAGTAGCGCAAGCAGTGGTCGTGATGCAAGGCGTGGTGTAGCGGCGCAGCGTTCTCCTTATCGCGCGTGTAGTGCGGAGCGGGAGCGGGCGCGGGCGCTGGCGCGAACTCGCCCGCCAGCGCCGGTGCCTCGTACTCGTCGCCCGAGCCGTCTGAAGCTTCCAGATAACCGAACAGGCGAGCGGCACCCGCCGCCCGCGTTTCGCGCCGACGTCCGGAGCCACTCGCCGCGCCCGCGCCTGCCGCAGCTCCTGCCTCTGCGCCCGCCGCAGATGCCGCGAAACCCGCTGTCGCACCGCCTGCCCCGCCGGTGCCTCTCATTCCCACGGGCACCTTCAAGTTGCGACTCTCGATGTGACTGCCAGGAGCAACAACGCAAACGGTAAATAATGATGTACGAGTACGTATGTATATTACACGCCGAGGGTCGCTAATAGAGGGTGTACTGACTGTGCGTCGCGCAGGTGGTGCGCGAGCTGGTGCTGGTCGTCGGCGAGGAAGGGGCACTTGGCGCACGCCTTCTTGTTGTGCACCTTGTGCACGTGCGTGGCGAGACGCTCGGCGCGCGCCGCTTTGTACTCGCACAGTGCGCACGCGAACGGCTTCAGATGCGTGTTGAGGTGTCGCTTGAGGCACCAGTTGTCCACGCCCGACCACGAGCAGTAGCAGCACGCGTAGCGCCGTTCGCCTTGCTGTAACACGCAATACGTCGCACTCGATTAACTCTCTGTACCATGATTCCTCGAGAGGGCTCTACTACATATATCAGGCTTTTTACATCAAAACAAACTGTAAAATAAGGATGAAAACTTTCGTAGGCGGTATTTATATTTATAAACAACCTGAAATTAGGGACGAAACTCATATGTGATCAGTTCATGCGTTTAATATAGTTCTGTTATCCACTAGCATTCATAATTTGAAACCATACTACCAATGTAATAATTTTTTTTTTCGAATAGGTCGTCAAAGTGTTTACTTTTTATTTCATTAGCATTTTTCTTATCGTTATAACTGCGGTTTATTGTTTTCTTATACACAAGCCCTTCCCCGTCGGGACTGAAGTACTTACGTGACAAAAAAACAAATCCAAACGTGCTTTAGAAAATTTAAGGTGCATGCAAGAACCTGTTTCATTTTGTAGAGATAGCTGCGGAATAGTACGAGTATAGCCGATATTTGATTGTAAGTGAGATTGCGGCGACTGCACTGACCTTGCGGCGGACGGCTGGTGGGGAGGCCGCAGCCGGCGAGGGCGCAGCGGGCTTGTGCAGTGCAGGGACCGCGCTCGGTTCGCTTTTGCCGAGAAGCGGCCTCTCTAGTTTGACAGCGGGCGCCGGGCGATAGTCGGGCTGTGCCGAAGCAGCGGGCGCGACGGCCACAGTGGCAGGTGGAGGTTCAGCGGGAGGCTTCGTGTAATAATGCAGGGCCGGCGCCGCGGACGTCGCCGCCGACGCCACGGGCTTCGCGTTCGACCGCCGGATGCGGTTTAGATCGTACGGTTGGTCGCGGTGCATCCGTAGGAAGTGCTTTTTGACGTGATCGGCGCGATTGAACTGCTTCTGGCAGAGATAGCAGTGAAAAGGTTTTTCATCGCGATGTATATTTTCATGTCGCGTGAACAGGTCGCGGCGGTCGGTGGCGTAGGGACAGGCGTTGCACACGTAGCGCTTGCCGGCCTCGCCGGCACCGACAGCCGAAGCGCCCGCGCCGGCGGCCTCGCCCGCGCCCGCTTCGCTGCCGGTGCTGGGGCGGCGCTCATTACGCATCGTTTCCACCTGATACGACTCACAATATTCATATCGTTTTATAGGCGCTAATTGAGCGCATGTTAATAAAAAAGTTTTTTTTAAAAACAAATTTTTCATTTAATTTGAGTTGTATTATTATTCTATTTGTGTACCTACTCTATAACGTTTTGTAATTGTATGTAGTCTCCACATCGAGAAGTACTTACATTTTCATGTATCTCTAAAGGACTATTTTTATGTGTTGCGGTGTGCCTGTAAGAGATTGATTGTAGCAATAAGGCCGCCCATTCTACATATCCGTCTGTAATATTTATCTCTGACATTGTAATTGGTGTACAATGAATTCTATGTCAAGTCCAGTTCCGTGAACCAATAAAAAAATGTTGAATACTTTGTTCTTAAGTCGTTGTAGGTATCGAGTGAGGTCGTCGAGAGCGGGGTTGTCCCTCAGCAGGTGGTCAGCGGCGGCGGGGTCGGAGTGGTGGTCGCGCGCGAGGTGCGAGCGCACGCCGCGCGCCCACCCGGACGCAAACCCGCAGCCTGCCAGAGGACATTGAAACGCCCGCGCCTGTGTTACATCCCAATCATGCCCATTAGGTCATGTTCCTTACACGCGTCTAAAACTTTTTATCAATTTTAAGCTGTATTTTTTAAAATTTATTTATTTAGATAAGAAAAACAGTTTAACATAAATACACGAAACACCCATAAAACACGTATTGGTTTACCTTGGGTGTAAGGGTACATTCCTCGTTCCTTTCTGTTTCGTTTAAATATCTACATTCATGATAATAACAAGATTTTTTATAAAAACTCCCGTGTAGAACTACGATAAACAATAGGTGCATGGTAGACAGGCGTACAAATCTTTCAAGCGTTTGACCGTTGTGTTGTTTACGTTCGATAAAACTATGTTATTCGCACCTACGTTTACGAGTTCGCTTAGTCTACGGGGTGATTGGTAACTAGTACATTTTTAATAGTTATAAGTACATTTATAAGGCACATAAATATATTACATATTTATTAATTAATTATATATTTTTAAAGGTTCATTTTTTTGACTATTCGTTTTAAATCGAGTGAATAAATAATAATAATAATATTCTACCACATTCACACAACGCCATCTAGTCCCAAACTAAGCAGAGCTTGTACTATGGCCTCTAGACAACTGATATAAATACATATATACTTTTTTTTTTTGTAAATACATACTTATTATAGATAGAAACACCAGAAAAGAAAGAAAAAGAATAAAGAATTTATTTTATTTCTTGCTCCTAATGGTAGCTCATTTATAAGTCTTGGTAGGAGGTAGTCAGTAGTTCGCTTGTCTTAGTAAGAATAAGAATAAATTGATTACAAAAAGGTATGTGATACAATAAGTTACCTGCGAGTGAGTGCCGAGCCAGTGCTCTGCGACCCGCGCCAGGAACCCGACGCACTCGCAGTCGGCGCACTTGAAGAGCCGCTGCGCGGGGTTGTAGGAGGCGATGCGCGAGTGCGCCCACGCCAGCGGCTCCTCCGCCGCCGTCCAGCGGTCCTCCGCGTTCGGGTCGATGCGCGGCGTAAAATTCGCCTGCACAACACAACACTCATACACTAATTGCTTGATTGCTATTGTGTGTGTTGATCTGTCCGGATATCCGGCACATCACTAGTATGTACCTAGCTCCCCGGAGTACACGTGACATATGAAAAGTGAGAAACCGTAAACTCTAGATATTTTATAAAAATTGGTTAAAGTTGCAGCGTTTGAAAACATTTGTTAATGTAGTGCGAGTTAGCTCTTGTACTAGCATTTCAATATGTTTTTTTTTAAATTTAGTAAATGGATCATAATAGAACGTGACGTGAAACTCTTTCAATAGCATTCGTGTCTTGAGTACTCGTTGAGAGTGAAATAGTTTATTCTACAAACAGGTAGGTAGTGACCAACGAATGCTTCTGGCGGAATATCTGTCTATCGTCGGGTACCTGTAGTATGCCTGGCGGAGGGAAGCCGTTTTGCATGAGTGCAGCGAGACCCCAGGCCGTGATGTGCTCTTCGGGACGCAAGTCGTCGTCCAGGTCTCGTTCGGCTGCGGGGAACTCCACCCCCACTACGCCTACTCCCACGCTCGTCTCTTCACCATATAGCTTTTTGGTGATCTCCTTAAACATGTCCTCGCAGTCCATAGTGAGCGAGGCGACGCTGCCCACGCCCGCGCCTCCCTCCATCATGGACTCGCGGTTATCAGTAAACAGCTGACGGTGGCTCTACGGGCACTCGCCGGTGTGAGTCCAATACACACACACCCACACCTGGAACCAGATGAGAAGAATCAGAAAAGCGGCCGGCATTGTGATATTGAAGGGACGAGTATACAGGATGTTTGATCGATTTGAAAATTTACAATAACTGTCAAGTTGGTCAGCAGTGTTCAATGAAGAAGACAATTTAATTTATTATTTATTTATTTATTAGAAGACCAACAGCGGTAATAGTAGTAGGTGTACGAGTATGACATCAAAATACGCAACATCCAGCTAATTACAGGTCCTCACTATTAGTAACAAGTTGCGGCAACAACAACAGCAGGCGTATGAAAACATTTTAAATCCATTATATTTCATCGAGAAATAAAATTATAATCAAAATTAAAATCACAATCAAAAAGAAAACTAATATATAAATATATATATTTGAAATGAAAAAGTGTTTTTTTTTATTAAATTCTATCAAAAAACTTTTTATCTTTACGATTTCGTCGCCTATGTATACATAAATGTGACACTGGAAAATATACAGTTATATTATATATAAAATACAAAAAACGTATACAATAAGACAACGCTGTGTGGTCTCGCAGTGTATTCGGCGCGTATGCGTGGTGACGTCATGTTCCTCCGGTATAGTGCGAGGCGAGCGCACGCACGCAAGCACAGTACGTTTAACCTCCGCTACCGTACAAACGACGACAAGTCTTGTTGGACACGGTTGGGAGCAGAGCGCCCGGGACGGACAGGATGTGCCGGATAATTTGCATACATAGGTGTGTATTGTGTGGTGGTGCTTAGAGAAAGGCGTAGGGCGCGGGTGATATCTAGCGCGATATTAATGGAGCCGAATGGTCTGCGCTCCGAGGGAGCGGTGAGGCGGCGCCTGCCTCCCTGCAGATGCAGCCTCTCCCGCCGCCCGCGCCCCGCGCACCGCCACTACGAGCTAACCACCGCGTACACTCCGCAGTCGTGAGCACCCGACTCTCGTCCTGAAAAGTCTGGCGTCGAGGAGCAGCAACAGTGGCATAAAACTATAGACGTTTGTGTAGGGTTCTACGTTTTAGAGGTTAGGCGGCGCCAGCGCCGGAGGTCGAGCTGACCTGATGCTCGTAGGTGTAGTCGCGTCTCCGAGGCGCAGGTACGACCTCATCACGAATGGCGTCCTTCCTTGTAGCTGCTCCGCACACGTCCTAGAAAAATGCTACGCCGTTGCTGCCATCATTCGGTACCGCTGTACCGTATCGATCAGCAGCAATAGCTGATACTAATCAAACTCGACGTGGAGCGTGCTCGCCCGTCGAGTACGCAGAGGGGCGATTGCGCCGGCGGCGGGGGCCGGGGGTGGTATCGATCGCGCGGGAGTGGGCGGCGGGGTGGGGGGCTCACCTGGTACTGCGGCGGAGCGGCGCCTAGCGCCGGCCGGCGGTCGGCGCGGGGGCGACACCTCAGCACCGCGCGGCGCGCCGGCCGCGACTGACGCCACCCGCCGCCCATCGATCCGCACCACCCCGCGCCCCCTGCCACCCGCCGCCCTCTCTCATCCATTCACGGGTCCGCGCCCGTATTGACCCGGTGCGTGTCTGCGAGAGTACGCCGCGCGCCCGCCCCGCCGCCCCTCGGCACCCACTCGCCGATAGGAAGTACTGCGGCTCACCATAACAATGTGATGAAAATTGCTGTTCATATCTCTACGCTTTCTGGAGGTACCTCACAATTGCGCACAGTGACATGTTTCGTGACGCGGAGCGCTACCAAATAAATCTTATCATTGGTAACGAACTCCGTTTGCGTTGTTCATACAACGGGGATAACAAAAACACACATTCCATGCTCTAAACTCACAGAACAACAAAGAGTATCTACCAACTGGCACCTCGCAGGCACTCTATTCTTCGCGCTTGTAATAAACGTTTATATGAGAGGAATGGACGAGAACAAACAATACATATTCGCGTGCATCTACAGCTTTCTATAGATAAACCGTTCGGCTCACACAAGTTGAATTTCACTCCGCCCGCGCCAGTCGCCTTCAACACCCCGTCCCACCCCTTTACATACCTTACCTCGGGGTTGACTAGCGTTGTACACTGCCCGACTAAAATTCAATCGACATTGCGATGGGCACCATTTAGAAATACGCATCGATTAATATAGATTTAAAAGAAACTTTTATATTTAGAGAAAATGTCACGAGCAAATATTGCTGGCGATAGTGGCTAGCGACATCTGCTGAGTGTGCCGGCACACGCAACAATCACTAGCTCGCTCCAGTATAACGCGTCTATACAAGTGAGTCTACAACTAACAACAACAAAAGGAATACATTTGTTATTGTGGAATAGCGGCAACAAGAGAGGTACTTATCAGTGGGCAGAGGCCGTGCGATGGACTAACTACTCTTTACAATTAAAGTTGAGACATTAAAGCGCGCAACGTGGCGCAACTGTTTCTTTATACCTTCCACAAGAATGGGCTTTTCCGCTTTCCCGCACCGAGTGACATTTGGAATACTTAAATTACATGTACACTAAATGAATTAATTTAACATTTTATACATTACGTGTAATAAATTTTAAAATTATATCAAAACGACTGTGATACGACCTGTCAGATACAAATGTATATTTATATATAACTAGGTTTATGCCCGCGTGTATGTCGGTTATCGCAGTAAAGCGTACCCTATGTTACAATGTAGTTGCTGACAATGTAGCTTTCCATTGGTTAAAGAATGTTTAGAATCGGTTTTATAGTTTAGGCGTGAAAGCTAACAAACAAACAAACATATTCACTTTCACATTTATAATATACTAGCTTATGCCCGCGACTTCGTCCGCGTTAAATTACGATTTGGTGAAATGAAACCGAACAAAAAAGAAAATAATTTGCTGTGTACTACTTCCTTTTCCTAGTTCCCATCTATGTTTTTACCATTCATCGAAATTGGCTCTGCGGTTTAGGCGTGGCGGTGTAACAGACAGACAGAGTCACTTTGAGAGGTCCTTCTTCTATGTGAAATGTATGCAATTCTATGTATAATGTACGCACGTAAATGGAGGATATTTGATGATGATTCATAATATGAGCAGGGTGTGGGATGTATTCTGCTACTTTTAAGGTTTTGACCCTTTTTTTTTTTTTCCGTGCGGAAATCCCCTCGGATACCACCTGTCGGTGGCATGTCGGACTCGAACCGACTAAAACCGCACGCCGTCTCGGGTACTAATAGCCGGGGTACCAGGTATACCCTAGAAAGGAAGTCCCTGGTAGCCCGACATACCTCGGGTCATCTACAGACGAGTAGACCCCCCCCCCCTCCCCCCCCGTGTGGGAACCCCATGTTCCCTGTGCTCCCTGGAAAAGGTTTTGACCCTGTAATTTGTTGTTGTTGCAGAATTATCGAAAACACTCCACGTGTTACTAGTGAATATTCGACGTGGTTGTCGTGCCCTTTTTAGCAACAGCGCGTCTGCGAGACACTGCTGCTGCAACAGTGTCTGTAGCTCTTTGGGACGCATTGTATGTCGCTTGCTGAAGAAGATTACACTTATGCTTTCGCGGCATAATTATTAGTGTTATTAATTAATTGCTTTTTTTACACCACAAAAAAATCCAGTACGGCAGCGATTATTATTTTATACATGAACCTATCCAATTAAAACATGAAATACCTATGTACCTAGGTATAATTAAATTAAAACTAAGTAACTTGTTTCAAATGTAACTAACCACAAAAACCTTCTAATAAATACCTATCACATTACATAAAGTGCGTTCTTTTAAAAAACCGCTAGTGCCTTGAAAAATCGGCCGTGCGCTTGGCTGCCGCTGAACCACCACGTCGCCGTATCATTATTTTGATGCGGTGTTATTTTAAAACTGCGATATCTTCTAAGATGTTTATTAAATTCAAATTATGTGAGGGGCAATTTTGTTTGTAATTAAATATTTGTGATGTATAACGTCTTTATAATACTTTATAATAACGTCTAAAATTTCTTTGGATAAGGATTAATACTATGTTGCTAAAAATACCTTCTCAAATAGTGCATTATTTTGAGACCAATTTGGTTGCCATAAAAAAGGTTATAGTGAGTCAACCTTAAACGATAGATATATGCTGTCGCAAAATTTTTCATACAACAGCCGATGGTCCAACCATCAGTGATCTTTGTGCTAATTATTTTCCATCTGTTTATACTCAAGACGACGGCGAAGAGTTTAACTGCGTATCTGAATTTCTGAAACCTACCCAACTTTTGACTATGACAGCTTACTTAAGAAACTGCAAACTGTTAATATTGGAAAAGGGGCGGGTCCTGTTTTTTTCCGACTTCACATCATCATCACATCAACAGCCTTTACTATTCCACTGCTGGACATAGGCCTCTCCTTAGAAAGGAGGTTTTGGCCTACTATACCACGCTGGCCAGACGGGTTGGTATAGGGATTGTTTCAAGTTTTCCTTCTCTCTGCAGTGCTGTTGTCACCCACGGGATGAATGGGGGTGGTACACTCTGTATTCTTAATCTGTCACCACACGGACACTTTTTTCTGACTTACGTGACAGTTATTGTAATATTTTGGCCAATTTTCACAATATCTACATAAAATATAGCCTATGTCCTATTCTGATGAACAAGCTATAAAACTGTAAAGTTTCATTAAAATCCATTCAGTAGTTTTTGCGTGAAAAAGTAACAAACATCCATCCATACATCCAAACAAACTTTCGCGTTTATAATGTTAATTGCGTTGACGGGAGGTCTATCGTAGCGCCGTAGCCATCTACGACGTAACCATCTACGTCGTAGCTTATGGAATTGCCCACCCTTTGTCGGCTAGATGCTCGCTCCCACCGAGCGGACCACACGACCGCCACACGACAAGGCAATTATATCCGCACCAAAACAGTGATCGAATGGAACCGTAGTCGTATAAATGTCCTTGTCACACGAATAGAATTTGATTTCACCGATTAAATCATGCGAAAACTTGATATACAAATATATAAATATTTGATAAGAGTGTACAGAAAGGCGCGAACCAATTTTAGGAGCACCATGTGTACCCATCTATATAAATAATTTTACAAATAAAAATGCACTTCAAAAAATCTTGCTAAGCGCAATTTTTTTATATTTTCGTTAAGTCACAAGAAAGGTTCCTTATGGAGAGTAAAAAAGATAAAAAAATATTTTCCCATTCAAACCACAGAGTTTTAAACACGCCCCTAGCTGTCAAACGTTGATAAGGCTATATGGCTATTAATCTAATGGTTGCCCAAAATAAAGCTCGAGAAAAAAAGTTTTGCGAGTCATCTAAGGATATAATATCACTAACGTCGTGTCGTCATTATTTTCTCTGTGTATGGCATTTTTCGGTTCTTTTAAAATTTTCGTTTCTCTCGAAAACTAATTGTTTGTTTATTCCTTTAGTGTGTTTACATTTAGACCCATATGCCGCCTACAAGACGCGAGCGTAGCAATTTGGGTCGAACAACTCGAAATGCTACAAGCTGAGCTGATTTTCAATGTAATCGGACTGCACAGCCACATGAAGGGCCAAATTTAATTGAAAGGATTAGGTTCAGGCCAATAAAATTTGACAGAATGAAATCTGTCGGGGCAGCTAATAAAAAATATTTTTCTTTGGAAATTCCTTTTATAAAAAATCTTAAAAAGTACCTCTAACTTTTTTATTCTGTCAACGTCCTTGGTTCCATCCCATTCGTGGTTTGTGGACGAGCTTCGATGATGTCAGAACACTCATACTAAATATATGCTGTATTAGTCAATGTTCAAGTTCAGTTTGGCGGTTACTAAATAACATTTCGGTATTGATTGCTCACAAAGGACAATGGCAGGTCCACATACATAATTTTATTTAAACTGAAATGGTAGCGTTTAAATATCAAGAATGCCTAAAACGCTTGAGAATTTATTCTTGACCATTCTCATAACAAAATTACTAGCGAAAGAAGTTTAGGAAAAAATATATTGGAATTTGAATGTTTCGAGGTTAAGTACTAACATATTGTCAATGTTTTGCTTGAAAGTAGATGGAGTTGTATGTCAGATAATCGAAAATGTTATTATCATTATTATGACTCATAAACGACCCTACTTTGCTGTTGAAAGTGTTGGCCGATGTTGGCCGAGACGGTGGAGGTTATTTCACCAATGTATGGTAAAACAATAAAAAAAGTCTTCGCTTACCAAGCAGGTGTAATACTAGATATAAATAAATCAATCAATAATAAATTAATTAAAAATATTAATTCGAATAATTATACGTCAATACACATTTACACAAGGCAGAAGCAATTTATTTATTTATTTAATTATTAGAAAGCCAGTAGTTGTTACATTGTTTACTAAAATCTAAAGCATGCATCCCTTATATTGAAATTAATATACAACACCAGCTGGCTCGGCAAACAAAAAACTGTGTTACAAATGTGCGTTTCATTTGTTAAAGTATACTGACGCAGCTTCTTTCCGGGCACGGCTGTCTCGGCCGTACCTGTACTTGGACGCTAGGAGGGAATTGAGTCCCACCTGTCAGCGCCCCTGACTTGGCTCAGCACACGCTGGTGCGCCACTTGGACGACGCAGCGTGGGGTAAATAATCTTAAGAAAAGTCTCAAGGGTTGCAAGGTATTTGAACTATAACACACTTGCGAGACAAACTTGATAGAAACATTTACACAGAGTTATTTTACCTAGAAGAATCTTAATATTACGATTAAGTTAAATGCCATCAATCCAGACGGATGTAAAATAAAAATATTAACAACTTAAATATCGGGTCCTCACGGCAGTCATCGCAAAGGATCTCCCGCTACCGGCCGTCATCCGCTCTACGGCCTGCTGCAAAGACGTCATCTCGCGTGTGCCGGTCGTCGCCTAAATAGAGAATTTACTGCGCTGTTGCGGACAGGCGCTAAAGGTCTGGATTTCTTAATAACAGCTGTTCCGCGATCCTTCTAATTTTAGGCGCAGAGTGGCACACAGTGTATTTTTAGTCGGTTCGATTCTGACACACTATCCCGCCCCAAATTCCGGTGGGTTGACGGCTTGAGGGGGTTTCTACAGGAAATGGCCTATGTCCATAAATGGAAGTCCTGTGGCTCGTATGATGAGGGTAAGATGTCAGTAAGTCTCTTTAAAAATGAGAGACACAATGAGAGTGTTGTGTTTATAGTTATTTGGTATTTCGTGTGCATCGATTCACTCAGTCGCTTGCCAGCTGTGTAGAGTTTATGTTGCAGTCACTATTGTATCAGGTAACTCAGGGCACGCGTTATTGTGCGTGTGAATGTTGCCACGATACTTTCGAGAGCCCGAGGTGCTGCCTTCACAAGGTTCCGACAAGGTCGGGAGTGTCCTCCATAACAAAAGTCCTAAATGTTATACTTTTCTACTTTTTGTTGAACTGGAAGTCCAAACTGTATTCAACAATTTTCCCAAAACTATCCTTTAGTATAAATATTTCAAGAAAACAAGCAATATGTGTAAGTATTAGTTTCCTAAAGTCGTATTGAAAGAAAGAGCACTCGGTCGCTGCAAGACGGCAGACGAACGTTTAGAATGAGGAACTATCTGCGTCAATAACGAAGTTCGGGATCCGCCGCTATTATCTAGTTCTACGTGCTTAGTGCTTCGACACGTTCTCGTAGCGCAACGGAGCTCTACGAGCTACGGCTACGGCGCACTGTAGCAAGTCGTCTGCCACTGCAACTGATGTGGTCCAGTGGTGACACCAAAGAGTCAATCACGTGCGGGCAGCTTCCTTACCCAACCAATATATAACACGTGAATGAAACCATCATAACATGTTTGTTATTATATTGCCTTAAGTAAGATAATTAATAAAATATTAATAATAACAAGGAGGCGACGTGTCGGAATCGAACCGACTAAAATCACACGATGTGCAATACATGCGCCTCGGAAGGAATCCGGATACAGCTGTCATTAAAACATCCGGACCCTTCCTAGCACCAGCTTTGGAGCCAGTTCCATTGAGGATCAAGCCCAGGTACTTTATCTGAGCACCTGACATTACCTGGCTTGACGTTATTTTTTTATAAAATGGAATTAAGTTAGTAAGATTTAACTTTAATTAGCTTAGCTTAACTCGGACGCAGTGTATGGTCTCGCGCGGAACTTATAACGCGGAATAACGCTTTTCTGAAAAAGTGTGGTCCGATTGTCTTAGAGGATTCATGAGAGGTTATCAATAATAATTAAATATATAAATACTACAAATTGATACCTCTTATAAATATTTGCTTAAATTATGTTACGACCGAATACAGAGCTTGTGTGGAGACGACTGAACTTGAACACAAAATAGGCATTTAAAAGAAAAGTTGTAGAAACAGGCACCAAAATGTCAGCGGTTATTACCTTGCTTGTGCTGGTTCGGAGACAGTGATGTCGCTCCTGTACAACAAACACGCCACCCAACTTGCTTTGTGAACAAACTGTAGTTCAAGAACACCGCACAGTACCATCGAGCAGTGACGTCACCAATAACCTGACCACCAAATGTAAATATAAAAGAAACATCTGACAAGAGCGAGTTCAGTGAGTCTGAGACTCGAGGGTTTCGTGTGCAAAGAACTTGTGTGTAGTAAACGTTCAACGTTGTTGTACGTAAAAGTTTAACAGTTCTACAGATATAGGTATTCCTATGCATGAATAACCGCAAAATGTAATTGCTTAATCGAAAAAAAAATGCTTTTAAAGTCAGTTTCGTCGTTTCGGATTTTTCTCTTTATATGTGCTGTGAAATCTTGCTTCTTACCACTCAAGGTCTATAGGAAGTGGGCATTCTATAGGTTTTAATTAACTTGCGCAATTCAATTTTATTACAACCTAAGGATAAAAGAGCCGTATCTTTTGATTGCCTTGAATCACAAGCTTGACAAAGAGCCAGTTTAAAGCTTCAAGGGACCGCAATCATACATATATTTACTCGATGTCAATTTTAATTTTATTAAGACTGACAGAATGACAACAAAGGGGTTTCTTTCTTTCCTTTAAGGAACGGGCTCCAATTCCGAGATGTACTAAGTTTTAACATGAGCTTTACATAAACATCATTAGTTGGTGTAGGCGCGCGTCAACTGGAGCGCGTCACATACATTCATTTTACTAAGTAATATTGTCAGAGCGCTCAGTGCACACTAAGCTCTCAATGAAAATGAACTTAAGAACAGACATAGGCAGTCTCGACTTATAACCTCTTTAATATTACACAATTTATTATGTGCAACTTTAGGTGTTCTGTCATCCACTCTTAACAACAATTATTTGTCAGGGGTATAAATTGTAGGCACTGTCTAGATGGTGCTTCTTTTCCAACGGACGGAGCATATCTGAGACCATGTACAGCCCGTAGACCTGACCTTCTCGGGCAGGCCTTCGACAACATAGAGTAAAAAGGATTGGTTGTAGACATGATGGAACTAAATAAGAATAGCCTCAGGTTAGGTAGAATGTCACAGCGGAGGCAATTAGCGCTATAGTAGCGGTGAGCTTGGAAGCTTTATAACATTCGTTCGATTCGTTACATCATTACGGAATTTATTTATTTTCGACGAGCTCTTTCGATTCATGTTTGCGCCTCCATTCATATCGTTGCGCTCCGCACGGCTCCGGCAGAGTGGAGCGGAGCAGCGTGGAGGCAGAGGCGGGCGGCGGCGGCGCGGAGCGTGCGACGAGCGCAGGCGCGGGCGGGGCGCGGAGGCGCGCGGCGCTCGGTCGCGTCAGTCGCGCCCCGACCGCGGCCCGTCCCCGTGCAGCCCTCGCTCCCGCGTCACTTGTTGGCCGCGCGCTCGCCGCATGCCGCGCCCGCGCCCGCGCTAGCGCCGGCGTGGCCGGCGAGCCGCCCGCCGCCGCGCGGCTCCGCGACAGGCCAGGTGAGCCCCCAGCGCGCCCAGCGCACCGCGCATCGATCGTGCCCAGCGCGCATGTGTCGCGCTCACGTGCTGCGCGCGCTCCCGTCGCTCCTATCTCACAATTATGCACCCGATATTGACCGGCCTCTAAAGCTTCCCGGTCGTCACCAATCCGGACGGCCACTTGTAGCGGAGGCCCAGCTCGTCCCGAGCCGAGCGACCGCCGGGCGCTACGCCGGGGAGTGCCGCGTCGGACGCGGTGCTCGCACCGTGTGTCACGGCAGGGCGGATCGACTGCGTCGGTACCGCCCTAGTGCGCACCGCATCGTATGTGCGACCCCGCCGCCGAGTGCAGTGTATCTTATATATGTAGACAAAGTATTAGGAGGCTGATAAATGAAAGGATCAAAAGTAAGCGCTGAACGGTGGTTCTGGTGGGCGTGCGGCGCGCTTGTTTACAGTGGGCAGGCGGCGGCGCGCGGCGCACCGATATAGCGCGCGCAGTAAACATGCGCCTGGCCGAGGGCGCGCTATAAATACGCACGGCGCGCGCTGCTGCTGACCCTCACCTACTACCCTCTAAATGCTGTTTATTTTCGCGTCGACACTCGCTGCACCTCTTCCGCACCTCCGCGGCATCCTGGCGCACCTCTGCGCCCTGCACGCCGTGCACTGGCACCATCAACACGTCTCAAACTAGCGCCGCGTCTTACATGCACAGACCCTAATTCACGAACCGCATATTTAATTGCCTAGAGCATTGTTTACTATCTTGATTTTCATTTAACACGTGCTCCTCTTATCTACTCATTCAACACCATTATTAAATACCTTCTGAAAGTACGAAGTTGTTTATTTACGACAGGAGGCAGAGAGTATTAATTATTATGAATCCACGAGCTGCTGTGCACGAGAGACTTCAGCCTTGACCCAAGCAACTCCTATATAATACTGAAATACATTGATACCGAGAACAGATACGTGAGCGTACCGTGGAATTTGCGCGCTATCACCGGTCCACGTAAACAAATCGCAAGTGAAACTAATACATATAGGAGCCTTTCATAATGGTGTACGTGTACTTAGCATGGCTACTCCGCGTCGCATGGCCATTAAACTCCAGCTGCCCATTGCGTATAGTAGGACAAACTTTATACCTAGTGATTAACACGGGGGCGATAGTAAGGCCCAAAAGTGGCGGGTGTCGGAGCACGCTCCCAATATTGGTGTAGTCGTCGCTAATGGTGTCGTGTGTTGCAGATGTGCAGCCTGGCAGCGCTGGCGCGCGGCTGCCGGCCCGCCTCCGCGGCCGCCAAGCCCTGCTGTCTCTGCTGGTGTTGTTGCTGTTCTTGCTCTTGGTACGTTGCAATCTTTTAACCTGACGGAACACCGCTCGCAATACCAATCAGCCCATCACTGTCCCACTGCTTCTGCACATCAGCGCCGCCCGACAGTCACGGACCAGTCGCGCCAGGACTCGGTGTATATACCGTTCACAACAGACAGATGCTGAATCGCAATTCTCGCACTACCTACCTAAACTTTCACAGTTGAATATTTTGTTACGGCACTAGTTAAAGATACAGTTTACGTTGCGAGGCCGCAAGTAACTTTTAAAGCATAACACTGTGTGTAATATTTAGGCGAGCTGCGAATTAGATCATAACAGCGCACGCGTGCCGCACACATGGGAAAGCAATAAAACTGTGTGCCCTAAATATGTGTTCCAACATGTACCGACCTTACATCGCTTTAAATCGCGTATTAAGTCATATATCGAGATTGTGTTCGTTGTCATTTATTAGGCGGCAATTGTATTCGAGTTTCTAATTGTGACTACAAGCTACTGTCTGTAGGGAATCAGTTAGAGCGCAGGTTGACGTTCTACCCACTTTGTGCGTTACTTTCATAATTGTGTATTACCACGTTATCAGAAACAGATGCGTGGGAGACCCCTTTATCTGCGTAAATCGGAGAGACAATTTTACAAGAGTTATTTTGTAACGATTCCTTGTGAATCGAATTATGTTTGTGTTTTGCTTAAAAGCCTACACTACAATCCTTACAAACACATGACTGCGACGGCCTGCTTGAGACGCATGATGAGGCAAGATGATGGTTCTTGCAATTGTTGGTTCACGTCTTACACTATAGTCGACCTGCTGAGGTTGCGAGACCAATCGCGAGTAATTAAGTTGGAATTGAGTTGACTGCACGGATGGCGAAGTGGTTTAAGCGGTAGCCACGCCGGTCACTGCTACGCTGAGTGCTGTGGGTCCGATCCCCACATGGGACGACACTTTGTGTGATTCACAAATTGTTGTTCTGGGTCTGGGTGTTCTTTGTGTCCGTTTCATGTATGTTTGAGATTCATATCGTGCACTATACGGATCCATTATTTATTTTACATTTTTCATTTGTTCCATGTTCCGTTGAATCCAATTCTGCAACCTTGGAGTTAATATATAAATACAGCAAGATATATAGGTATATATGTCTATATGTAGCTGTCAGACATTGTGTTTGTAGTGGATGTGTTCACTTGTGTCCTTGTGTCTCGTAGGTGTTTAGGGGATCTTGTATACACTATGTACAATGTAGTCGGGGAATGGAAGGTTACTAAGGTTCTTTCCATTTATGTTCCTGTCTCCCGTTTAGGTATTTCGCTACATGTTCTAGAGCTGTCTTCAAGTTAGTTGGGACACCCGGTCTCCTTCTGTTGCGCTCTATCACATATCTCTAGGTTTAGTCCCAATCTGTCAAATTTTACTTTCAGGATATATTTAAAGGGACATCTTGGTTGTTTAGCACTTTCTATGGCTGTCGTAATGTATAGAATAAAAAGCGTTGTATAGCATAACCGATAAATATGGCTTATAAAATATACGAACATGAACATGGCCTCAGGTGACACACGTTACGTCTGTGGTTTGCAAAGTAAAAACAAAGAAAGGATTGATTCATCTACACCGACTTACACGTATAAGTTGTAACGGCTAAATGAAGCCCCGCAGGTGCACGCTGTTCTTTGTTGCGACAGGCAACCACACACTGCTATCCATTGCACTGAAATTTAAACTTATTGCATTAAAACTTTTGAAAGTCACTTTTTAAGCCTTTCTTTAAAGCTGCGCCGCAACGTCTATTCCTCACGATGATCCCCATCACTTTGCCTTTAAAGCGTGTTTTCCTGGTAAAAGTAAGTAAGTGTGGCAAATGCTGGGGGCAACATCGCGTGCACCACGCGATCAGAGCAGCGTTTCTTGTGTAGTATAGCCGAGGGACTGGCGAGCCCCCTTCTGGCAGTGGCACTGAGCTGTTGGTGACGTGAAAAGCGTCCACTGACATGTTGTTTTGTTCTATTGCAGGGCTAAATGGTGAGTGTACTGCGCGCCCCAGCACCGCGCGGCCGCGCCAGGCCCCGGCCCTCACTACGTCACCACTATATGTAGTTACGTTCAACATTATCATTCAAGAGTTTGGCAGCACATTGACATCGAGTGCCGAGTGTACCATGACCTGAAATATATTTGCCTCATCGCTTTTTCACAAAAAAAAATTAAAATCTTATCTGTAAGAAATTAAGGACTAATATCGTATGAATGTGTATATGGTGGACATGGTGGTTCGTTTGTTAAATGAAAACTCATGTCATCATTTAATAATTTCTAGTTAGCTAACATTGACGGCCACCAGCAGTGTGGTTAATATCGCCGTCTATTGTTTAGGGAGGAGTATTACAGTGATGGGCTGATGCTGTGTTGTAGATATGGACCATAATATTATGTTTAACATTAACTTCACGCACGTTGTAGTGTGTACTAGCAGTTTCCAGTCCAACGTTCAACCTTCGTTATGTTCCTTCCTTTATACGCAGGATGAGTTGAACGTCTCGTGTTCAAATTGGATCACATGGTACATGTTCATTTCGTGCATATTAGGGTATAATTAATATATATATACATATATGAAATAACATAAGCCAGAACACATAAAAAGAGATAACGCTTGGAATGTTATGCATTATTAGAGGAGCTTCAAGGTTTCTCATTTTTATGATTGATTCAATTGTACTAGCATGGCTGGGCTTTATACTTACATTCTAACTTACGGAGACGCCTCAATAAAAGGTACATACATATGTGTAATACAAGTAATTACATAGGTATTCCGTTAAAATGGACTCAGTTTAAGAGATAAGGACCATTAGAGTTGAGGCACCCCTTGCCTAAGTGATAAGCCACTCTGATTAGCGCACGGTCGGTATTATTCCTTAAGAGCAACAGCTTTACAATACCGTCTTAATCATATGTTGATTAAAAATGTAGTATATGTGTTTGTTCGTTTACAGCCTGGCGGTGCGCGGCTCGGACACCGGGCCCGGCAAGAAGGTCCGCGAGCCCGGGCCGCAGGAGCCGCTGCTCAACGACGGAGACGCCCCGTGAGTCACATCGCCACTTTATATGTTTGGGTGTAACGACACTGTGCTCGGTGCCGCGCGTGTAGCTGCCCTCCTGTGCGCTTTAATTATCTAACCTCCGTCAAAGACGTTTTGTTCTGAGCGGCTTCCGTCCGTAACGACAAGTACACATTAAGTACTAATCATTTTATTTAAACTTATAATATTTTTTAAATAAAAACAAATGTATGTTTCATTAAGAAAGCAATGAATGTTAATGGTTCAACTTTCGCTTATGTGGTAATGATATAGTTTATCTTAACACATTCTCAACATTCGACGCGAGTGGAGCTGCTCTGTGCCGCTTACTATGCTATTACGTTTATATGTTTGAAAGAATATAAATAAGGGAAAACCACTTTGAGACAGTTCAAATTACCTATCTTTGTGTTGGACACGCGAGTACTTTTAGAATACATCACATCATAATATCAACAGCCTTTAACAGTCCACTGCTGGACACACCCCTTTATTTAGAAAGAAGGTTTTGGCCTACTATACCACACTGGCCAGACAGGTTGGTAAAGGTTAATAGTTTTCTGTCTCTTTGCAGTGCTGTTGTTCTGCGTAGTTTGCTCCATTAGGTGGCTCTTACGACACCCACTCGATGAATAGGAGTGGTGACATTTCGTATTCTTAATCCGTCACCACACGGATCACAACTACTTTTAGAATATGAACTTACTTATTAAGTCAATAAACCACTAAACGGAGGTGACTTACATTGGGTGCTATATTCTGTACAGAGGCGATGTCGTGTGTGTGTGCGCAGCGCACGCCCCCCCCCCCCCCCTGTCTCGTCCATAGACACAACATGTTACGCATTGATGTGCTTGTGTATACATAATACACTTCATACTTATTTTGAAGCTGTAGGCGAGCATATGTTTTATTTCTTCATTTCAATAGTTAGCCGCTCTAAAATAAACTTGCTTGTATGTTGTTGTGTCCGCCGCCCGCCGCGCTAAACTCAACTTAAATTTAACAACAGCTGTCAACTGTATTGATAAGAATTATTATATGTAGGCATAATTCAATATTGGGATGAGTAATGACTAGGTTCACTTCATCACTTCATCGTGCACCTTGTGCGATGGAACTTTAACATTATTGCTTTTATCTGGTGTTTCTGTTTATGTCTGACATCATCACATCCGACTGTTTATGTCACAACTCCCGCATTAGGAATATATCCTGAGTCGCAGGGGAATTTACAAACATACATGAAACGGGCACAAAGAACACTCAGACTCAAACGACAATTTGTGGATCACACAAAGTGTCGTCCCATGTGGGGATCGAACCCACAACACTCAGCGTAGTAGAAAGCGGCATGGCGACCGCTTAAATCACTACGCCACCCGTGCAGTTCAATTTATGTGGGCAAAAGCTCAAATGAGCTCGTTAGAGCAAATGTTCTTAAGCCTGAAATGATACCTAGAAAGAAAGTTTTGAAAACATAATAATCAGTAACTTTTAAACCATCTCGTTTCATAACAAACATATGACTCGTTCAGTATAGTTAATGTTCAGTCAGCTTGTGACCACGAAGACTTGACGTCAGCCACTCATAAGGTATGTGCATAATATATATCGTGAGCGCGTTGATTCCCAAACAAAATTATATAAGAAAAATGCTTATGTATTCCTTATCGAAATCGCGTTCAAATATAACTTTAGAAGGGCGAAGTTAGGCAATTTCCAATGGCTGATGAGAACTCTGTGCAACAACCACGGAGCAAATACAAAGCAACAACATTGAAAAGGTGTTGATTCATAAACTGTCTTAGTTAAGCTACTTGTTACGTCCAGCTTTGCAGATATTGATTTAATGTGAGTTAATTAAAACAATACACGAATAAATTACCATGTTGTTGCAAACAGTCGTAAATAAACAAGCTTTCGAACTACATTTCTTATTGTTTCTTTCAAAACGCTCAAACAAAACTAAACTATATGGAATAAATTAGGAATACCTTTCATTTGCCAAAAAAGTGGCAAGTGGCAGTACGAGTTACTTGCCCTGCAAGTTTTTGCTTACACTCCCCTGTCCCTCCGAATAAGCTGTATCTCTTTCTCTTTCCCTTCCTATGTTACCAATTATTCTTTTCAAATTAAACTCCAAATTTTCCAAATAACCAGTTGAGGGCAATAGGCTTGCCCTTTATTACGTGAGTGGTAATAACTGGATCGTCTTCAAACTGTACGCGTTTTATCCCTCTTCGGGGATAGCCTACATAGCCGTGAGTGTACGTAGATAGTACCAGCTTATAATAAAAAATTGCGCGCGGCCTCCTGGTACAGAGAACAATGAACAATATGTATGTTTGTTTCTTTGATGCCTCTCTTAGCTGTCTCTAAATATATAAAACCTTTAGTTGGGATTATAAATTGTATTTATGTGATAACGTATTAAGAATACGGAGTGTCACCACCCCTATTGATTCCGTGGGTGTCGTAAGGGCTGACATCTCTATTTCAAGTTTCAACTAAAATGAAGATATCGTGTGTTACATTATGTCGTAGTAAAAAATCTTCAATGATTATATTCGCGTTGCTATACAACTGCAATACTTTAGTTCATCTAATGGAAGCCCCAGCGGATATTCTTTGGTTATTTATTAAGTTCATACGTAGTTGAATATGTTATTTATTGTTGACAAATCTAAGTATATCTTCGAGAAACAAATAGGCACGTAAGGAAGTGCTATGAAAACTGAAACTCCATTGTTTATATGACCCACTTCGCGAGAGTTCAACTCTATTAGAAAAAGCTTTATTATCGTTCGTTACATAATCTGGTTAAGTCGGGGTTTTTATATTATTTTATCCTTTTCGATTACGTTTTAACCAAAGCAGGCTTCTAAAAAAAAAAAAAAATTATATGACAGTAATTTGGTGTTATCACGGCAGTTGTTTACCAAAAGCAGAAACCATGTAGTAGAGCTTGTAACACCTGCTCACCTCGTAGCATCTCGGTAGCGCAGTCTCGTGAGGGTAGCTGCATACAGCAGACGCACCTATACTTATCTAATGTCTTGCTACAATGACATCACAAATGTACCTTCGTTTAGCTACAACAGCTCTACGGATAACTTGCCAACGTTAGATTTGCCCTCCTTTAGAAAAGAAATCTCCATAGGCAAATTTGGTACCGGCATTCAAAACTCAAGAGGACAAACCCTAGTCAATTTCCTGGAGAAAAAGTCACTATTTGAGATGAACACCTTTCTTCAAAAACGCGCAGCAAGGAAATGGACTTGGTCAATCCCCAAAGGTACAAAAAATGAGTTCGATTATAACCTCACTCAAAATAACAACAACAACAAAATAACAAACTGTAACAGATGTCACCGTTTAAAAAAAATTTAAAACAAGTAGTGATCATAGAATGGTTCGCGCCATATTCCGATGTAATCTGAGTAAAGAAAGATCTAAGATGGTCAAGTCGCAACACCAAAATTACGACAGGAACGCGTAGTTTTTCCTACAAAAAGAGTTCCAACTTGAACTAAAAATCAATTTGATCTATTGGAGGAGGTGAACATGGTCGTTAATAGTAAACACAAAACATTAATTGAAATAGTAACCAGTACAACGAAAAGTCACATAGGAGCAAAAAGTCAAAGGATAAGAAATTAACATCCCATACCCTGTCACTATTGAACCAAAGAAAATAATTGAAAAATCATATCATAACAGACCAAAAAAATAATCACTGAAACAATAAAAAAACATAGAGGCCCAAAAGTATTTAGACGCAAATTGGCTACCCATAAGTCAGAAAAAAACAAACTTAAATATAGGACAGATGAAGTTGTGATAAATCGAGATGGCATTCTGACATCTTAGATAGATAGGTTCATAGATAGAATCGGATTTGGTATTTATTTATTTTGATTTATTCCTACGTACACAGTATAAACATTTGTGAAAAAATACATTAAGTGGGAATACTGGGCACAGAGGCGAGCTTAACCCATAATTGAGTTCTCTTCCGGCAAACCTTAGAGTGAAGAGAGGATAGCACAACAAGAGAGAGTCGTGTGTACAGAGTAAATTTAATAAAATATACAGAAATGGAATAGAATATACAACTGAATATATACATAATTAGAAATGTAAACGAAGTAACCGAATATCGTGTAAATAAACTATAATAAAACACAAGTTTATACATTTACTCGTAGTACTTGACGATTACAACGTGCACATCGACATGTGCTTGTGGACTGCCATTCGTTTCCCCCGTTAGGTTGGAGTGAAATGTCAACATTTCAAAGTCAAATATAAAAAAAAAATAAGTTGAAGTTATTAAGAGTTTTAAAAAGCAATAATCATAGTTATAAACTCTTGAAATTAATGACTCATTAATTTGATCAAGAGTTTATAACTATTATTGCTTTTCATTGCCATGATCATTAATAATGACATATTCAACAAAATGGTTGAGTTTTGCGGGTTTGATTTGTGTCAAGTTAAACATATGTGTGCTTGAACATTTAATGTTTGATTTGGTCTGGGTGTCTCTATGTATAATATGTGTATTTATTAGAAAAAATGAAAATAATCTGTAGTTATATCAGTTGTCTAGTACCCATAGTAAGCTCTGTTTAGTTTGGGACTAGATGGCGTTGTGTGAATGTGGTAGAATATTATTATTATTCAAATATATATCAACACCAAAAAATTCAACAATTCAAGATTCAGGATTTATAGGAAGTAATGCAAATCTAGTAAGGTACCTGTACTTGATGCTAATGCTGTTCCAGTGTCGTAATGCAATTAGCAGCCCAGTCGGGCTCCCGATACGGTCTCACGGCATTCGGTGAGATTGACGTTTACACACCACGTCGTACAATATTTATTGCTAGCTGTGCCCGCTACTTCGTACGCGTGATATTTGGTTTTGGGTATTATAAGGAACTAATAATTGTATTCGTGTCGTTATTAATCTAAATCTGATACTACCACAAACCCAA